AGACGTGCTGACATACCGCCATATCGTCGATTCGTCCTTCGATCTTGAGTGACTCCAAACAAGCAATCTCCGAAATCAGATACATGATGCGATCATCGCAGCCCATAACTTGCTGTAGACCGGATGCAGTGCCACTGAGATGCTTAGTGCGGTAGGTGTGAGCAAAATGCGGAGTCTGTCCCAGCATTGTGGCTCCCAGAATATCAATCCATGTGATAAGAGATACACTGAATTGGGTCGGCGCGCAGGTTGGCTTGTTGACGAGATTGGAAACAGCCTTAAAATGCGTGTTCCACGGGATATCCGGCAGATAATCATCCGGCTCGCCGACAGAGCAGTGGTAAAAGATCATGGCCAGCGTTGCATCCAAGACGTGCTCATGGCTTGGTCCGTCGCTCAATGCCCGACAGAGTTGCGAGATTGCTTCATAACGATGTCGCATGATGTCGTGGTCCATCTCATCCGTCAATCCCCGGCTTGTTTTGAGGTGAATGGCAGAAACACTAAGACAACAGTGGAGGTATGATAGGTTGTTCTGCAGACAGTTCAGAATCTCTCCAGCACGGACAAGAAAGGTCTGTTGGTGAGCTTCAACGATAGGAAAGACTAGCCGGAGGACGTTATCCAAGAAGTGATTGAGAAGTGGCCGATCGTTATCATCTAGGGAAACTGTGGTCTGCAAGTACGAGGATAATGGCCTGTCTGGAAAGACTAGCCCAGCAGGACTCGCAGGGCTGTAACTCGGGGTCCTGGTGGCATAGCTTGGAAAGCAGGCTTCAGAAGGTAACTCCTGAAAAGTGGAGTAAGGCTGTTGTGGGATCGGGATGAAAGAATTGAATGCCGACAGAGGAGCATTATTTGTGAGGGGCGCGCCGTTGAGAAAAGTTTCCTGATTAGTTCTGACATCGAAGTCGTACGGAGTGACCGGTGTCATTAGCGACGTTGTCAACGGGTTGTACTGCTCGACCCAGAGCGGGCGGTTAAAGTCGTATTCCACAGCAACCGTCGCAGGTTTCTGAGTGAGTTGACGGATTCGTTCCATGTATTCTGCGCGCACAAGGGTGTCAAGACAGTGACAGGTGCTGTTTCGTATCCTCAACGTACCTTGCAGAGACCCATGCTTCTCCATTGTTTTTGTCTGTCGAATTCGATCTTTGATTCTCTCTTTCTGCACGCGCCGTTGGTTGACGCTGATCCACCACAGAGGTGGCTTGTAGTCGCATTTCAATCCCAGCTTCGTGCATGCCTGGCAAGACGGCCGGGTCTCGTCGCACTTCTTTCTTCTGACCCGACAGGTGTAGCAGCCTGTTTAAACATATTAGCACAGAGGTAATTGATCAAAGGGTAGAAAGGAGCCTCGCTGAAAAGGAGCATGGCCATTCCAATGGACATTTACCTGATCGGGAGCGTCTGTATGACTTGCTCTTCGAGTCCTCCGCCGGGTCGTCGACGGCAGGAATGCTCAAGGCAGTCATGCTTGCAGCGGCAGGATGGGCCATGGTCGACGGAGCGTAGGACGACATGGTGACACTTGAGTCTTGATGGAAGGGAGTTGCAACTATGATGAAGCAGCGAATATACTTGATCAAGGCTTGGTCGACGGCAATGAGCTCTCATATGATTGATAGTTAACCTGAAGACGAATGCACATTGAACTGAAGAGGTACTTGCACGACAGGACCGCAGTGTATGCTGTCATCTGAAGCAGCAATGTTTCAGAAGACGAGGTCGAAGCAATGCAGGACCAAGAGGGTCTTTATGAAGACATGCCGTGATGATATCTGAAGGATGAAGGCATCATCCTCAAACAAGATCCATGCAACCCCATGCTTCTATTTTTTGCCATCCCAGGGGTCAGAAGAACGAGCATGATGTTTCAAGTTCTGATAGAACACGAGTGGAGACTGGATGAAGATAGACAGCAAATCAGTGACGACGGAAGGAGGGAATGTTGTAGAAAGTAGGAGTGTGATAGACTGATGAAGGCGTTGAAAGACATAGAGCTTAGGAGGAGAAAGTAGTAGTTCGGCGCTGATCTAGTCGCCTAGTGATAGATTAGATTGCTAGACGCGCTGATGGCTGCAGGGATTAGCCTGTCTTGGGCGGATGTGTTCCTGTCAGGGTCTGCCATTTCTCTCCTAGCGCGGTCTTGTGGCCGGCTGCAGTCGAATACTGATTGGTTGTCTTGCATGGATTTATCTTAATTATGCACCACCTTTTTGCACAAATACCTTATTATTACTCTTTTACTTCTTTTCTCTTATGATCTGAACTTCTATTCCTCTACAATTCCTTATGTACCTGACTATTTTCATACTCAGGTAAATTTTCGCCATCTTTAGCATACTATTGATCACCTGGATAGAGGAATACAAAATGACGAACGATAATGATGCTTGAGTCGCATGGCTGCGACAAGGAAGAACTTTCGACTGATTCGATTCTTTCCTGAGTTTCCTTCATCCAATCAGCAATGGTATTACCGGGTGCCAAATGGTGGAGATCGGCCCATGCAGAAGCGGGGCGGATCTGGATGTGACAGTTCAAGCACCAAGTTCCCTTAATTAGTAACGTTTAACCGCCAATACTGCATGTTGGGAGTAATTTGCTGTGTATGATGTGATGCTTCTATTGGATGAATTTCACATAAAGATATTTATATATAGCTAAAAGATCTATTTTGAGAGTCTTTTAGTCCTATTTTTAAATCACGTCAAGCTGTCATAATTAGTAACATTAGATTACGCGGGGTATAGCCGAGAGCTCGGACACCATGCGGGATGTTCCATGGCCCCACGCGGAAGAATCGCTAATGCCGACTTTGAGGAGAATGAAAATGACAAGAGAATAGATTCAAGTGGCCGGATCAGGAAATATGAATGATTCTTACTCGGTACTGCTGTTTGAACTGTTCACACTCGACCGTTCACTATGAATCAGTTTGGTTGTTGCTTGAGAGTCATATTGACTTCTACAGCTACGTGTCAGTTCTGGCACTCTCATTTTCGTCAACAAAGGCATACTCGGATACTTCCAATAGCGCAATGTCAGTAGCAATCCAACAATGGACTGAAACAAACGCAATGTCATTGGAATCCCGAAGATATGGTTCATGCACTCCGTATGAGGTTCTCAAACAGATCCATTCTTTAACCAAGGTAACCATGCATGCATAGAAGATTCTTTTAATAGTTTGCTTTTAATAGCATCCCTCAAAAGAAGATATCACTAAGAGTGTGCATAATGCCCTTGAAGCAACCTATGATGTTTGTTAATTTACCAACAATCTTGGCCAGTTTAACCAACATTTTTCAACATTTCGGCATCATAGTGCCCTTACTACGCCGTACTACGCCGAACTACATGGAGCTACCAGCCTCTTCTGCAGCAGAACTGGCGCCAACACATTCATGTCGCTTCGATGTCGCTTGTCCAATTCCTCTTCTGAGCCCATGATGTTTTTGTCACCTCTACATGACCGGAGTTCTAATGCACAAACAAGGCCTAGGTGTGAGACTGATGGAGTTGTTTACTTGCACCCAGATGCAAGGAGAAACGGATTTGAGGATCCTCATAGCCTGTGATTAAAGCCCAGAGAAAATACTAAGGTAGCGCTGAGATGTAGCCAATGAAGTTCCAATAAATGTAGGGTGAGTCTCCGCGTGGGTACATCTTCGGTAAGCGAGTCCAGACTGACTGTCACATCATCACACAAAGGATCATTGCCCCGCTTCTGGCGTCACCTGATTTTTTCTGCATGTCCATGGTGGCATTTTTTCCGTTGTACTTAGTACTCTGTTACTGTAGATCAGGTATCTCTCTATTCTCATACTATCTAAACTTGATTACGGAAGGTCGAATTCCAAGTGAAGGGGGAAGCTCTTGTTAGCCACTTGGAACGTAGGGAAAAAGCAGAATACAACTGACTGGAAGAACGTATGGACGATTTGACTACACTCGGATATATCCCTTTCCACCTTTCCAGCCACCTTTCCGGTGCTGTCAATGACGGGATGATTGTAGTAGTGCTGCATGATTGTGCTTGCCTTGCAGCAGCCGACTGCAAGTCGCCAAGGTAAGTATATAAGTAGCCCTGTAGGCATGTACACCGCTGTCCGGTCATTAACGGCGCTGAATGTCGTCCAGAACGTATGTACGGACTGCTCTACGAAGGGTACTCGTCTGGCATATTGGCGCTGAAGTAGCATGATGGAGATTGTGACCTGTCGAAGGCAACGTAGAATCGCAGTCGAACGGGAGAGTCAAGTCACCAGAGCATGGGTTGAGCAGCAAAGGGAAGAGTTTTTTCTCAAGGATCGAAGTCGGCCCTGCTGCGGTATTTAAGATTCTCGGTAGGAGCCAGTCAAGGCGCTCAAAGTGAAGTCGAGCGTGTTGGATTGTTCCTTCGCGCTGTCCTTTTCCCTGTAACGGACTAGCCATCAACAGCAATGAGAGCACTCTAGTGTTTCAGGATTTGGAAACCAGATCAAGATCTCATTGGCGAGATTTGGGGTATCAACTCTTTCATTTTTCCACAAAGTTCAAGGTATATTGACGCTCGACCGAGGACCTTAGGCGAATGGCGTCCAAGATACGGTGTGTACCGGAGGTGGTTGCTTTCCGCGAGTCAGGCAAGCAAGGATCTCTATTGGAGAATCAGTACGAGGCAAACGCTTCGGTCACCAGTTTCATCTGGATCATGGACACTGATTGCCTATGGTAACTCGTAGTCTGACATTTCGCTTGCTCAAGTCCGTCAGTTAGCGCCAAGCAGCCCGACCAGGCGACCAGTCATAACCCCGGTCCCGCCATGGCCCTCCCTCCAAGGATGGGCGCTTACAGCAAACACAGAACGGCTCCCCTTCGACCTCTCATCTTCCTGCATTCCATATTTTTGCTTTTCCTCTCTGTGAGACGCCCGTGGCAGCGCCTATCCATTGGACAGGAGCTTCCTAGAAGCAATGTCTTCAACTCTCAACTACTGCGGGATGGTCACTCTTCATCACCTCTCATCCTAGTTGTTCCCCTTGATTATCACCAGCCATTCGCTAGAGCTACCAGCCTGTCACCAGTCATCTCATGAAGTCACTGCCGCTACGTTTCACCATCTCTGCATGTCACAGATCCGGTCCTTGCCAACTTTCCATGCTCTGCAAAATCATTCGGTCTGCTCTATCTGTCTAGTCGCCTGGACGTTTCAATCCCCCCGCCATTCCGTTGGTTGGGCTTGTTCACGGACTCGCTCCTCTGATATACTTAATCCTCTGTCCGGCCCCGAGTCCCCTCCTGTTCTGACTCTTTTCACATCTTTTCTGTCACTGCATATCATACTGCTCATTCCTGGATACCCCTTTTGGTTTGCTATTGCTTTCATTTACCTTGTGTTTGAGGCATCGAATGGTTTCTCCATAGAAATACACACTGGTCACCCAAAACCTAATTATCTCAACATAATCATTGACGCCTAAGTCTCAGCCAGTCTCTGGCATAACTCACACTCATCATGGTATGGCAGATCTTTCAGTGAAGTGAACTCAAATGTTAACTTCGTCTTCTAGGACTCCCTACGCTACCGACGCAAGGCTGTGCCTGCATCGCTCAACATGAAGAACACGGAGCAATTCCTCCCTCAAGCAACGTTTGTACACAAACGTATTTCCGAAACCACGGATTTCGATGATACAGATTTCGAATTCAGCGATACGGAGGAAGAATCTCCGCGAATGAGTATGGGTTCCGTAAGTCTAAGCATCTCGCTTGCTTTTTGTTGCATTATTGCTGACAAGGTTCCTCGTCAGTTTGGCTATGACAGCAACTCCTCGCTTTCCACTCCAGACCTGCCGACTCCAGACAACGCCCCCAGAGAACCATTCTCATGGGAGTTCGACAAGAAAATTGAAGGCCCTACAGGCCCTCACCTATTCAGAGACTCGCTGCTTTCTTCCCGCTCAGTCCCGACGACGGAGATTGATCTGTATTTTGAGAGGTCACCTGTCCGATCCCAGTTCCCCCAATCCGACACCGAGACCCCAGCACCCAGTTCCAGTTCTCTCAATCAGAGACTGAGACTCCCAACTCTCGAGACCAATTCTCTCATTCAGAGACCGCGACTCCAAACTCACGAGACCACTTCTCTCAATCAGACACAGAGACTTCCAGCATGCGGTACCAATTCTCTCCGCGCACCCCCAAGGCTTACACAACATTGCAGCCTGATGTCTCACATGTGCAGGAAAGTGAGATCCGAGCGTGGTCACCGAGCCAAGTCGCCCACTGGATGTTCATTGCTGGCTACGATGACTCCGTCATTGAGAAATTCATCATGAATGATATCACCGGCTCTGTTCTTCTGAGTTTACAGGCCGATGACCTGAAGGAGTTGGGTATCAAATCCTTCGGCAAGCGTCATCAGCTGATGGGCTCAATCGATTACCTGCGCAACACGATGCTTAAGGACCCAGTCTTTGAGCAACCCGTCGCTATCCCGTCTCCAACTCGCTCTCCGAAAGGACGCTCCTACACCATGTCAGTCTCCCCGACTGGTGAGGTCCTTTCCAGCAGAGTCTATGACGGCAGTGGCAACCAAATTACCCCAGCGGAGTCTGTATCCATCGTGGGTATTGAGCAGGTTCTTCCCAAACCGCACAGCTGCTCCAAGGGGGAGAACTGTCCGAAGTACAGAAGACGCCAGCGCCAGCTTGAGAAGCTCGCCGCAGAGTTTCCCGGGGCAGTTATTCTTCCTGGTGGCTCAGTTCTGACGGGAAACCCCGGAAACCCAGAGACAGCAAAGAACCTTTTGCGACCACAGTCAGATGCTGAGCCGTCAGTGGTGGCATCCTCAGACATCCTTGGTCCAGCCCAACAAACACCCCGCCTCTGCGAAGAGATGCTGAACGAAGTAAAACGACTCGATCCCCAGGAGAACGTGCGTCAATTCCTCAGCTATCAGCACGTTGAGCCTCCTGCTCTGGCAGAGCCAGAGCTGGTACAGATGCCAGAAAACCCAGTTCCAACTCTCTCTCCGCCGACCACTTACCCAAATCACATGGCCGCCAACCTTCGCAACCTTCCGAAGCTGACGATCCCAACTGGCACGGAATCAGATGACTTGACTACCGCTACGACCGCGACAGCCCAGCGAACCATCACCCCGTCTATGGTCAACCGCATGTATGGCTCCCCAACTGCGGTTCAGGAATACGGCCCCTTCAGCACAATGAGGCCAGTGGGCTCAGACGACTTTTACCGTCAGGGCACCCCGTTCTCCGAGATGGACGTCCCCGTCATTCAAGTTCCCGATGCACCGGTTGCCCGTGAGGCTTCTCAGTCGGTGCCCCCGGATATGCGTTACGGAAACCTCATGAACCTGCGCCATCAGGAGCCCATCATGCGTTCAACCTCCACCCGTCCTCGAGCTACCGCGCCACTGCGTAGAGTCCACGAAGATTCACCTCTCACTCCCATCGAGGGTCCCTCGGATTTGATCAGGAGTCCCCGTATGCCTCTGCACACCTCCAGCTCCACCAATTCCTCCCTCGCTTCAGATCCCGACGTCACCAAGGCCGGATGGATGAAGAAGCGCAAGCAGACACGTTTCCTGCGTCACGAGTGGCAGGACGCCCATTTCACCTTGCGTGGGACAAATCTTGCCATGCACAAGGATGAGCTTGATGCTCATCGGAACTCCAAAGCCTTGGAGGTAATTGATGTGGATGAATATGCTGTTGCCTGCTCGTCACTAGCCACCAGTTCCAAATTGACTGCCGCTTTCAAGCGATCCATTCTGCGCAGCGGACAGAATGCCTCCCGTGACGATGCTGCATTTGCCTTCTCCCTCATTCCTTCAAGCAAGGAAAATGAGAAGAAGCTGTTATTTGCAAACCACAACTCGAAGAGTCACCATTTCGCAGTCAAGACTCGTGATCAGCGCATTGACTGGATGCGGGAGCTGATGCTCGCCAAGGCCCTCAGGAAGGGTCGAGAAATGGGTGCTGAAATGCAAGTCAACGGGAACTTTATCTGAGCTGCCTACTCCATCTTCATTTGACTTTCTTTGTATGCTCTCCTTCAGGTGCTTGTCGATACGGCCTCGCATGTACTCTAGTAAACCTCTCCTTGTCTTTGCATTGGTGATTCTGCGTCCACTGTTCATTGCATCAAAGATGCATCTATTTTCCTTTGTTACGACAGAATGATTAAGACACATCGTCGCAGGACGGCCTTGTCATATACCCCAGAACTTTCCTGTTTTGTCAGTTTGATTTGGCTTTCGAAGTATAAACCAGGTTGATCAGGACTAGTTAGCAACTAATTCGATTCGAGATTATGCCTTGCTTCAATCATACTGTGTCGTATCTTAGAATAACACAAGAATAGTAAAAGCTTCATTATCGTTGAGACTCCTTTTTGCTGGAGGAAGTTAAGACCAAGGATGGTAAATAATGCGACTAAAGCGACTATCCTCTTAGACCAGGGTTTCTACGACCCACTCAACGAATTGCACCTATAGCTCAGTGGTAGAGCGTTCCACTCGTATTGGTGTACGATCTATGGAAAGGTCCGCGGTTCGATCCCGCGTCGGTGCATTTTTTATAAAAGTTACACTTTTATCATTCATACATAGTATTAACTATTTTGCTTTCATTTTTTGAAGGAAGAATTATCTCCGTCTTCTGATATGTAAGTCAATAAGGATGTGGTGTTTGATCAATTTGCAAGATCTATCATTATTAGAGACGCAATCTAGCTATATTAACCAGTCGGAATAGCAAACACATGATCATCCCATCATTCTAACAACGATATACGCCCATCCATCCCCATACGCGCAACTCCTTACTAACTCCTCGATCGGAGCTGACATTGGCACCGCCGCGCCATGTAAAACCGGTTTCGCCAGGACAGGAGTCCTCCGACTAGGAAAGAGGTTGGGGAGTAGCGAGTGCAACGCCGAGCCTAACGTCTGGACTTGCGAGGCGGGGCTATTTCGTAGATTGGTGGATTGACTTGTATTCGTTGTGACTGGTATACTAGGCGGCAACGGGGATTGGACGACCTTGAGAGACGGGGAGCCCGAGTCTGGGGATAGGGGTAGGAAAAAGCGGATTGGGACGTTGCGGAATGGTTGATTCGGTGACGGGAGGAGGATATTCGAGATGCGTTGAAAGGAGGGGAGATCCACTACTTATCGTCAACATACTGTAGCGCAGCTCGGACTATGATAAAAGCTGAGAAATACCATCTTGCACGGCCTGCCATAATCCGGCCGAGTCCTCTTTGGACAGAGTCATGATTCCCTTTGCGGTGCCGTTACGGAGAAAATCCGCCTCCTTGACGCTGTTGATGAACGCGTCGTGCATGACCATGCCGTCTGCGTCGAGTCGTACGAGTTCCTCATCGGGCCAGTCGCTGAAATGCACCGTCAGCCGCCAGGGGGGCGTATCGCTCAGGCTGCTGGTGGGATGGTCTGTTTCGTCGATCCTTGTTCCCTTGGATGCTGGGTCTGCGCCCGCGTAAAGGTCATACAGCAGCCCAACGGGGAGGTGCCATTTCAGCGGGACTCCTTCGAAAGAGAACCAGCCCTCATGCGGTTGCGAATTGGGTTCAATCAGTGATGGTGAGAAGAAGGCTCTTAACCTGGGTAATAATGATGGTAGATAAGAGATTCGCGGACAAGCGATCTAACATACATTAGCTTCCTACTTATGATGTGTTTCAGTGCTTGTCGAGGAGGGATTGTTACAAGATAGGGATCAGTCTGGTCGTATGTTCGACTCTCCGATGAAGCAAGCGTTATCTGTAACGGAAGCTTTCCATCCCATACAGCTCTCTGGATGCTGCTAAGAGAGGCTTGATTTTCCATCCTCGGCAAAGGATGTCCTCATCCGTCCTACGACAAGTCAGCATGGAGGGTGATACATTTGAGAGCGCGCGGATGGTACCAAGTTTGCAACACCTAGTAATAGACAAACACTGCTTTATCGAAGACAACGTAGATCGATTTGGTCTACATATACTTCTAGCATTGAGAGATGAAAGCACAGCCCCGCAGCAAGAACAGAACCATTATTGACGGCGTTCGATGAGTTGCGGTTTTCATAGCATCGTCATCCAGCCAAGAGTTTGTCCCAAGATAAATATAAAGCTGAAAAGCCGGGGACTAGCAGACATGATATGACTGCAAGAGTGATGGAGATGATGTTGTTTGGCAGATAGTGAGGGATTACCTGAACGGGTATGTCACGTGCTTTCTGCCTTAGGCATTACAGTTGGTACTCATACATGATACGGCCAAGAGAGTGCATGTCTTGTATCCGTTCAAGAGTCTGGATTTTGATCTTCAAAAATACCTGCACCACTGTGTGACGATTGCTAGTGCGTACATTGGCCTGTACACTGGCCTGTACACTTCGTTTGGCGTCACCTCTTTGTAAAGCCGTTGTCGTCCAATCTCAAACACGTGGTTTCTGGTAACATAATGCTATCAGAAGTGGAGAGGCTATGAACTTGGTTAATCGTCAATTATCTACAATGGCTTCGGTTTGATTATCCTCGCAGGGTGAGATTGTTATATGCACCTATAGCTAGAGCCTCAGCGCCAACATCAAGGATGGTGTTGACTAGTAACTCAAATATATATGTATCCGCGGCTGGCAAGTTCACTCGGAAAGATATCACTCCAGCCTGACACAATGGCAGCCTGGCATATCATGAGCCAGGGATCAAAACTATTCTGATCCAAACTAGCTTTCTGCTTGCCCTCAACTGGATGAATGCTCTACTTGATAAGCTGATCTATTGCGGGCTTATTGGGCAGCTTCTGATTGGGATGGCATGGGGAGTCCCCGGAGCCAACTGGCTAGAACTAGACGTTCAGAAAACCATTCAGCAGCTGGGATATCTCGGGTTGCTTCTTTTGGTGTACGAGGGTAAGTTGACTGCAGAAGGATCTGCTGATGCCGTTATTTTGACGACATTGTTTCAACAGGCGGGCTTTCAACATCATTCTCCCAATTGAAATCAAACTTCGCTCTGTCCTCCGTGGTGGCGATGACCGGAATAGGGGTGCCTATGGCTTTATCCTTTGTCCTGGTGAGCCTGCTATCAGCGGCTCCTCTGCAAGCATTTGCCGCCGGTGCATCCCTCTGCTCAACTAGTATCGGAACGACATTCACCATCCTGTCCACGACGGGATTGGCAAAGACCCGGTTGGGTGTTGTCCTCGGCAGCCCAGCGATGATGGATGATGTCGCAGGCTTGGTGATGGTTCAAATCATCCCGAATCTGGGTGGTGCGAATCAGGAATCGTGCTTCGATCCGGTGGTCTTGATCAGACCCATCCTTGTTGCCTTGGGGTTTGTGTTGGGGCTTCTTCTCATTTGTCGGTTTGTCGTTGCGGTGTTCGTGCGCAAACTTCATGCGCACGAGATTCGGGTCCCTGGTTGGATGAGGTCACTGAATGTCGCATTTGTTGTCCACATGCTCTATCTCATTGGACTGGTCACCGGCACACAGTACGCAGGCACGTCGGGACTCTTCGCTGCATATCTGGCTGGGGCTAGTATTTCCCTGGCTTGACGAGATTGTTGGCCACTTGTTGAAAAGCAGCCAAAGACCGAAATCCCAGCCAATGACCAGCGTGGACATCGACCGGGGAGCATTGAAATGCAAAATCGTCTGACTCGTGACGCAAATCATACACAAAGAAGCCACAGAGAAGCGGAGTTTACCGCCCATACGGAAAGGACTATGCATTCCGAGCGACTAACTGGAGAACTTACGTTGGAAACTTTCTGCAAAGAGCCTCTCAAGCGGATTTTGAGCCCACTGGCTTTTGTAGGTTGCCATAATTCAACACCTATCTTCTCAGAATTCCGCTCTGACTCGCCCTCCAGGTTTCGATAGGGTTCTCCATCCTAAGCGCGAAAATGTTTGAAGGGAGGGTAGTATTGCGAGGCGTTGTCTCCACTCTTCTGATGGCCTTTGGCAAGCTAGTGACCGGATTGTGGCTGATTCGGCTGAGTTTAACTGGGTCAAAGCCGTTGAATAAGGCGAAGAGGATTCTACTGGGGTTTGCCACGGTGAGCGCGGCCAAGTCATGCAAGACCCGCTCTCTGTTGGACAGTGACTCCTCACGTGCCTCAGCGCAAGGAGAGATACAAAGAGATGGACCAAAGAGAGAAGAAAGTCAACTTCCTGAATCAGACTCGTGCAGGCAGGACTCTCAACTCCCAACGGCAACAGCGGGAACTGACTCGCCACAAGAAGGGCTTTGTCCTCCTGTGGCACGAATCAGCAGCCCACAGCTTACCACCAAGCGCCGCTCGTTGTATCCGGCGTCGATTTTGGGTTTGGCTATGGTGGCGCGAGGCGAGATTGGCTACCTCATCGCATCGCTGGCCGAGGCGGATGGGATCTTCTCCCCTCATTCGTCCTCATCTCCCGCAACCAGTAGCCAAGAGGTAGACTCTGAGATCTATCTGGTAGTCATCTGGACAATCACCCTCTGCACTTTCATTGGGCCCCTTTGTGTCTGGCTTCTAGTGAAGAGGGTGAAAACCCTCCAGAGTCTTCGAACCCGTTCTGCCGGCGAAGACCCTCTAGGCGTGTGGAGCGTCTCTGGAGGACATCGCGTAGTGCCCTGTGCAAGTAGACTCAATGGGGGCAAGTCCAAAAAAAGCAAATAGAAAAGCGAGAAAATGACGCACTCAGCTAGCAGCCCTTTGAGAGATAGAGAATGGTCATTTCGGCCCTAGGACTTGCGGCCATTGGGACCAGACTTCAGTAAATCTCAGACTACACTGATGAGTGCGCGTCTTTCTAGCGTACCATTCCTCCAGTCTATCCTGGAAAGGCAAGGAGTAACAGGATACGAGCTGAAAAAGGAAAGGTTGTGAAATGGTATCAGGGAAGATAAGTTCACTCGGCCAATTTCCTTTGTGTAACACCAAGGTCATTGTCTTGTCTGCTCGATGTCCGAAATAGCGTATGGAGCAAGTCCACACGACTAAAAATGCTTAGGATGATTCCATGCCATCCGTTTCATTTAACATGGCTCGCTAGTCGATACTGTGTACTCTGTAGTGTTGGCCATTTTGAGCGACGCGGATCCTTACCGGCATTAGCGTGCCACAGCCGTTAGCTATTGTGGGATCGAAGGCCGAAACCTTGAAAGGTTGGAGCTGCAAGCTTGGTAGGCTAGTCTGAGCACTGTAGATAGTCCGTAGACTCCGTAGTTCGTACTCAAGGGTTCATCCGGTATTGTCGATCTTGGCTCAAGTTCAAACAGCTTGTTTCATCTCTCACTTCAGGGTGAAGTTGCTGCTGAAGATGGTTGTGGTGCAAGGGGCTTAATCAAAACGAGTTGCGCCGGCAACCAGAAGGACAAAGCAATTATTTGAGATAGTTTCAGAGCAAAGTCATGAAACACCCAAAAATGGACCAGTCTGAGCAAGATCTGCGTGTCTAGGCGTGGAGTTCGCCAATTCCTCCTCGACTGGGTGGTATCACCTCGCAAATGACAATAACGGCCTTTGCTTTCATTTGATGTCCGAAAAGTGACCTGTCATGCTTTTCAGCAAGGGAGAATTGTCCATTCTCCCTTGCAACCATGTGCCCTGCAGTCTGCCGTCAGCACAGACCTCCGGTGAGGCTTGGTTGGAACCTGTCGACTTCTTCGAGGGTTGAAGCTTGGCTCTGTCTCCTCCTACCTACGCGGGATGGGGAATGGTAGAGTCATACCCCGTAGAACGGTAAAGTCCTTGTCTTCATCAATGCATTTCACAGTCCCCACTACTGAATAGACTTTTGAGCCTGCGTATATGCGCCGAGCTTGACGTAAAAAGTTGTTAAAAATAAGTCGGATTCCTGGCCTTGGCTTGCGCAGAGGCAGTGATCTCCCGAGGAGGTTCCTGCAGCGTTGAACTGGGCAGCTATGGGCCTTGAGGAGAGTACTATCACTCCAGCCCGTCTTGATTTGATTCAAGGCTACGGTATACTGTATACATATCGCCTCATGAGCAATTGTGAACTGCTCTCAAGTCGCAAAATCTCCAGGTTTGGACTGGGACGCAATATGGAGCACGGAGTACGGAGCACTAGTCGCTCGTAACTGTCGTCAATTTTTGCCCAATTCGTGAATGGACAGCTCCTTGGCATACTGGTCAAGTCCTCAAAGTCACTGCAGATTTCCCGGTACTGGTGACGTTAACTTCGGGTTCAGCCAGGTTGGAAAGCTGCCCGAATTGCATCATGATGGTAGCCGGAAATCACCCAACACCACGGATTTCGCTTCATAGGCTTGTCCGTCAATGTCCGTCGACCCCCGACAACGCCGAAACCTTGTTCTCAAAGCCTCGAAGCTCTGCGTAAGAGTAAGACTGGATGCACCCGACACTCTGGTAACAACCGGCGCCAAGAGTGAGCGTATCAGCTGTCTCTTAAGTCCTTGAGACCTGTCGTAAAGGTCTTTTTTCGTCCCCGATCTTAAACGACCCAGCCCCTAATCAGCAGAAAGTCACGGGGCGTAAATGAATAATTGCTTTTCCCCCCTTCTGCACCTCGTCCGTTTGCATATGTCATGCGCATCCCACTCCCTCAGCGATGATGCTCTTGGCAGGATTATCCAATGAGCGAGGCTTCGCGTTCTATCTTTCATTTTTCTTGGGCCCTAATCATATTACTCTCTCTGTCTAAAATTAAAGGAGCATAGCTGAACTCTATTTTGGGCGTCAGTATGTCTGAAGTACGACGACCCAAGCATGTGGATGGTTGAGACACACCCGCAGCAGATTCGCCAATGATTTCCAAGGTAGAGCCACGGCTCCATGCCAGGATTAGATAGGTATGAGGAACCATAAGGTAATTGTTCAGCACATGGCATCTCGTTAGAGATGGCCGGTCAGGAATGTAAATCGGCCGATGACTGCACAGAGAATTTGACACTCGCAGCCGTTAGAACAGCACGAGAAGAAGCACAGGCTGCATGGTAACCTGCATATGCCCATAGCTTAGCACGCGAATGATGCACTTCTTGCATCGCTCCGTGAATCGTCACCTAAGGACGTTGATAAAGGGGGCTGTTCGCCGATCGCCACTGCAAGAGGAAATGAGGAAGCAAGGAGGTGACCGAGGAAAAAAGAAAACATACAGCCACAAAAGCATGGGAGTTGCTCAGATGGGATGCTGAACGGCAGGTTGTGCCAGTTAAATTCCTGCTTCAGATTTCCTTGGGGCTGTGCGTTGATCGTCCATACCAGCAACCACGTTTGTCCACGCGAACCACGCCTGTCTGAAGCTCAAACCGATCGTCCTCGCAACGGTTCGCCCTCGATCTCGACTCCCTGTTCACGCCCGCCAATAATGCCCTTAGTTTGGGATGTGCTGCACAGATTATGACAGGGTGCATGACTGCATTGGCAGCTGAATGGCTGCCAAGAAAGTTGCATGCCATCGGCCATGCTACTGGTCTAAGGTCTAGACTTGTGACAGAAGATCTGGTGTTTCAGCCTACTTTTCGTCCAATCATGAACACTGTCCACCTCCAACGACCGAGAAAAAATGGTTGGAGTCGAAAAAGAAAGTACCTGTAAGATCCAGTAGCTTACCAGGGGGACCGGCCCATAGGGCACTGCTCGGCCAATCTTCCCGACGTACGCCACGTCCGCTTCTCAGAATTCCCCCCCAGGAAGTCGATCCGGTGGTAAATGAACTCCCGTTCGAGAGACGCGAACTAGACCGTTAAGTGATGAGATCCAACTCCACTCCGAGGCCATCCCTTGGCCCAAACCCAGTCGGTACCTATTGCTGGTGGACGGCTCTTGGTGATCAAGATATTTGATGATGATCCTTCGTGGACCCTGCGTCGAGAAGAGAATGGGGTGTCCAGTAGCCACGGAATACATCCGCTTCGCTCTTGACCTCACGACTGTTGGGCCGGTTGCTGATCCAGAGCCGTTCTCGGCAGTCCATGCGACAGAACAGACCGGTGAATGTCACTAAGCCCATGTCGATGTCATCGTCCATGCTGTCTCTCAGGCTGAAGATCTCGATCATTCCGGTTCCTTCCTCCCTCGATGTCATTCCTTTTTCTAGCCCCGTTCAAACTTACCCTTGTCATTTACTGGTGCCCTCGAGACTGTAAAGCGGGTCAGCTATTTTTGTATACCATCATCAAAATTCCCTGACTGTTCCATCTGCTCCAGCGATCATCCTTGGGTATTTAGAGGAGGGACATGCCTGTCTTGCTGTCACTCACCAGTTTTCAGAACCAAAAAGCATAAAAGCAGAACGAAAAGCGACTTCACAGACTGTCATTGCAGCCACAATCGCACAATCCATATCCTGAAAACACCATATCTCGAGTGTATACCGTCAGTCTGTCCTTTTGCCACACTTCCGCAACTTGATAGATTATCTCGCCTCACTCCCTTGTCCGAGACAACTTCAACTTCCCAGCACTTCAACTTGAAGGCGAACAGAAACCTCATAGTGACAATGCCTTCTGCAACGAAGTCCACAAAGTAAGCCCCATTCATGTGCACACATATTCGCCACAGAGGGCTCACGTGTGTCTTCATTCCAGGATGACCAATGGCGAGAGCAGCGGTCTCAGTGCCGGGAAGTTGAGCCATATTCCAGACGCGAGCAACGGTGTTGTCGACCGATTCTCACAGTCAGCTTTTGCTGATGAGCCTTACTTCGCTCGTGCACGCATGCAAGATCGGTCAGCTCACGTATCACGTTTGAGCAGTCAACTTGACGCAACAGAAGAAATATTGCGGAAATGAAGGTGGAAACTTCACGGATATACCTCTTCCCACCAAAATTCGGGGGTGGCGGGAGTGCGAAGAAAAAATTCATCCAAAAAATTGACAGAATGATGTTCTATATACAAAGTCTATGATTGTCTTATTAGCGTACATTTCATCAAGCCTGGGCCCGAAGCTCAGAGGCGTTTTTTCATTTCTTTTATTTTCCCTGATTTTTTGTCATCGACCAAGTTCAATAGACTTCTCTCAATGCAAGAGCTCCACTATCCGTTGTGCTACCTTGTCGTACAGTGTGCTGGGAAACTCATGGCCTGCGTTGTAGTACTCAAAATCAACATTTCCTTGGAGGGCCAACTTGGCATCGGGCACAAGCTCATCTTTCACGATAATGGCATCATGGATGCCGCACATGATGAGAACTTTGTCACTTGGAAGACCATTTGCCAGTTGCTCGTCCTTTGGAAGTTCCTTCTGTGCTGCCAGGTGCTTGCCAAGGCGCGTCCAAGTGTCCCACTGTCGCTGCTGCAGGATCGGGCCAAAGCGCATACTAGACATAAAAGCATGAACAAATCCGGCATGGTTGTTTACCTGCCAAGAAACGGCACTGGGAACCGAGACATGTGGATAGACCCGAGACAATACCTGCATATTGCCCGCGGTTTGTGAGGGAAGCTCCTCGGAGAGGGCATCTGCTGCGTTCAGTTTTTCATTCTTTGGCTTTGGGGTAGTCAAGGGCCCAGCGCGGAGGCGGCGACCAACAAGGAAACCGAGTACCCGTTCTGGGACCAGACCACCCGAATAGAGAAGTCGGGACTGAAAGCTGATCTGGGAGTCGCGGATCAACCCTGCTGGGGCCAATAACACCAATGCGGAGAGCAGATTAGGGAAGTACGATGCGAATGCCGCTGCAATACCACCGCCCAAGGAGTAACCGACCAGACAGAATTTCCCAGAGCCAGCTCCCGTCCAGGAGACAGGAGAGGAGCTTAGAGCGAGAAAAATCTGAGTCGCAAAAAGTCGATCATCTTGAGGAGCGTCAGACGGACAGTCCGAGTAACCTCTTCCGAAACTGGAAGGCAACCTCTCAGCAAAGTCTCTCAAAAAAATTTGGTGAATAGCGAAACAACATACAGGTCAAAAAGCATCACTCGGCAACCCTGATCGGCCAAAGCATGTGCCAATCCGCCCAGAGCAATGCAAGGTGTGGTGATTCCATGGACAAATAATACTTTAGGCCCGTCCTCTGGACCCCATTCATACACCCTCATGGAGCCATACGGTGAGGCTACATCCCGCGCTCCAGGGAGCACATCATTTGGCAGAGGGAGTTGGCGCTTTTCCGCATCGGACAGAGTTGAAATCGCTGTACGGGGCGAAGGGAGAATGGTACCTTTAGGATGCTGTTCGGAGACTAATGAACGGAAAAGAAAAGCGAGAGTCACAGATGCTCCAGTCAGAGCTAGTAGGTGAAGATGAACCTGTGGGCCGTTGAAAGAATTGGAGGCTCTTTCAACTGCCTGGGTGTACCAAGCCATGGCCAATTGGTTCGAACTCTCGGTCCCTCGAACTCTGGATCTTCTCTCTTAGGCTGTTCCAGGGCCTCTATAATTTGATCTTGGTTCTCCGATTGTTTCTAGTCAAACGCTAATGAAGCAATGATCTAAAAAGCGACGGGACGAGAAGCAGTGTAATTCATTAAAGACGCTTGAACAGGGAAAGAAAAGAAGCCGAGGTCCTGCGGAGACGTTGGAGTAGAGATGGATGCCTGGATGCCTGGATGCCTTATCGGTTTATGGGAAAGAGCCAACCGATAAGGCGTCAACAGGGTGACCAGGCATCAAGTGACTAATCAGGCCTCACCAAAACACCACCAGCTTGAGGTGTTTCTTTGGCTCAGAAAGCACAACACAGCTCCTCCCAATCATCTCGAGCTCATGTCCATATCAACATTTTGGTTCATGATGCGACTGTACAGTGATAGATCTTGGCTGAAAAAACCTCAAGCTCATATGTTCACTATCCAAAAGTTATAGCAGTGAGCTGAACAATCCGAGGCACTACTATATGACCGAATCTCGAATTCATCCAGAAACGCTGAGAATTCAACTGCTAAACTTAAACTTGGACAGCTCTTTCTAGAATTGACCAGATATTTTGAAGCGTACAGTTTCGATTGATCCACTCTAATGAGCATATGCACCCCTCAAGTGGATCGATTGCCAGAAAGATGTCGGCATATCTTCGAACTGAACACGCATGAACTCAGGCAACTCCATATGCTGGTTAACTTGTTATAGAAACTCAGACTTGCGCAGTTCCCGATGACAATAATCACGCAGAGATGCCATACAAACAGGCAGCACGGGCGATGATCACGACTGGCCGCCGGCTCATTCATCCTCATTTTCTCATGCGGTCAACAGTGGGGAGCCGAGAATCCGTCACTTGGCCCAGCGAGCTGTAGAGTCAGCTTTGAACTGGACTTGGATGTCTAAAATCTGGGGTGTTAAGACAGGATGATAAACTCCCTATTCAAAAACGACCCTGCAGAGAGCCCCGGCAATCATTCCAGAGATCCAGCTGCTGGCTCTCGCTCCTGCTTCTACCCCATAAACTCCTAGCAATATTGCGGAGAAATTCCGGCGGTTTGATTGTCGATTCATAGGACGAGAGACGTTCCCGGCTAAATCGCGCTTCGTCCTGGAGCCCTTGCGCATATGTGCAGACTGCACGTGCTGCGCCGTTGAGAATGGGTCTGCAAGGTACGCACCTCGTTTTATGAGTTCCTCCGATAGCCATCTCACTGTCCCCTCCGATGTTTGCATTGCTAGATCTCTGTCAATGACCACAACAGTGTTTGATCAGGGTTCTGTGGGTTGCGTATGGTAAACATTGACTCAGGATGTCCGTACATTACCCGTAGCGATAAGGTGAACTCGAATAGTCTCTGCGATTGCGTGCTGTACTGAAAGGACAGGTTTCGACGCTCTGTCGATTCCGCTCAGTAGCCGCCCTTAGGCTGAATGAATCTCGCAGTCGTATTCCCGAACGTCCGAGGTAACAGCGATTGACCGTGACTTTTCTTCATTTGGTCTATGTGCTAAGACAGGAATATATCCATGACAATTTCTCTTGGCAAGTAGATGGGCTTTTCTTTGGCAGTTGATGCAGAATTCTGCCTGAAGACGCACCCCGCGCCATCCGAGGCGAACATCCGAAACCGTGTGCGCCGGCACTATCGTCAAAGGCGAATTGCTATTGATGGGATTCTTTCCCCGCATTCCGGTGATCGACATGGCTTCCGGACCCCTCGATAATTAATCAATGCTTCATATCAGGTCACCCATGGCTTGAAATGAAGTTGACGCCCAATAACGCCACAGTCTGCCAGATTCTGCCACCGCGTCATCTCTTCTAGCGCTTAATTTAGACGTCGCAGCATCCGAATCTTCAAATCAAGTCTCTGGGAGCCGTTTCAGAAATCTGCCTTCGTGGAGTATGTGTCTTTACCGACCCAAATTCTCACTCCAAGGCAACCGGAAAAATTTGGTTTGCCCGCCGTGCCTAAACGGCAAGACGGAACACTTTCTTGCAATCCTTCAAGTTGATAGCCCGTCGTCCACGTCTCAGTACACGCTGGGATGCCGACTTATCCCCTTTAGATGAGGCGCCGTCAGCCCGAATTGACCTGTGGTTTCGAGTTGAATGAGACTATACCAGACAGGCTCCGGGGATCGACATCCTCGCTTGATAGCATCACGAACCCCCCGGTCAGGGCTTGATTTGGTTCTACCCTTGCTGCTCTAATCTTTCACTCAGCTGCCGGGGGACTTACTTCCTAGTGCGGAAAGACTGTGAATGAAAACCATCCCTTGCCATCTATGAGAGCATACCCCAAGGGGAAGTCGCTTCGACCGTTTCCCTAGATGTAGTCTCGCCGACATACATTTCCTTATCAGACAATATGGTCCTGTAAGCTGAAAATGTTGCGTATTCGCATGTGGTCCTCTCGCCCGTCATTTTTCTGGGGACCCCTGTCGAAGGAATTGCCGTGAACATGCAGAAACCGGCTATGGCCCAGGGTAGCCGTGATATTACTCCTAGCAAAAGTAGCTCGGAGCTTTCTCCGCTACTGCACAGATGAAACGCAAAATCTCACTCGTGGCTCTGTGATGGACACGGAACTTTCGGGATTCTGTTAGTCGAACGACTTAGTGTGCGGAGCACTTCTAAGTCCATGAGATCTCAGAGTCCACTTCCAGACATAACTTGCTGTCCTTGTGACATGCATTGCCTGCTTGGTTAGCCCCCTACAATCTTGGACAAACATCGCTCTCCTTTCTTGAAACAGGCGAATGCGACGGACTGACGGACCGTTGCACCGGATATGTTGAGATGGAGATATGCACTCCTCCTAGGCTAGCTCCGGGGTAAAAAGGAAGGACGATCTCACTTTAACAAAAAAGGTATATAAAGTCCAACAACCTCGTCCTAAAGTTGGTCAATCATCTCTGCTGGACAGACAACAAAGACAAAAATTTATTCATTCTCTTCTGCATCAGAATGCATCAACGCGCGCTCCTTTTCTCTGCTCTTGCTGTAGCCGCCAATGCTCAGCAGGTCGGCACACAGAAACCGGAAACCCACCCTCCTCTGACCTGGCAAAAGTGTACTGCTGCTGGCAGCTGCACTCAGCAGAGCGGCTCAGTTGTGATTGATGCCAACTGGCGCTGGCTGCATTCGACCAAAGATACCACCAACTGCTATACTGGCAACACGGTAGGCATTTCTACCGGCAGCCGTATTCAAGGACGCAGTTTTGCTGACAATGCCAACAGTGGAACACGGAGCTCTGCCCTGACAACGAATCCTGCGCTCAAAACTGTGCTTTAGATGGTGCCGATTACGCGGGCACTTACGGTATCACTACCTCTGGATCCGAGCTTAAGATCAACTTCGTCACCGGTGCCAATGTTGGCTCGCGTTTGTACCTTATGCAGGATGACGAGACGTATCAGCATTTCAACCTGCTGAACAACGAGTTCACCTTCGATGTTGATGTGTCGAACCTTCCTTGCGGTCTGAACGGTGCTCTGTACTTTGTGGCTATGGATGCCGATGGTGGCATGTCTAAATACCCTAGCAACAAAGCCGGTGCGAAGTACGGAACCGGCTACTGTGACTCCCAGTGCCCTCGGGATCTCAAGTTCATCAATGGCGTGGTAAGTTAAGCCCTCACAATGGGAGATATGATCGAAGATTTCATAGAAGCTGACGGTAACACAGGCCAACGTGGAAGGCTGGGAGCCCTCCAGCAACGACAAGAACGCAGGCGTTGGTGGCCACGGATCCTGCTGCCCTGAGATGGATATCTGGGAGGCTAACAGCATTTCCACTGCCGTGACTCCTCATCCCTGTGATGATGTCTCACAGACCATGTGCATCGGCGATGCCTGCGGTGGCACTTACTCTGCTACCCGTTATGCAGGCACTTGTGATCCTGATGGCTGTGACTTCAATTCTTTCCGCATGGGCAATGAGTCCTTCTATGGCCCTGGAAAGATCGTTGATACGAAATCCAAGATGACCGTAGTGACTCAGTTCATTACTGCCGACGGCACTGCCAGTGGTGCTCTTTCCGAAATCAAGCGTCTCTACGTCCAGAACGGTAAGGTGATTGCCAACTCTGTCTCCAACGTTGCCGGCGTGTCTGGCAACTCGATCACCTCGGACTTCTGCACGGCCCAGAAGAAGGCCTTTGGCGATGAGGATATTTTCGCGAAGCACGGCGGTCTCAGCGGCATGGGCAAAGCCCTGTCTGAGATGGTTCTCATCATGAGCATCTGGGACGATCACCATTCTAGCATGATGTGGCTCGACAGCTCCTACCCCACTGATGCTGATCCCTCGAAGCCTGGCGTTGCCCGTGGCACCTGTGAGAACGGCGCCGGCGACCCGGAAAAGGTCGAGTCCCAGCACCCTGATGCCTCTGTGACTTTCTCCAACATCAAGTTTGGTCCCATTGGCTCGACCTACAAAGCTTAGGCGATTTGACAGGAAAGTCAAGCTGGAGCGGGGGACCCAGATTGTGTCTGCAATGGTTGAGGGCAGGCTCCCTTGAGAAATAGCAGGACGAGGAGTGTCTCCTCCCGGACTTGCATGTAGTCAGACACACGATTGACATAGACCCTGCTGAGCTTCCGGGCAGGCTTTCACTTACTGTTTTCTTATTCGTCACTTTCTTTGTGAATTTACCTTTTGGTTCCTGTTTCCAAGTGAAGTGTTTTGCTTTTTCTTCTGGAAGGAGCTCGAATTTGACTTCTCCTGTACATATGAAGTTGATTGAACAATTTTCTTGCCTTTCTGCAATTCTTCTCCCCGTTCCCGACAATCACAGATGACAGCTAGTATTCGTATTCTTGAAGCAAACGTAGGAAGATCTCTTTGATCAACCTGCCTTGCCTATGCTCAATGCAAGTCTCCTTCTCATTGGGCATTATCTTCGGACTTGGAAGACAATAGAGAATCATCAGAATTATAACCCTCTTTCTTCGGATCCAAGAAGTAAAGCTCTGCTGTGTAGGAAGAGTGGGTGCAGCGCTGTATTGGTACAAGCAACCGACGTCATCTTGAAACAGACACAATGTCATCCATGTAAAGAGAGATGAAGACACGAATAGGATAAACTCAAGAAAAGTATATTAAACCAAACTAATCAGGACAGTCGGCCAAACACGACCTGATCGACCCTTAGCATGAGACAAGACATCTGCCAAACGACCAAATATGTATTGCCTCATGTCGAGAGCACTTTGATTAATTCTCCATGCGACACTCTGAGCATGTCTTGCTTTTATTATGAGGGCTAGCAGAAGGTGATTTAGATGGATTGGTAGGTGCTAGGACTGATTTATTCTGTGTTCTTCATCTGTGTGCTCTGAGTAGATAATATGAAGTACACCAAAAGGCAAAAGAATAGATCCTTACATCAGGGTGAGCCATTATTTGCATCGATCCTAGGTTTTATTCAAGCTGTGATGACTGGCTCAAACTCAAGCTGTATTTATGACGTCTAATGCTGCCAGCTGTGTTCATCCCTCAGATGGAAAACTTCCACCACCACCAAACCAACCAAGCCTATTCTCACTGCCAACAAAATGCGTTCTTCAGCGTATCATAGAATCTTTGGTATTCCAGAACTTTATGAGGAAATCCTCCTCCTAGTTGATCTACCCACCTTGCTCACTTCAGCTCAAAGGGTCTGCCGTATGTGGCATAGGGTCATCCAAGATTCAGGTGCTCTCCAGAGAGCTCTCTTCTTCAAGGCTTCCGAGAAGCGGGTTGAACCAGAGGAAAAACGTATAAACCCGTTCGTCCAGTCAGATCTCTGGCGTGGTCTATTCCGCAGAGAGGTCTATAAACGTTCGCGCGTACACATGAGTCGTAAGTGGGAGGCTTATCTTCGAAGAGAAGCCAATTGGAGACGTATGCTGCTCAAGCAGCCACCTTCCAACAAGGTCACTGTTGTTGGATCTCTGTACCTGGATACCCAAAGCCTTACCCCATTGCAACTCGCGCTCAAACCTCACAGCGACTGGTGTCGACTGGGAGATCTGTACTCCGGCATCGAGCAGGAGATTATTTTCCCAATGCGTGATCCTTTCGTGTTCTTGTGCGTTGTCCATCCACATTCCGAACTTGATCCGAAACTGAGGCCTTCGTGGTCTACCCGTACCGTACCTATCTCGAAGCTCCTCTTTGATTGTGATGCTGTATTCTTCCATAGGGGCACACCTTTCACAGTATCGCCTAGGGTGGATTTCGAAGATTGGCTGTGGTCACTGGACAAATTTGATTTAGAACCTACACTCGGCGGGGATTTTGATGATAACTGGTGCTTTGGCTTCCCAGGGCTACGAAAATCAGTGTCCGAGTACCTCGATAAAGTCTAGTCACTCTTTTTTGATCGATTTAGCCTTTCACCGCAGGATACGGACGCAAGTGTCACAGTCCCAGTCTGATATTCCTTCCTCATGATTAGTTAATGGACTTTAGACTTCAGAGATGTCTCTGAGCTTAATGACGGAGTTTAGGGCATGGTTGAGAGTAGCCAGGCCAGTTGGCTGTTGGCATTGATAAAGGAACCCCACTGGCGGAAGATTCATCGGCCCGGAACGTACCCACTTTAAATGTCATCTATTCTAGAGCTCCTTCGAGGAGAAGTAAAGAAAGACCTTGAATGACCTCCCCACGCCATGTTTGACACGGTCTGCACCCTCCCGCTCTCGGCGGACCTGTTCTCACAGGCCCTTCATCCTAAGGAGCCAATTGTCTCCGTTGGGTTGTCTACTGGCCACGTCCAAACTTTTCGGCTTCCGTCGGAGGAGAGCGATACCGACGATGACGGGGCCGAGTCGACTTCCTCGTCGCGCAATGGCAAGGGACACATCGATACGATGTGGAGGACCCGCCGACACAAGGGGAGTTGTCGGTGTTTAGGATTCGGAGTGGATGGGGAGATGCTGTACTCTGCGGGGACGGATGGGTTGGTCAAGGCCGCAAAGGCGGAGACTGGCGTGGTGGAAAACAAAATTGCGATTCCTCCTGCGAAGGATGGGTGAGTCAATTGGTTTTGCGTTGCAATTACCCTTCTCCTCTGTGGGTAGTTTAACTAAAGTTGACTCCATGGCAGATCCGTCGATGCTCCGACAATCGTTCATGCGCTCTCCCCTCAGACTCTCCTCCTCGCTACCGACTCCAGCGCACTTCATCTCTACGACCTTCGAATCCCCTTCTCACCCGTGTCTGCTCGGCCACAACAGTCACATCATCCCCATGACGACTACATTTCGTCTCTTACACCGCTCCCTCCCTCGGATACCAGCACGTCCGGCTTCAGCAAGCAATGGGTGACCACCGGCGGCACTACGTTAGCCGTTACAGACCTCCGCCGCGGTGTCCTAGTGCGCAGCGAAGATCAGGAAGAGGAATTGGTAAGCTCCGTTTACATCAGCGGCTTACGCGCGGGTGGAACGAGCCGGGGTGAAAAGGTGGTTGTGGGAGGTTCCAGCGGCGTCTTGACACTCTGGGAGAAAGGCGCCTGGGATGACCAAGACGAGCGTATCTACGTCCAGCGGGAAGCCGGAGGCGGAGAGTCGCTGGAGACCCTGGCGGTTGTTCCTGACGAGCTCGGAAAGGGCAAGATGATTGCCGTCGGCCTGGGAAGTGGTGGAGTGAAGTTCGTCCGGATGGGTATGAACAAGGTCGTCTCGGAAGTCATGCATGACGAGACTGAGGGCGTCATCGGTTTGGGATTTGACGTTGAAGGACGCATGGTCAGTGGCGGTGGTCAGGTTGTCAAGGTCTGGCACGAGGCCGTCGACTCTGATGGAATGGACGGCGACATGGCTGGCGGGAAAAGCATGTTTGGCAGTGATAGTGATGACAGCGACGATGGTGACGACTCGGATGATAGCGATCGTGAGAGTCGCAAGGCTGCTCCGCCTCAGCGAAAGAAGAAGAAGAACAAAGGCAAGGGCGGCCAAGATATCATGGGATTTGCCGACATTGATTGATTTGGCTCGACTCGACTTGATTTCCGGATACCCCAAACGGTTTTGAAAAATCAAAAGTGACGTGTAGCATGCATATATCTATGTTTATGCGAAAGAAAGCTGCAATTACGTGGTGGGCGCAACTTCGACGCAACGTGTAACTATATCAAGCTATCATAGTATATTATCCATCATACCTAATACCCTCTGTTTTCTCCAGCAACGAAGACACATACTTTGTCTATTCTAGGAAACCTCTGCACCCACTTCTGCTCCAACCTCCAATAGGAATAGAGGCATACTGTACCTGGGTGGTGTTCTATGGGGCGGATGGGAGAAGGGGGATTTCCGGCTAGGTGATCTTCTGTCAGAGCGACAATTGAAGGATCCAACATCAGAATGCTAGAATTGCAGTCAGCTCCATCGGTTCCTTTGCCTTCATTCTGCATTCTGCAGGAATGACTGTCAAAAGCGCTTCTGCATCATCGGGATCATCAACTTGTCAACTGCCGAAACTCAACGACCCGGAAAGAGACCCACGGCAAAGAGCTTCCTTCGCTCCAATCGCTCCATGACGTTGAACGGGATTCGCACTCCCCGCTGGTGGGGTGTGGGGAGAAGAGGTTATTAACTTATTATTCATGGCTGATCAAGCCTTATTCCCGAACAACTATGGACCAGAGAACCTATACTTATAGCCATGCTGCCCTGGTCCATTGTTTGTTTTATCGTTTAACTTTAACTCTTTACCGTTTCCTGAGACCGCACCAGTTAATTGTCGTTCTACCACTCTGATCGCGCACAACGCTGGCCATACACATCGTCAAGATGGATGCCTTCGAGTATAATGCAAATCCGGGCCGTGTCATCTTCGGCAGCGGTACCATTCAAAAGCTCCCCGGTGAAATTGCGCGACTCAACCTAAAGGCTCCGCTGGTCCTGTCGACGCCGCAGCAGGTCGGGCACGCGGAGGCCGTCAAGTCGGTTCTCAAAGGCCAAGTAGCTGGCATCTTCTCTGAAGCTACGATGCACACCCCTACCCATATCACAGATAAGGCAGTCGAGTATGCGAGGGCCCAAGGAGCGGATTTAGTCGTCTCCATCGGCGGTGGAAGTACCATTGGTCTGGGCAAGGCCATCAGCATCCGGACTGGCCTTCCTCATATCTGCATCCCGACTACATATGCTGGTAGTGAGATGACTCCTATCTTGGGCGAGACGGCCGAAGGATTGAAGAAGACTCGCTCGGACCCCAAGATTCTCCCTGGGACGGTCATCTACGATGTTGATCTTACCATGACTCTACCTGCGGCGATGAGTGCCACGAGCGGTGTCAATGCTATTGCCCATGCTGGTTAGTAAAATCGTACTTCTGTGTCTACGACGTTCGAAAGGCTAATGGTCATGATAGTCGAGGCGCTGTATGCCCGCAACACAAACCCCGTCATCAATCTGATGGCTGTCGAAGGTACCCGGGCACTGGCATCTGCCCTTCCAGAGATCGTCGAGAACCCCTCCTCGAAAACTGCTCGCTCGCTGGCTCTGTACGGTGCCTGGCTCTGCGGTACTTGCCTGGGTAGCGTGGGCATGTCCATCCACCACAAACTCTGCCATACCCTCGGCGGTAGCTTCAACCTGCCTCACGCAGAGACGCACACGGCTGTCCTGCCACACGCCATCTCCTACAACGCTCCCAAGATTCCTGAGGCCATGAAAAAGCTCGCAGAGGCGCTTCCGGACAGCAACGGCGATGCTATTCACGGCCTCAATGTCTTGCTGGACAAGCTCAACGTCAAGCGGGGCCTCAAGGAGTTTGGCATGAAGGAGGAGGATATTGACAAGGCTGCAGACATCGCTGTAAGCAATCCTTATTGGAATCCTCGAGACATTGAGCGTACTCCTATCCGGGAGTTGATCCGGAGGGTATGGGCTGGCGAGCCGGCGAGAGCAGATCTTTAGCTAGCAGTCATATGTCCTGCTATATTATGTAAAGACTCTTTGAAATGTTAAGAAATGTCCTTAATGAGAAAAATGATCTAATCGTTTTTGGACGATTATCGTACTCCGATGAAGCCCTCCAAATGCCATCAGCCCTATTGGCTGCGGATGGATGGCGGGGTGAAGTGGGGGATTTCTCTCGCCCTCTCCAAAAGAATAAAAATTTCCGCCATCCCAACATCCCACTTTTAAGAACGAATTCCTCCACCTACCCTTGCCTGGGGCCTGTAATCGAAATGGTAACCGAAATGCAGGCAGCGCCCGTTCTCTCAACGCCAGATTCCCTCATACTCGAGGCCACCGAACCCATCGCCCGCCAGAATGCGACTCGCACGCTGTCGGACGAAGAGCTCTCCATCACCTACGACATTGAGCGCACATTGCAGGAAATTCGCCAGGCACGGTACAAGCGCATCGCCCTACAGTTCCCGGATGATATGCTTCCGGATGCACCTCGCGTTTTCCAACTTCTCAGCCGAGGTCTTGCGCGCCGCGACGTCGACAAGACCACCGTCGAAAAGAACGGTAACGGAACGGACGGTGCGGAATCGGAGAAGCTAGCTCATGATGTCTCTCAACTGAGTGTCGATGATAAGCCGGAGCCGGAGCCCAGATTGTACATATTGGCGGATACATCCTACGGGACCTGCTGTGTCGATGAGGTCGCGGCAGAACATGTCAATGCGGACGTTGTCGTGCATTACGGGCGCTCGTGTTTGTCGCCTACGGCCAGACTACCTGTTATCTATGTCTTCACTCATAAGGAATTACCTATCGAGCCGGTCATCCAGGCGTTCAAAGCGACCTACCCGGATCAGGCCACCAGGATCATACTCGCGGCCGACGTGACCTACTGCGACCATATTCCTGCCGTGTACGCGCGCTTAGTGGAGGAAGGATACACCAACCTCTATGCTACGGAGTTAATCCATTGTCCATCATCTGCCATTCCCAATCGGACGGTGCCGGATTCCGTGCGTGAAAACCCCGAATCGCTGTCGGAATGGCAGCTCTTCCACATCTCCGACCCGCCGACTGCGCTCCTCCTGACGCTCGCATCCCGCGTGGCCGCGATCCACATCTATCCAACCACCGACGCGCCGAGCGACAATGTCAAGCCGCTGCCCGCGTCGACGTCGGCCGCCTTGGGGCGTCGCTACGCTATTCTGACGAGACTCAGTACCGTCCCTATTTTCGGGATCTTGATCAATACGCTCAGTGTGAAGAATTACCTTCATATCGTGGAGCATGTGAAGCAAAAGATCGCAGATGCAGGAAAGAAGAGCTACATGTTTGTTGTAGGCAAACTGAATGCCGCCAAAGTGGCTAACTTCAGCGAAATCGGTGGCTGGGTGGTGATTGGTTGCTGGGAGAGTTCCCTCGTCGACAGCAAAGATTTCTGGAAACCAGTGATCACCCCGTTTGAGTTGGAGCTTGCTCTCAAGGGCGACCACGAGCGGGTCTGGACCGGAGCCTGGCAAAGCGACTTTCAGAGCATCCTTGACCAACCTGCCGAAGAAGCACAAACAGCTGACGACGAAGAATCACCAAACAGCGACGACGACATGTCGGAACCCGAGTCTGCACCTCCGGAGTTTGATCTGCGAACCGGCCGGTATGTCTCTCACACGCGTCCGATGCGAAATCCTGCGCCCCGCGTTTCCGCTCAGGGTGACGATGCAGTCTCTGCTGCCGGTGGTCCAGCCGCTGCCCGAGCCCTAGCCAGACGGGCTAAAGGCGAGTTGGCGATGATCGGCGGGGCCGTCTCTCCAGGGGCAGAATTTCTACGGTCGCAACGGACTTGGAAGGGGCTGGGAAGCGACTTCGATATCCAGTACGACGAAGAGGATTCTAAAGACAGCACTTTGGTCGTCGAAGGGCGCAAGGGCATTGCAAGGGGATATACGGTGGGCGATTCAATAGAAAAACACTAGTTTAGGGCGCCAATCAAGCTCTATAGATACCCTGGATGGAGGCTGAACGAAGTCCCGTTACCAAAAACTTGTTCTGACACATCAGTAGATCCAACTCCTATGAGTTAGCTAGAGTATAATCGGCCAATAATTGTATAAAGAATTGATAATTGATTGGCAAAACATTTTATCCCTCAAGAGGCAAAGAAAAGTGTCTCGCGCGACACACAGGGCGACGTATCACATGATGGACATAAGCAGATCCCAGGCGTTGTTGGGTTTGATCCCAACACGATCTATCGACCTTACTGAGTTGGCAAAGCAACAACACCCAGCCAGCTGGTGGTGTTATCATCATCATCTCCTTTATTAGATACATCTTTTTCTTTCAGTCCCTGCCCTTAGATGGCTTCCGCATGGTGTTCATCTTTGGAGTGCACTCCTTGCCTTGCGCATCTTAGCCCGTCTTCTCTTCCCTTATGATGTGCGACACCCGCATTCTCCGCTTTGATTCCGGCCTCGCGTCACTTTGATCCTCAGTAGCAGGCGTTGCCAGAAGGGGGAGAAAAAGAAGAGAAAAGAGTCCGCTGCCATGTCTCTCCTATGTGAATCTCCGATCTATGAACCGGAGGTGAAAAGTCGCGATTTAGATGAGATGGAGGAGGATACAGGTTCGATTTTCTCAGAGTCCGCATCGGAGCAGTCTATCCCCCCGACTCAGCGGTCTCTTTCGATGTTTGAGCGAGTCATCACCACCCACGCGCCTATCCTTGAATCTCTCCTACTCCAGACTCCCACCGATGCCATCCTCAAGCTCTTTCATACCTCCCGCTACCTTCGATCCTTCCTCCAAAATTACCCAACGGCATGGAAGTACCTCTCGTTCCGCTTGTTCTACCCTTCCGGCAGTCAGTTCCCGCTCCGGATTGTATTCCCTGGAGGAACCGAGTCGGTGATGCCACGCCAATCGCGGTCATATGCTCTCGATCAACTGCTGATGAACGTGGTGGTTCCGTTCAGCCCGTGTCTGAAGAGTCTGGAGCTGGATAATACCGCGGTCTCGGGGCAGATTCTAATATCTACTGTTTTGCATTCACGACGAGAAACCCTGGAGCACCTCTCTGTTCGTGGCTGCAAGAATGTCTCTCTCAAATACCACATTATCCCCTATCTGACCATGTTCGGACTCCAGTACGACGTGGACATGGAAAGGAACATCGGCAGCTCCTCGTCGACGAAACGTCTTGCACTAAAGAGTCTCTACACATACCGATGCCGGCATCATAGACGCAGACCGTATCTCTCATCTTCTCTCTTGCGCAAGGATTCGGACTCTGAGCCTACGCATGAACTGGTCAACCTCTGTCACAAATTGGGGATCTGGACTGACACTGCGTGGTGCTCTACTCCCGCCGGGAGATGCTTCCGGAGAAGGAGCTATGTTTCTATGAGGGTTCCTCAGGGTTCTGCTGAAGTATGGGTGGTTTTTGACCGACTGTGGAGGTCTAAGAATTGGATCGGCCCAGTGGAACAGGGCGGTCGGCCAAGCCAGAGAGATGGGAAGTTGTGGGAACACAACGAGACTGGCTACAATGGCGAGCCACTCGGAACCGGGGAAGGACAGGGACTGGGCGAAGGCAAGATGACGCCTGCCCATTTGCGTTCGAGCCACACTCGTTTCGTCGACAACATCCGCTGCGATAATTGCTTTGAGGAGATTTCGGAGAGATGCGAACAATGTAGTATCTTGATGCACTGCGTCGGGTGTCGAAAGACCCTCTGTGCGAGCTGCGCGTTTGACCGACCCTATCTCCACCGCCGCAGCAGTTCAGATGACGCCGCGAAAAGCTTCTGGTGGGCACATGGTGTTGTCGTGTCCCCGTGCCTCATGCAGGATCCTCTCCGAAGCCCGACGGACAGCGTCTCTGTCAATTCCAATGACCCAGTACCTTATCCGAACCTAAAATTTCATTGGTGTTGTACCGAGCCCATATTTTCCGGAGGCGGCGGCATCAGCATCGGCACCCCTAACCGGGACGTGGACCAGGTGCGAGCAGCTCCTTTACCCCGTGGTCAAGGCTGGGAGGACTTGGAATACTCGGCCAACGAGTGGAGCAAGACCTTTCCCAAGTATGCTTACGGTGACCCCCGTAAACCGGACTACTCCCTTGAGACAGGCCATATCGCCATGATGAAATGGCTACTGGGACCGCCTGACCGCCAGCCTACAGCATGTCCTCGGAATCTCTGTCAAGAATGTTACGACGCTCCTCAGTGGAAGGTTCACTGTAAGAGTTGCTCAAAGCCATTATGCATCGAACACGACCTGCGGGGTCTTCGTCTTCGCATCTGCGGTTATCGGGACCTGGCTTTGGAGAAAATGGCTATTCAGACCCCGTCCGGGCTGAGGTCCGATCAGATCAACAGCGAATTCATGCGAGACCTCGGCATTCCCCAGCCTGGGCTTGCAGGTTCCACTCCCGAAATCGAGCTACCTTACCGAACCCTGCGTGTCTTCGATTCCACTACTAGCAGTTTCACTGAAGATAACGGGGATGGGGTGCCATTGCTGATATGGGACATCCCGGCTTGCTGAGTTCGGGAATATCTTCCAGGCCTGTTGCGCCTATCCACCGCCGCTCAAGGAGTTTCTCGGTCAGTAATTCAAACCGCTCACGGTCCTCGTCGCCCTCGTCCTTCTTCTGCGAGTCGCCGTTCGATTCCCCCAAATGGCAGGGCTGCCAGTCCTTCTTTTGCCCACAGATTCGCGCGGTCGGTGACCAGCGTCAGAGATGCTCTAGCATCCTGCGGGAATGCACGGCCTGCTCGGTCTACGTCTGCCAGGATTGCATCAATGTGAATCCACCTTGCAACTGTTCCTTTTGCCAAGTGCACTACCACTGCCCGAATTGCATGAAGCTTCGTGAGCGGGACGGGACATGTCGCCGGACGGCAGAAGAAAAGGCGCGACGGGAGCAGAAGTGGAAGCAGGACATGCAAGCCCTGGAAGCTATTCTGGAATTTAAGCTGGCGGACGAAGTCGTGGAATTTGCAGGACAATTCTTCGACCTGGTTGAGGCCATGTCAGACGTGGAAGTACATGAGTTGGAGGATGTTCAGCAGAACCATCCATCGGATTCAATCTTCCCATTTGACCAGAGTCCTCTGGGAGCGGACTTCCTGGTAGATGATGCCTTGACTGACAGTTCCGAGTGAGATTCTCAACCTCAATTGTCTTCGGTATCAGTAATGTGTGTTTAGCGATATGTTCAACAGCGTCGGACTTTGCGCGGGAAGCAAAGCACTCATGTGATGGGAGTTAGGCGTGACAACTGCTCTATTCGCATTATTGTCATGGAGCTAGCGAGTATGTTATGGCATATTGATCATTGTTCGGGTCGTTTACTAGGAAGAGCGTATTTGTTATTCCGTGTATGTGCCTTGTTAGGAGTCCGGTTACTAGCTACAGGGAATTGTCAGAACAAGCAATAAATGTCAAACTACATCTCGCATGTGTCACTAGTTACATGGCTTTAGGTCAAAGGCTATACGGGATAGTCTCGACTCAAGCTCTCAAGCTTCAATCATGAGAGGGTCTCCACAACGACAGATCTGCGGAACGGCCCCGCCAACCGCCGGGACCGACAGAAGGTACTCGAATTGTATCCAAAAGTGCAGCTCGATCTTCTCACTTTCAACAGCCTACAATCTTGCCTACTTAATCTATCTTCCTTAGGATCAGGTTATATTGCCGAGTTCCTGTCAGAGGTAAGCCTCCAAGCTAAGGTTACTTTACTACGGAGTAACCCCGCGCAAACTATCACTAACCCCACACCTCAAATTCTCCAGCTCCAAGCCTCATCGATCAACATTCAACAGCTTCATACACCGAAACCCACATACCCATAAAAATGTCATCGACAGACCTCGAACAAGACCCCACACCTAAGGACATCGCCGACCGCGAACGCGAAGAAAAAGAGCGCAAGGCAAAGGAAGAGGCAGAACAGGCGCAGCTCCCCTACAAATGGACGCAGACGATCCGCGACGTGGACGTGACGATCCCCGTGCCGGCGAACATCAAGGGCCGGGATCTGGACGTTGTGTTGACAAAGACGAAGATCAAGGTTGCGATTAAGGGCAGGAGGCGTTCATTGAGGTGAGCACGGCACTGTTCCGTTCGAGTCCTGATGGATGTAAGATAAAGTGTGGGGGAAAGAGGACTGACATGGCGGGAGCAGGGCGACCTTCCTCACCCTATTATCGTGGATGAATCGTCCTGGACGCTGGAGACGACGTCCCAGCCTCCCGGGAAGGAGGTCTCGGTGCATCTGGACAAGGTCAATAAGATGGAATGGTGGGCTCATGTTGTGACAACGGCGCCGAAGATCGACGTCAGCAAGATCACGCCGGAGAACTCCAGTTTGAGTGATTTGGATGGCGAGACGAGGGCGATGGTCGAGAAGATGATGTACGATCAGCGGCAGAAGGAGATGGGCGGGATCTCTAGCGACGAGCAGCGGAAGATGGACATTCTGAAGAAGTTCCAGGCTGAACATCCAGGTATGTTTTTGTCGAGATTTGGCATGGTCTAGGAGCTAATGTGTTACAGAGATGGACTTTTCCAATGCAAAGATTGGTTAAGGTGGTGCGGATCTACTGCTATTGATTGTATGGATTAATGATATCAGTGTACTTGAGTTTAACATAGAGCTCTAATGGAGCCTCTATATGATGATTATCTGCTTATCCTTAACCATTTGTTTGAGTGGAGCGAATCGATGCAAGACTCCCTGTTTCCATAAAGAACTGGCTTTACCATTTCGGGTAAGGCCTCCACAAGCGAATGCGAGAGTTGCCATTCTGGGACTAGTGCCGTATCTATAGGATGGTGTTCTCGTATCCCCATCAGCCTCGTCCCCATCCTCCATCGACCTCTGATGGATAGCTATCCGAATATAGGCTGAGTGCGATGTGGATCAGCTCAGAATATCGGCCTTGACTCATGAGCTGAACCAATCCCGCGTGTGAAAGCAGACAACCAGGCTAGCAAGGCGCAGCCAATCGAGCCCGATAGGCATCTGCTCTTCAGATTCGTTATTTCTATCCATCTATCACAACCCATCAAAGCTAGCTTTGAAGCGCATTTGCAGGCTCAGTTTAGAGAACACAGCAGATACTATTTGAAGATACAATGCTACCTTCTCCGGAAACATCGGTCTCTCCAGCGGCCGCCGACAGAGCCCAGCCAAAGACCAATCCCAAACGTTCCGGGCCATCAGGACCTCTGCAAGGCCAGAAGAGTCTATTTCGAGTCCCTATGTACCGGTCGTCCGGTACTGGACCCTCAAACAGCGAAAGATCCGCCGAGCGTGCGTACCATGCGCGGCGGTCGCACCGCAAGTCCCGCTCCGGCTGTCTAACTTGTAAGAGAAGACGAGTCAAAGTACGTTACCTTCCTGTTTCGTTTTGGCCTGGTACTATGGAGTATGCTGATGGCTCCAGTGCGATGAGACCCAACCTCACTGCTTGCGATGCAAGAAGCATCGCGTTACATGTGTATACACCGGCCCGGAGTGCTCAACCAACGAAAGGGGCGTTGTTTCTGTATTCATTGAGAAAAAGCCCGAATTGGTATCGCCAAGCTCTAGCCAGTATTCAATGTATCTCCTGGAAGTGGCAGACAAAATAGATGAGCTGTTGCAGCTAGGCTCAAAGAAGCGACATTTACCCGATGCCGTTCGCGCTCTGCATCATTTCCATCACGCCACCACTCCTACCATTGCCAATCAGCGCACACAGATACTCATGAGAAACCAACTGATGCAACTAGCCTTCAATGTCAGTTGCCCCTGCATCCGAGCATTGATGAATGCAGCTGACAGATTCAGACACCCCTGCTCATGCACACCATCATAGCGGTGGCAACCTCCCATCTTCGGTATGCGGTGCCTGACAACACCGCTTACAAAATGGCCGAAGCGTACCACTGGCAGCAAGCCATCAGCCAGTACTCCAAGGAGCTCGGCTGCGCAGTCGGTCCGCATAACATGGACGCTCTCTTCTCCACATGCCTCCTCATGACCGTCCACGCGTTCCAACTGGAGGAATACAATCCCCGCAAGTCCTTTGTCTTCTCCGACGATCCACAAGCCCTGAGTTGGCTCACTTTACAGAGCGGCCTGCGCCACCTCCTGGGGCTTACCAAGCCCTGGCTGTGCATCAGCATGTGGTGGGAGGTCTTCATGGCGTCTCGCCATGAGTATCAAGCCTTCGATGATCCCCCGCCGGGACGGGAGGGTCTGCACCCAGAGCTGGCTGATATCTGCGGTATCGACGACACAACCACGGAAGAGAGTAATCCGTACCTGGCGCCGCTGCGGATGTTCACGCTGCTACTGCCGGCCGAACGGTCCATCAAGAGTTTCTCCAAGTATACCACGTTCATGGGCCGGTTGTTGCCGAGTTTCTGGGCGCGACTAGCCAAGAAAGACCCGCCGGCGTTGATCATACTCAGCTGGTGGTTGGCGATGCTGGACTCTTGTAAGTGCTGGTGGGCGGAGACCCGGGTGCGTTCCGAGTGCGCGGCTATCTGCATGTATCTCGAGAACAGTGAGGATCCGCGCATCTTGCGGCTGTTGGAGTTTCCGGCGGAGGTTTGTGGGTATCTGCTCAAGCATGTTCAGGAACGTGCTGAGATGGAGGTGCCATTAATTATATCATATGAGCCTGTCAGCTGGTAGGATGATATCTAAGCCAATGTTCATTCATAAGCGACTCGTCATTATTATAGATGCGTATGTGCAATATTACAAGCAATACTCCGTCCAATTGCGCCAGCCACCCAATCCCGCATGCATAGCATGATGTGGCTCAATCCCATTACCCAAGAGCAAAAGAACGCAATGCTTCCATCAGACCATCGAGGCCAGCCATTAATTAATGTAAGTGGAAAGAATGCTTCCCACCGAAACAAAAGACCAACTATGAGCCACCGGCAAAGAAACAAAAGCGAATGATTACTGCAACATCGTTATTCGTTAATCACCTACTCTCCCACGAGAAGCGCCGCTCGCTCTCAAAACTCACCCTGCCATGCCCCGCAAGATCCCGCGGCAGACACTCCCGCCGCAGCACCGGCCTAGGCTGCGCAATATGCGCCATAGGCGGCGGCGGAGGGAGCGGCGGCGGATTCAACGAGGAGATGGACATGGCCCTCGACGGGGCAGGCGAGATGCGCGGCGAATACGGCGGCGGCGGCGTCTCCCTCGTGGCCGTCGAGGTGTTGCCGTAGCTGCTTGGGAAGGATATCGCCGAGGAGACGTCCGAGGTGAGCTCGTCGCCGTCTGTGCTGGCAAAGTCGCGCGGGTGCTTCTCATCATGCAGCGAGGCGATGGAGCGTGACGAGGAGATGGGGGGATCACGCATGTGCGCTTCCAGCGTCTTTTCTTGGATGCTGCTCATCGGTCGTGGGGTGTACCGTGGCAGCGGGACGGGTGGGGTATACCCATCCTCGTCGAAGGTCATATAGACCGGCCCTTCATCGGGATGATAGTGAGATGTGAAGTTGCTGTCATTGTGATAGTGATGATGGTGATGGGTTTCGGCCATTGCTCGGCTTGGAGCCCGGGCTGATGGTGCGCGCGGGGGACTCTTCGGGGCGAAGCAGCCGCACAGCCCGCTGAGAAATGACATGACTGAACTTTTTCGTACAACGACGGCTTAAGGAGATCCCGGGATGATATGGAAAAATATAAAAGTCTACTTATCATACGTGTATATGCAAAGACAATAAGTAGTAATGGATTTGGCTCATCAATGGAGACCAAGTAGTAATGTGGAAGACGCTCGGATCAATGGATTGTCAGATGTCAGCAAGGCTGACTCGAGGAGGTGTCCAGATATCAGAGCAACATAATGCTCAGCGGAGTCCAGCGTGATAGCTGGACAGATGAGTAGTCAATGAGCAGAAGAGGGGATACAGAAGAAAATAAAAGAAAGAGAGAAGCGAAGATGACAGAAGTTGGCTTCGTATCTGCCCTGGCTGTGCCTCACTGCCTCAGGCCAGTCACAGTACCATGGACTCAGGCACCCATATTGTCTCGTTCTGTGATTGGCTGCAGCATTACCGATAAGATACGCCGCCCCGCTGACTTTTTGCCTGAGGCATTCAGAAATTTGGGTTTTCCCCAGTCAATTGTTGTTATCGGTGATTTTTTCCTTATGTACCTGAACACTTTCCACGCAGCGCCATAGACACTCTTTCACCAGTCTTAAAGAATAACCAAAAACGAAGTCAACCACATACAATGTGGCCGGACGCAGATTCTAAAGATGAGCTTGTAACCGTCATACAATCAGTCAAGCCTCCCACCGTCCCCGCGCATCGCTCCCACGACCCCGCCAACAACCTCAAGCGCACTGATCCCTACCAGTTCGGCTCCCGCTACCTCGAAGAAGGCGACGATGTCTTCGAATTCAACGCCTGGGACCATGTCGAGCCGGACGACGAGTTCAAAGCCTTCGCCGAAGTCCAATACGCCAAGCAGCGCGAATCCCCCGTCTCAGACTTCGACAAGCAGCGCTTCAACAAGGACCCCGCGAAATGGTGGAATCTGTTCTACAAGAACAATACGGCCAACTTCTTCAAAGATCGCAAGTGGCTGCGCCAGGAGTTTCCCGTGCTCGCCGAGGTAACGCAGAAGGGGGCGGGCAGGAAGGTCGTACTTGAGGTTGGTGCCGGGGCGGGCAACACGGCGTTTCCGCTCATCACCCATAATGAGAATGAGGAGTTGATGGTGCATGCGTGTGATTTTTCCAAGACGGCGGTTCAGGTTATGCGTGAGAGCGAACACTACGATCCCAAGTTTATCTCGGCGGATGTGTGGGATGTGACTGCTGTGCCGGATGAGGAGAATAATGGACTTCCTCCGGGGTTGACAGAGGGGTCGGTAGACGTGGTCATTCTCATCTTCATTTTCTCCGCTCTAGCGCCCAGTCAATGGGACCAGGCTATTCGGAATGTTTATCGGGTATTGAAACCGGGTGGTCTCGTTCTGTTCCGTGACTATGGGCGCGGCGATCTGGCTCAGGTGCGATTCAAAAAAGGCCGGTACATGGATGAGAACTTTTATGTCCGCGGCGACGGCACCAGGGTCTACTTTTTCGAGAAAGAACAGCTGGAGAAGATGTGGGGGACATGGACGCCAGAGAAGGGCCTGCAAATGGCCGAGGACAACACGGTAGCGGCGGAGTCCACCGAGGGCGCATTCGATGTCGAGAAGATGGGCGTCGATCGCCGCTTGATTGTCAATCGCCAGCGGAAACTCAAGATGTACCGCTGCTGGATCCAGGCTCATTACAGAAAGCGCAAGACACCTGCCGGTGTGGAAGCTGAGAAGACGGATTCGTGATTTCGAGTTCCCACCTTATACCGTTGGAGGAATCTTTCCTTCATGCTAGACGCAAAATCTGAGCCGTTGCTCGTGACACTGGCTGCAGGTCACCGCATATCCAACCGTCGTCAGTCTCACTTCCGCAAGCGCAGCTTCAGCCCACTGGTGTCGCTTGTCTTCAATAAAGATAGACCTCCTCTACCGCCGCTCTCACTGTAGACCTTGAACAACTTCGCTTAGTGGCGGGTCTTCGAGTGATAGACCTGCGATATTAGGGTCCGGCAGTGAGGGCGGTCTCATCAGAGATATAATGATGTTATGACATGAAGCATATAGACAGGGTAGAGTGCCTGCATTTATTTAATGTCTTGTCAAGCTACTTGGCGCAAATAGATGTGTTCGACATTTACTTATTCTGTTCTCTTTGAATTGCATTCTCCTGATGAGGAGCATTATGTATATCAAGGACTGATGTACGTACTCAATTAAATGGCAGCAAGTGGCAAAAAAACCTAGGTTCGACTAAAAGAACAACGAAGCAGCTAGAAATTAAGAACAGTATCTGGTCTCTGAGATATGCACAAGCAGCTATACAAGGCGGAGAGATTCCAGCAGGAGTAGTATTTACAAGAAGGGATCTCGAGAGAACCGGTAAGTGTAAGCACAACATCAGCAAAACGAGCAACGCTCCCTATGCAATCGCAATAACTCAGCAGCAAGAGCTCAAAATCAGTGCTTGAAGAAGTCTATAACAAGGACTTGCAGGGGACTGAGTCAACCGCTGACCGATACGTGACCGTAAGTCCTTGGGCTCAATGTCTAAATGCTTTTGTGTATGGCAATCAGAAAATGTCGTAGAATCTCATTCGTAGCCGATCGTGCGCTGAGCGCTGAATTATTTGTTCAGAAGCCATTCATGCCGTCAAGCTGGGACATTCTCCCTTAGCTCGAACGAAGGCATTAGCGAACAAATCCTGCATGGCGCAGTAGTGGAACAGAATACCACCGAGCACAGCCAGATGCCAGATGTTGTGGCTGCCACCGAAGTAGTCGAAAAGTCCAGGACGCCACCGCTCAGGAACCTGAGAGGCGTAGATACAGGCTCCGGCAAAGTAGACCAGGATACTCTTCATGACGGGAGCATAGAAATAAAGACACCAGGCGAATCCACGGGTATAAGTGAGCTGGAACAAGGGCGCAAATCCTGTAAGCGCAAGTGTCACATAGAATGCCACACGAGCCCAAGCCAAGTCATTGCGATTAAACGTGGGATGCCAGGGCAGAATGACACCGCCGATTCCGAGCGACATGGTCAGCAGAATATATGTCCAGCGAGAAACGGGCTCGCAGTAGAAAGCCGTGTACTCGATCGTCACAATAGAGGCAGCCACCAGAAGCGAGATCCCTGTGTAATCGACACATGCAAATTTCTCCATCAGAGGCTGGTTAGCAATGCTGTTCATGGTGTGCCACAGGGTACTGCAGACCAGACACTTGCACGCAGCAAAGAAAAATACAGCAGCAATCGCCACATCGGTCTTGGTGCTCAGGTGGAAATTAGGATTGAGAGGGTAAAAGTAGAAGGCGACCGAGAGGACAATGAAGAGACCGATGAGGTGCGACCAGATATTGACCGTTTCGTTGCAGAAGCTGAAGACTGACTTGAGACATTCCACCTTCGATGATGAAAAGCGATATCCCTGCAAGATATGGGGATTGATTCGCCACGGCTGAGGAAGGTCAGCGTAGGTGATCAACCGCTGCTCTTGAGCTAGTAAAATGGCACGATTAATGCTCTCGCGTAGCGAATCCTTGGCTCGTCGCGCTTGTTCTATCCCCTCGTCGACCACCTCACGAGCGTGCACCAACTTCGAGTCGACCGCCTTCCATCCATCGTCCAGAGCGCCATAGATACCGCGATCGCGAACCGCATGGGCTCGAGATTCCAGCTCTACCAGGAAGGACTCCATCAGGCGTACTCCGGCTTGAGCCTTTTGCTCCAGCGTCTCCTTCGTAGCCAGCGCATCGTTGTAGCGATCCTCGAGGGTTTCAACCAAGATCTTGGCTCTTTTCTTTCCACCTCCCATAAGCTCCCCGGAGGCGTAGGAGCATGAGTCTCTCACGGCTTCAAGTGTTGCATACGCTCTGCGAAGGCTCGAGTCGATCTGAACCATGTGCGACTTTCGATACTGTTCGATCCAATGCATGCGTCTCTCTAATTCCGTTAGGAAGAGCTCAACCTGAAGAACGTCAGAACAGAGTAAACATTTCACAGCTGGGCTTTGACCATACCCTCAGGAAAATAGCGTCGCCATCGTAGTCACAAGACAGCCGCCGAGCCGTATGGAACGAGTGCCTACGCCGTCGATCGCGCAAAAGATTGGTTTCCTCACTGGGAGTTGGCGCAAAAGATGTTGAGGTAGCATCTGGATACGACTCGAGGGTCACAGATTGCGTTGCGCAGGCCATTGTGGATCAATAGACAATTCAAGCCCAGATTCTTCCACCACCTTTAATATCTGCAGCTCAAACCCGCATAGTCTTGTGATTTGTTGGTGTCTGAGTGATGAATTGCCTCGCTGTTGTTATTGTTGGGAACTTGAGGCGTCGAAAAGCGGAATCTCGGAACGATATCCCAGATCGGCGAAAAAGTACGGAGTAAGGGGAGAGTTCGATAGTTGAGTGGAGAGGTTCACAGTAATTGCTTTTATATCGGTCAAGAACCACTTAAGACAGATGAGCAGACGTGAAAGAGTGGAGAGAAAGGATGATGAGAGACAAGAGGGTGAGAAACGGTCAGACAGCCAGAAAAAGAGCAGGTGGGGGAGGCGATAATCTTTAAGACGAAGACGCAGATAGATTGGAGGAGAAATGAGGCCAAGAGGGGCAGCAGATGGGATCATGGGTGACAGTAATCATCAATCAGAAACCCCAGCCTCTTCATGTGTGAAAATTAACAGGTCCACGAAAGATAGCTTAAGGTAAGGCAAAAAGATATTCAAGCCTTATCGTTAACTAGATATGTCTGTGCTGCATTTCCTTTCTCCCCTCATGATCCAGATAATAACCTTTTTCTCCATCTCCAGCCCATGAGCATTCGCCGTGTCTCCACGTTCTCCGATACTTCTCTCTCCTGCTATCTATTCTTCCTCGGTCAGATCTTCGCCACAGGTTTCTGCCCAAACGCTATCAATCGCTCCCCTCCATTTCAATTCTTTGCGAATTCGCCATGACTATCAGTGACATTGTCTCCGATCCCTCGTTGCTACCCGTGTTGCGTACCTGCGCCGAGACGAGGGAACAATGCGAGAAGCTTTTATCCTTGTTAGATCCCACGGCACGGTCTCCTTCCTCCGACCCCGAAGAGGCGCTTCTGGCTGCCTCTAAACAGCAGAAGCAGCTTTTTGCCCTTCTAGCCCAGCTTCGTGGTCAGAGTCGGGATGCTATTCTGCGGGTCCGCCAGACAAAACAACTTACGGCAGAAGCTCGGCAAGAGATCGATCGGTTACATCTGCAACTGCAGAATCTGTATTATGAACAGCGGCATCTGACTGGAGAAATTGCTGCCTGTGAATCATATGAGTATGTGGGCCGTTGTTTCAATGTTAATTCGACTCCCTTGCAATTGGACTAACAAGTCGCTGTCTCTTAGTCACAAATACCTGTCCCTGCCATTGATCCCTGTGGAGGAGTTTCTTGCCCTTCATCCCGAACAGACCGACCTTGACTCACACGAACTTATGATTGCACGCATTAATCACGAACATGCCGAGCGGGAGAAGCTCGAACAGGCGCGACAGGAGTTTCTGAAGCGCAAGCAAGCTCTGATTGCAGAGAACAAAAAGCGGAAAGACGACCTGGCTAGCCTGGACCAAGATCTTGAACGGTTCATTGATGTATGTTTTTCCTCTTTCTCGACATTGAGCACCTACCCCTCCAAGATTACTTGCTGACAATGGATTCCAGGCAGCAAAACCGATCCAAAAAATCTTCGAGAAGGAATACTAGGCGTGGGACTCTCTTCATTTACTTCCTTTCTTCGTTGTCGTTTTTTATTCAACAGGCGCATACTCTGAGATACCCGGAAATTTGTATTATAAACTCCTAGGAAAAGGGACTTTGCTGCATGTAATCTACATCATTGTCTTGAGTAGTGGCATCATGAGTCCTCAATTCATTTATGCATATTAAATGGTGAAGATAACCATGAATACTTGATCTCGAACAGTGTAAGCCTGTAGTCTATCCGGAAAGCTTGCAAGTTGTATGATCTTCTGTGGTAGCGTCTTCTGTCGCACCTCGGCGGAGTTGATGCTGCCTGCCACTCTGTTCTCCGCCTTCACTCCGCCTCCTGTTGGACACTTTCCCAGCACAACAGGTGCTTTCAAAGCCATCGCTCAAGCAGGCACGAGAACAAAGAATGTCCTGGTCATGACTAGCAAGCATGAAGACCTGCAGTCTTCCATACAATCCACTGCACAACCTTCCGACCACCCCACCATGAGTTCCAAGGCAAGCGCGCAACAACTTCCTCCGCCCGAGAAGCCAGAGGCTATTCGGACTCGATTCGGAGTCATTGCTGCATTCTGGGCCGTCATCATCTTCCTAGGATTTCCGATATGGTGGAAGACAACATCTATCTATCGGGCTCATTTGCCCGTTCAGGAAATGGCCGATTGGGCCAATGGAAAGGTAAGTGTATACGCCCGAAGTCCAGCAGCGGAGAGTTCTTGGAGCAGACACTCATGTGGTACGTTATACAGACCTGCCGTCCTGTATTTCCTCTTGAAATCCGTTTTGAGACGCCATCTATGCCTATCCCAGAGGCCCAGAATCTTCTCCGAACTACGCAGCATACCCTTGACGATCTCAACGAATTCTCCGCCCATCACCTCCGCCTGAAACTGTCCGAAGACCCAATCGCTGCAGAAAGCCATGTGAGCGCGCAAGGACCGTCGGTGCTTGCTGGTTCAGGCAAACCTGATACCGCGTTGACAGTTCGACTGTTACCTCAGGAGGATTTGGTCGCTCCCAAAGCAGAGCTTCATTCCGAAACAACCCAGCTGGATATCATGTATCCCCCGACCCAGATTCCCGCTCCCTCGTCTTCCAACTCGCCCTTGTCGGCCTTCATCGCGAGCGAATTACAGAATCTGTTTACGGAGGAAAAGGCAATCATTGCGCAAATCCTGTCCGAGAGCAATATGGGCAGCGCCAACACCAACACTCCTCCATCTTCGAACAATCAGCAGCCCTTGGCGGTTCTCAACTCCATCTCTCCGCAACTAGCAGAAAGTATCAGCAGACGGTTGAGACGTTCCATGAAGTATGCCGAGACCTATCACCTTGCCTTTTCTCTGTTCACGCCCGGCGCAGAGCCCTCCTCCTGGGACATTCAAGCTGCTGTGGAGGAGTACATTTCCCCTCTGCTGCAAGCGCTGGGACCTATTAGCAACTTCACTGTGGATACCCAAGTACAGCTGTACGCAACATTTTCTCCAACCGCACCCAAGCCCGAATATGACGAGGCGCTAGCAGCTTGGACATTGAAGAAGGAAGATCTGAGTGCGTTCATCAACGCCGCCGAATGGCCCTTGAGCCCTAGTATCGGAAACGGCCCCACAATCAACTTCATTCTCTATGTGCCTGAGCCTTCACAGTCACCCATGCTCGTCAAGGAGGGCGGTGCGACCAGCTGGATCATCCCTCAATGGGGCGGCGTCTTCCTTCTCAACCCTCCTCTATCGACCATCCAAGAGAACCCCTCCAGCCTAACCCATCTCTCCAAGGATGCACTACGCGCCGCCTTCTTAACATTCTCGCACCAGCTCCTCACCTTACTTGGCGTCCCTACCACGCCTACCTCACTCCCCTTCCGTCTGCAAACGCTCATCCGCGTCCGCGCCGCGACGCTCCTCCTCTCCGCATCCTCCACCATGGGCTCGCTCGCCCGTCTCACCGAGTCTCTCCCCTCAATTCCCATCCCAGCAAACGTGGCCGCGTCTGTATCCACCACTCTCGCTCATCTGGCCTCTGCATGCGCTCATCTCAGCGAGGGCCGCTTCGAAGCAGCTCTTGCCAGCGCCCGCGTCGCGGAAACAGAGGCCGAGCGTAGTTTCTTCGAGAAGAGCATGGTGGGGCAGATGTATTTCCCGGATGAACATAAAGTGGCCGTATACCTGCCCTTACTGGGGCCTATTGGCGTCCCGCTTGTCGTGGGGCTACTGAAAGAGGTCAAAAGGATTATTTCGGATCGGAAGGCTAAGCGGGCATTGTCCTCATAAATAATTTCTTCACTTGTTTGATGTAGTATATAGTATTCCCTTCATTGGTATGATAATCAATCGACGATTTCTTCGGATTAGTTCACATGGCCATTGGCACCAAACTAGCCTATTATATTCAAATCACCAGACATAAAAGAAAACAGCATAAGTGCACAGCACGCTAAATAGTGTATACGCAACTGCTAATAAAAGAATGACGCCTTTTTCTCTATGCAAAGGAACCATGCAGACACATAGGAGACAAAGCTGTTCGCCATCAACAAAGGCGACGAAGAGGACTTTTGCTCCGTGACCTGGGGGTCTCATTGACCGTGTAGCTCGGATCACCCTTGCTATTCTTAAACCCTACCTGATCAATCATCTCGGTGAAGCTTGCACCATTCCCCACGACGATGGTCGGATACGGCTCTGGCTTGAGAACGCCCGTCGAGGCGAACGTCCCCGGCGGCGTATAGACCTTGATACTCTCCGTACTGGGCATGCGGGCCTGCTGCGGAGGGGTCACCGGCAACGGGGGTGGCTTCGATGCCATCTGGCTCGGCTTGGGTGTTGAGCCGAACAGGCTCTTGACGCGTGTCCCTGTGCGTTGGAGCATTGAGCGTGCGCCTTCGGAGTTGCGTTTCAGGGATCTTCGCAGAAGGAAGTCGGTGCGGTAGGCGTTCTCTTCCGAGGGGATGGGGTCGGAGATTCCAATGAGTGTGCCGCTCAATGTTCTCTGGGTGTGCTGTGCAATCTTCACAGATGGGGGTAGGTTATTTTTACGTCGCCTCATGAGGAACATTGCCAGCAGTGCGAGGACGGCTCCGAAGGCGGCGCCAGGAAAGAAGCCGGCAATGATCGCTTTCGTTGGGAAGGAAGGGCATGCGCTCGCCATAGCGGCTGAAGGTCCATGGCAGCTAGAAGCAGCACTGGAGGCTGATGGATCTGCTGGGTCAGATGCCGTTATGATGGTCGGCTGGACACCATTGGTCGAGGATGCGGTGTCTGTGACTTTCGAGGAAGCAGTTGCACTTGTCGGTGCTGTAGATGTCGTAGATGTTGTTGATCCTGTAGAGGCTGTTGTAGAAGCAGAGGGAGGGTTGGTCGTTGTAGTAAGTGAAGATACTGAACTCGTGGCTGTCGAACTCGACGTGCTCATGGCGCAAATGCTATTGCTTTGGCAGCTGTATCCGAAAGGACAGCATGAATCCCCGCACTTCGGCAGAGTATCACCAAGCCGTATTGTCTTGACCACAGCTTTTGGGTGGAGGGTGGCATTTTGCTGTGACACATCGCAAGTGATCGGCTCAATAAAGGCGCAACTTTGCCCGCTGGGGCAGCAGATGGCGGAACTTCCGTTATCCAGACTCACGCAGGTCGATGTGGACGGACAGCAAAAAGAGGATGGCAGATTGGAGTTGTTGCATTGCTCGTACGATGCTGGACAGGAGTCAGAGGCTCGGTTCAACAGGCTGTTGAATGCATAGCTCGGTGAGATGGTGGTCACAACGGTGGTGAAGGCCACCAAGAACGCAGTGGAACTTGACCTCGCCATTTGGCAATATCAAGGGTTCTTCAGGATACAGATTTGCAGTATGTACTATTAATCCCAGAAAAGATAAGTTCAGGAAGAGATTAGTCGATTAGAAATGAGTCTTCCCAACAACAAAGGAACCTAATCACGAGAGAGCCAGACTCGGAAGCTGAAAGGACTGTAGACAAAGACAAAGAACAATATGCAGACCACATAGAAAATCAACAACGAAGAGATCAAGACTGGAGTGAGAGACAGTAGTTTGATTCAATGCCCAAAATAGGCGTCAGGCCATCATTTAAGGAGCATCCAGGGCCATGGCAGCTACAAGCGCCGTCATCTCAAAATAGAGACGGCAAATAGGGCGCAACGTAGATCGCATATTGAAGGACCGACCTAGGTGCTCAGAAGAATAGCAGCTGTTATCTGTGCAGTCCAGTTGAAAGCATCCCATTTGACAACGCAATATGGGCCTGAGACGAGGGCGCGTAGAGTATTGACTGAGGGAAGATGCAACAGATCGTCGATGGGCGGTTAACAGGCTGAGGAAGTAAATCCCTAGTCGCTGATTGGCCGACTGAAAAACTAACTTACCTCAGCAACGCTAGTCCCAATACAGCAATTTCGCATCCGCGATGGAAATTCTGCGGCCGTGAAGCTGCTCTCCATTTGATGTTCAGATCCCTCAATTCACGCCCTCATCATGTTGAACCGACTCCTCCGGCCGCAGACTCCTCTGCGTGCATTGTCCGCTCTCTCTCAAGTATGCTTTCCCGCTTTCCCGGCAGTCCTTGGCTTGCAGTGCAGAACTGATTGTTCGTGATAGAAACCCGTCTCCGCCCTCCCACGCTTCCAGACACGACAGTTGCACCGAGTCCCTCAGTTGACGCACGATGCGTACTTCAAGAACAATGGCATTCCGGAGCTGTTGTCGCCAGAGGCTTTCGACTTTGCTTGGACGCAATATCAGACTCTCCTCATCGATAAACTGAATCTCTTGACACAGGGTGAGCAGACCTTCCGCAAGACCTCTATCTTCAGCATCATTTAGCGCTTCGGCAAATCTGGAATTGCGTATAACATGAGGCCATTTTCTGATGCTTGATACATAGACACCGTCGACGCTGATGCGAAGCCCGGAGAACTGCTGGTCAAGTACTCCCGGCGTCCGGAGATGGCCTCCGTTTTCAACTACGCCTCAATGGCTCACAACAACCACTTCTTCTTCAACTGCTTGGTGAGTAGAACGCAAGGAGGAGTATCGATATCTGTCCGGCCGCATCTAATTTGTTTGTGCAATAGTCACCCACCCCCACTCAGATTCCCGACAAGTTCGCCAAGGACATTATCGACACCTGCTCCTCGGTCGAATCGTTGAAGCTCGACTTCCTCGCGACAGCCAATGCCATGTTTGGGCCCGGTTTCGTATGGCTGGCTAAGAACCTCGAGCGGGAAGGATTGATGCACATTTTCTGCACCTACAACGCAGGCTCGCCCTACCCTGCTGCTCACTCCCGGCGCCAACCGGTCGATATGGCCACCCACAGCCCTGATGCGCCTCTCGGCAACATGTACGCCGGCTCAATGGGTGCGCACTCTCTGAACCAGAAGAACATGGCTCCCGGTGCCGTAGACGTGCAGCCCATTCTGTGTGTCAACACCTGGGAGCACGTCTGGATGATGGACTACGGAATCGGCGGCAAGGCCGAGTACCTGGAGCGGTGGTGGGACCGGATCAACTGGGAGACTGTGTTTGATAACTACAACGCGGTCAGCTCACTGAAGGGAGGCCGCCATGCGCCCAACCGGAATCGCAGCCTAAGCATGCTATGAAAAACACGTGCCGGATGCATGTTTCGATAATTGAATTGTACTATACTATACTAGCTTTTGACAGCATTGGCCAGGCTTTGTTCAAGGGTTTTCTTTTCTCATATGTCTAAATGTACAGCGATTCGTCTCGAGATAGAGATACAAAATGGAAAGAATGCGACTGATCCTCTGTACTATACAATCCATGTGCCCTCAGCTCATCTATAGTTCTATACAACCCATCCAAGCCGTACAGCCCGAATCTATGATAATTACCTCCCCTCCACCTCCCTAATCCTCTTCTCAAATGCCTCAATCATAACGCCCGCCATCTGCCCCTCAACAGCGCTCATCATCGCCGCATGGAACTGATTCCGAAACTCGAACTGAATCTCCAGCTGCACCCGCGTCTGCACACTTCCCCCGGCAACCGGCACCAACTCCCACTTCGTACTCAAATACTCAAAAATCCCCTCATTCGCTCCGGGAAAGATTCCCCCTCCTGCCCATCCTTGGAGTCCACCCCGAACTTGGCCCCGCTGCGCGCCTCGACAGTCCACTTGTCCCGATTGCAGTCCACGCGCGACGTGAAGGTTTCGCTGAGAGGCCCGTAGCCGACTGTTAGGAAGGCGCGCGTCGGGTACCCCGTTTCCGGGTCGCGGTGGGTGACGGTCGAGGCTGTGAGGAAGGGGAGGAATTGCGAGTAGGATTCGACCGAAGAGATGACTTTGAAGAGCGCGCTGAGGGAGTAGGGGAGGGTGCGGGTGGCGGTTAAGACGCGGCTTTTGTTGTTGTCGTTGCCGTTGCCGTTGCCGTTGCCGTTGCCGTTGCCGTTGCCGTTGCTTGGGGGGAAGAGGGAGGAAAGCGACGAGAGGTTGAAGGACCGCCGGGTTGTGGTTGTGAGTGGTGTTGAGCGAGTGCTTGGAGCAGGTGATGTTCGTCGCTGATGCGAAATGCGTGGGACGAGTGCTGGAGAGGTTGGCGGGCGGATTGTGATGTTTGTCCCGCGACAAATGCGTCGCAGTGGTAAGGATGGTTTCATTTTGTGTTGGAGGACTTGAGTAGATGTTGTATGCCTCTGCAGGTGTGAGATAGGGCAATTGACTACTCCGACAACTCCGTACTTTTTTCTTTGCTGCAGGATCCACGCGGGACGTGCCGAACGGCGTAGTTACTTGTATAGCGACAGCGACGTCATGCCATTGAGCAAAGATGGCAAGAGCTCGTGTTCTAATAATTTCAAGTATCGTGGGTTATTGTTGAATATCGTATCTGATTAAATGAATCGCCTATAAACCTGAACCCTTGTCGTATCTCGAGGTATATGCAGAGGCACTACACTATATACAGGGAACCAAACCGGCAAATGCGCCAGTTAACGCATGTAAGCAGTCAGGACTAGAACTTGAAAATGTATAAACAAATCAACCAGAAGTAGCTATCGTTAATTTCTCTACCGAGGTCAACAGGCAGCTCTTATGACTCCAAGCCAGGATACCAAAGAGTGCGCGCGTTTTCATCTTCAAAGCCTCGGATTTGCTGGTCCCAAAGACGCTGCGGAAGGTTAGCAAACCTGGAAAAAACAGCCTCAATGTTCTTACCCAGTCAAGGTTGGTCGGCGCGTCAAGCATCTCTTCAATTACTTCTAGCGAGGTAAATGGTGATTGCATTGCATTGAGCTGGTCGTAGGCAAGCACGGGCGAGGGACCTTGCTGATTCTGCCATCCGTCATACGGGGGTGGTGAAACTACAGTCCGATGATTCAGTATCTTGCACAGGTCATAGGCTGGTCATCTTACCATCACTGGCTGTATTGAATTCTTGGCCACTTGTACCGGGGGAGTCTACTGCATGTTGCATGCTTTTCTTGACACAACGAAGCATGATTGACATCGCAGCATATGCTTTTTGTGCATCCGCCGATCGCCGGCGCATGTCCTTGAAAACCTGATGGGTTGTCTCCAGGGTTGATAGAAGGTCTTCACGGCCTTTGATAATCACTGTCACATCGTTGCATCGACTGTCCGTTCCTGGCTCCCTGGGATGGCCAGGCGAGAGTTCGAGGCAGAGAATCATGGCTGCTAGCAGGTAGTCTGTGTTTTGTATCGAATTCGGGAATCGCTTTTCGCGGTACAGCTGGCCTCCAGGCTGAGTTTCGTGGTGCAGAACTGCTTGGTGTCGAAGGATCTGTTTCGCTGCGGTCATACAGACCCAGCGAGAATATGTGTATCGCATATCATCGTGGAATTCCGCCAGGTACCTCCGGTGTAAAACGCAGCGGCACTTCTGATACAAAATCTCCAGTGTGAAACGCCTGAGGATTAGGTCAGATGAGTCGGTGATTGACTGCTCCATGGGCCTAATTCGTAAGATCGACGGAATCTGATCGTGCACTTCTTCAAGGTGCCGATCAATTTCGAGCGTTTGCTCGTATGTCACCGGTTCCCGTGAGTATGCAAGATCTGATATTCGTCCGAAAACAGACATGATTCTTCCCTTGGCTATGGTATAGCACAGCGGAGTGAGCTCGGTTTCTGGCCGAGAATGTGGGAGTTCTTTCGTATTCTCATCGTAATCTTCATCAAACAAATTCCGCGGCAGCTCCACGTCGTGCTGCCAGGCCTGGATTGTCCGAGGTAGTCCCACTTGGAATGAAATCAGGGTGTCGAGTTGACTCACAACAGCCCATAGACGCCGTCTCATTTCCCCTTCAAACGCCGACATTCTAGGGAAATTTCGGGGGTCGCGATGGTACCCCATCCGCATGGCAAGCCTTATCGTGAGCCCGAGCATGAACGAGACTCCGGCTTGCGCATCAACACTTGTGAGGAACTCTCCCATTGTATACAGAAACAGTGCCTCAACTTTGTATCTGCCAGGAGTTATATAGTTCGCTTGGACCAAACATTGTACAGTACGTTTGCGGAACCGGGTCGTGGCGACCTGGTGATCTCCCAGTGACTGGGGCACTGGTTCCTCTATCGTACTCAAAACTGAAATTGCCAATGTAAGAATAGCATATAGCAGACCGAGCCACTGGAGAGACACTCCCTGTGGGTTTAGCCAGAATTGGTTATACTATGTTCCGTCAGTCACCTGTGAGCAGTCATCTTTGATTAACTTACCTCCTTCTGGAATGTTGGGAAATGGAGACAGACTTCTAATGTCAGTACCTGCGTAGAATTTCGTACAATCGCGGATGCGTACCTAATAGTGGCTCTTTACAATGGAGAAACTGTGAGACAAGTCTATCTGCTACTGGTCGTGGAGGAATATCGGCGAGCAGTTCCTCCTTGCTTGCCGGCTTGTTCAAGCCCAGTAAGAGAGCCGGCGAGGAAGAGTCAAAAAAATCTTCATCCATGAATTCTTCCTCAGATTCTTCGTCCGTTTCTTGTTGAAGGTATCCCTTGACCTCGTTCACCTTGCAGCGTGTTCGTTAATACACGGACATGCAATGGAGGCAGGTTGCCTTACCTCCTCGAGTATAGCACGCCAGTGAGCGCCATCGAAATAGCTCGACCCTGCTTCATTTTCCAGGAGTCTACCAGTGCTTTCAGTCGCAGGCCCTCTCGGTTCAGAATCCGCATTTGAAGGGGGATTCTCCAGCACCGCTGGAACAACACTCCCTGCTGTTCTAGACGGAGTATGCTGCTGCTCTGATGCACTAGGGGCTTGACTCTGTTCGCATGACTTCTTCTGAGTAAATGACAAGATCAGGTTTTCAAGATGTTGCAGACGATCTTGCACAAGGGTCGGGCTTGTTCGACCCTGCGATGACCTTCCTCGAGGGCCACGGCCGACAAAGGTGCAGGATGCGGCCTCCCCTCTTTTCTTGCAGTTGGTGCATGGATATGTCCGACAACATTTGAGCCTAGACATGCATTAGCACAAGATTTTATGACTGTAGAGCAAAAGACGTACTTTCGACTTCTACAGGCAGTGCAAGAGAGTTGAACTCGACTCCTCTTCTTTTCCTTGGTCACCATGCTTGGATTCGGAACGTCCTGAACGTGGGGTTTTTTCGTCAAGTCGGTCATCTTGGATGAGCGACCACGTCAAATATAGATATGTAGAAAAAAGATTCTGTCATTGACCGGAGATGGAATACATGTTGACTGGTTGAACACGAGGGCAAGGGAAGATGGTGGTGTGGCTTCGCGGTCTCCGGACTTATCTCCGCGCCAACTGGGAACATTGACCAAAGCACTGATTTTCAACATCAACTCGTTTGCCAACTGTCAGCACTTTTCTCCAATGGCCGTTCCTACAGGCCTACCACTACCGTAAGGCCCGCTTGACATCTAAAGCAATATTCACAGTTTCGATCCGCCACTCTGGTCCCCCTTCCCCTGTCTTTGAGTTGTCTAAGACCAATCAATATATCCGGCAGCTTGACCGAATGGGTACCGTTGATCTCCCCAGCATCAAACCTTTCTATTCCAACACAGGGTCGCTTTCTAAAAAGAAGAACTGGGTTTCTCGCTCCGATACCGCTCATCATCATGTCACTCAAACTCAAATGCAATGCCCGAGGTGCATACGAGCCCCTGAAATAGGCTGGACGAAAGATTGCTACATAGCCTGATCAGTCATCCGTAACTGCAGTCTTCGAAATCCTCAATCAGATTGTCCAACCGTCTTCGTGAGATACTTTGATAGCCTTGCTAGCGTTCTTCATCTGCATCTGCAGCCGCAGCCAAATGTCATTATCACTAAAGACTGGCAAGCAACAAACGTGCGTCTTCCAAGAACTCGACTTGAAAACGCATGGCCCAAGACTCGAAAGCAAAAATACAAGGTCTGCCTTACGAGGCGTTAAAGGTATTTGAGAATTCGAGTCTAGGAATGGAATCCCGTGCGTGGCGCTCAAGCTGTTCGTCAGCAGACAGACCTCTGAGTGGAGTCTCATCTATATACGGTGCTCTTGTCTGAGATGTGCGGGATTAGTTCTCCCTTCCTCGAACACTTGCAGGCTCAAAGATGCCCTCAATATGCACACAGACCGGGCAAGTGAGACAGACAAAGGGATGGAACTCTTGCCGAATTGAGACTGCCGAATCTGGCGTTTCAACGGCAAGGGCAGATAGTATGTCTCGGAACAGAGACCTTGACCAGGAACACAACCCTTCCTTCTGCACGGACAGAAGTACAGGCTACAGGCTGCCGAGAGAGATACCTTTTTGGGCTAATAGTGGCCCTGGGGCCGGCGGAGACACTTTCAATACACAATCCGAGGACCAGATTGCCGGGACAGGCCATCAGGTAGATTTATATATATAAGGAGGAAGTCCCGAAGGACGAGATATTTCTGTGCATTCATCTCATCGACCTTGACTCTCGAGAGAAGACAATCATCAACTCCACATCACAGCCGTCAAGCATTCGATGTACCCTACACTGAAAGCAAGTACCTGCATTCAAGAAGTGATGGGTCCTAACCTGGTCCAATCCAACACAACCCCCGAATACCACTCTTTGCCATCCTTAAAATACACTACACCCAAAACTAGGGTTTTTGCTATAACGCCACAGAGCTGGATCCCATATGCCGAACTCATGCGACTAGATCGTCCCGCGGGCTACTGGGCCTTTTACTGGCACTTCGCCATCGGCCTCGCCTTGGCAGCCAGCATGTCTTCTCCGATTCCGTCGCCACTGACCCTCATCTCTCTGTTTCTCTTCTTCGCAGTTTGGGTCATTGTACTGCCCGGAGCAGTCTGTTCCTGGAACGACATTTTGGACCAGAACTTCGACCGCAAGGTGTCTAGAGCCCGAAATCGTCCCATTCCACGGGGCGCGGTCTCCACTGTCCAAGGCCATCTCTTCACGCTCGCTCAGATAGCCCTGGGGACTGTGACGCTTCTTCCTTTGCCCCGGAGGTGCATGTATCATGCTGCACTCATGACAGCTATCCTGCTGGTGTATCCTCTAGGGAAGCGAGTCACGGATTTCCCACAGGTCATATTGGGAATTGCATTCGGGATGCCTATCTTCCTTTGCGGTGAGGCTCTAGACTCCAATCCTCTCCCACTGTCGGACTTATATCGTCTTGGAACTGAGACTGATGACCTGCGCCTGGTTGCTGCGCTGTGTTTCTACATAGCAAGTGTCCTGTGGACTGTCATTTTCGACACTATCTACGCGCACCAGGATGCCAAAGACGATGCCAAGGTGGGCGTACGGTCGTTAGCTGTTCGCCTTGGTGACCGCACGAAGCAGGCATTGTCTGTTCTCGCGGCGACACAGGTGATGCTGCTGTTCGCTGCTGGTGTAGCATGCAATTTCTCGGCAATCTACTTTGCAGGCAGCTGCGTTGGACCAGCAATCTCTTTGGCTGCTTTGCTATGGTTTATTGATCTTGATCTGCGGCACTCAGCGAGCTGCGCGTGGTGGTTTTGCCCGGGGTCTCACCTTGTGGGTGCGAGTATATTTGCTGGGCTGCTGGGGGAGTGTTGCGTCAATTCTTGGTCTCGCTCCTTCTAGTCCTTCTTGCCTAATTCCGGGGAATGGTCGTTAGTAATCTGAGTCTGTTTGCTTGTTATCATATTAGGTGGTGACATATTTTGCAAAGCTACACTCGATAAAATACAAGGAGATGCTCGCCAGTCAACTATAAGTCTACATGCGACATTATGCCACGGGATCCTTCACCAACACTGCCTGCCCTTTTTACCTCTTAGAAGACTATACAACACTCTGAGGCTCTTGTATAGTCTCAATCTCTCTTTCTTCTGCAGTGTTGACATTGAATTGCTTTGTCGTTGATGTTGTGGTCTGAACTACCGGATCGGAAGACCATAATTTGGCGTGTGCCTGGCTTGAGTTGAGCCAGATTGAAGTCTTGCTTGATAGACATGTCGCATCCGGTAGTTTTCAAACCAATTTCCGTGACATTCCGAATTATTTTCGCTGAATCGTCTTACGGTGTACCGATCCCAGAGCGGTTTCAAGGCCGGCACGCTGCCGCAGGTGATGATGACAAAAATTTCAGATAAGGCCCAGACAGTGACGGCGTATAAGCCCCCTGTTACTTTGATGTTAGCGCTGCGAGGTATTAGTTAAGAGAGGGTACTTCATGCTGAAAGAGCGCATATGAATGGTTCTGATTACTCAAGAAGCATGATCCCTGGTCGAGGGCTGATCTCCCGATAGGCCACAGCGAGAAAAGATGTCAAGGCGTCAACTGACTGGCAAACGAGAACAAAGGCAGTGAGAATTGTTATCCCAGCTTCTATAGTAGCGTCTATGTCATCGACATAGTCAAGTGGAGGTTTCGCGGATGCACGTTGGCTGTTCCTTGGGAAAAGGATGGAGGAGCGAACAAAGAGGTCAAATCGAAGAACAGCGAGAAAGGAATGGCTGATGTTAGCTGATCTTGCTATAATTTGCCTCGACCGACTTCCGTTTCGGTCCCAGTACCTTTCTCTATTCCTACCACTGTATCATTCCGTTGCTCTCTCACATTTAAGTTTTCTTTGTCCCTTCTTCCGCCCGATTTCCTTCGTCAAATCATCTCCTCGCGCATGGTCATTGCTCTCGCTGAATGTGAATTCTGAGAGGAGCTCATTCGTCATCCTTTAATATATTCTGATATCGAATCCTAGGAGACCTCTCGCTGACTTCTCAGGTTTCGTGGGCCATCTCGACCAGCGCTATCCCTTCGCTGCTTGCGATGACCTACAATGACGGTCCCAACTTATATCGATTCTGCAAGACTGTAAATGCTACTGCACACCATATACTGCTCGACAAATATCTGAAAGGCGCTACATCCGAGGAGAAACGACCTCGTTATTGTGAAGCGAGTTTAAATTATTCCCAAGGTCCAACAACTCGATACTCCCACCGATTGCACCATTCTGTTCCTGAATTGAGACGAGCCATCAACCTTTTCAAGGATTTGAAAAGTTCAACCTTGGTTGCGATAATCCCCTCCCGGCTCGGGCCATCCTACATCGTACGGTTATCGAAGTTGCACTACAAATGGCAGAAGAACATCCCTCCAACACCATCACACGATGGGGATATTTCAGTCTCACGTGTGGGCAAGAAATCCAAGTCTTTCATCTATACTGAACTCTGTGTGGTATTTCGAAGACTTAGGGCATATCACAGGGCGTGCCCCAGATATGGTGCTCCTCTTAGACGGGCGCCGTAGGTTCTTTGACTGCTATCGATAATGTCAGTATAGTGCAATCAAGCAAGCAATGTACATTTTGACCGTTTTTGGATCGAAGTTTGCTAATAGACTTGAAAGCAGCAGATCCATTCCACATCTTCAATGCACTTTCACAGAGAGTCTCTACAGTAACGATCACTCAAAGTGACCTAGTGCCTGATATTTCATGAGCACCAATAAGTAGGATACCTGGAGTGCTCAGTGCGCTAACCTGTAAGACTTCGAGAGGTACTCAGGGACATGACCCTCCGTCTGCTTAAGCTCGCGCCAAAGCTCAGCCGTTCCTGGATCAAGTCACCTCTAGTGCCACCCACTGGAATATAAGCGATCCTTGACCAGTACTAGCCTCTGTATCGCAGATAATCACCGGGCAATTGATACGATTGTCATTCTAGCTCTTGATCTCCGCCTTCATAGCCACTGTCATTCCATCGGGACCAATGACTTGCACCTTGGCAATACTATTCTCATCCTCAAGGACAATCCGATATTCCTCTTCAGCATACAAAGGGCTCGTCGCCCGATAGGAGATACTCTGGGGAAGTATGAGCTCGGGAGCTTCGCTGGCGAGCGTTGAAGCCCTTGTGTCGCGCCACAGATCTAGAATGTTGATGAGGTTCAACGGGCCATGGACGACAACATCCCTGTGGCCCTCTACGTCGCGAGCCCAAGGAAGTGAATAATGAATTTTATGTGGGTTGAACGTCAGCGCTGAAAACCGGAACAGAGTGACGGACGTTTGCTTCATTGTCCGTGTGTGGACGTTGCCTGTTGTCGAAGTCTTCGAGAAGGCCGGCCCAGAGGGTGTGATCGGATCTGGCAGATTCGTTGATACCGATGATGATGACGATGCGAGGGCTTTGCGAAAGACCCAGTTCCTGGTACCGTTAGTGGTCTCCAGGTACGGTTCCCGTTCACTGTGTCCTGGATTCATCCTCACCTTCTATCCACCACAGCGACGCCATGCTCATTTCGAAACTCCTTCTCCACCCCTACGACAATCATCTCCTCCCCAGTTCTGCGGACAATTTTAGGTTCCGCACTCAGGACCCTCGTCGTTTCCTGGATCTCTTGGCCTACCCTCAACGGATTAGGCATTCCGTCTGGACCGCGTGGCCATTGTACTTCGCCGCCAGCCCACATACGCCGAGTAAACGGTGTCTCGGGGTTGTACGAGACATCGGTGCCATCGGCTCCTAATTCACTCTCCAAGAAAGCCGGAGTGAAATAAACCAAATGGTATCCAGCAGGCAGGGGAGTACCTTGCTGCAATGACGCCGATGCATTGGTGAGAACTGGTGAGTTGGGGTATAGAGTCGGCCGGTTGAGGGTGAGGGACAAAAGTTGGAGTTGGTTGGAATCAATGACCTGAGTGCGAGTCTGAGGACCCAAGGAATTAAACCGAGAAAGAAATGAAGCTGCAATGGATGAGGCAGAATCTGATTGCGAGCACCACTGACCATGCGTTGAGAATTGGCGCGCAGAGGGAGTATATCCTTTTGAGACGAAACGGCCAGACTGGCAGGCCAAACGAGTCCTTACTGACATTTCTGCACTATAGCTGTCTCTACAGGGGTATGAAAATGATATGCCCGGTTCATGAGGTCATTGGCGAAGAAGCAACCTAAATATAAGCGGCGAGCATATAGCCGAGAAGCCGTCTCCAAATGTGGGGAGAAGAAAGCGGACCTCGGGTGCTTCCCCGAGATCGGTCTCGGAACTGCCGATCGGCCACTTTCCGAGACAACGCGACCATTGCTTCTCAATCCCCAGGTACATCAACCAACTGGTTTCCTCCCACCCAATAAAAAACTCTCAGCAGTATGACACCAATAACTGGCTCAGGTCTCATAGGTTTGATTTAGATTGGATGCAGGGACCTGATTTCCAAATCAGATCGTTCCCTTGAGAGCGACCTGAGGTGATCATGATGATCAGTTACTGGGTTGGGAGGATGTGACGCGTAACGCGGAATGGCAGTTACAAATACAATGGGCAGGGTGCCTACTTAAAACCTCTCGACCTGCCCATTTATCTCTTCTCTACATCTGAGGTCTAGGCCAGGGTGTACCTCGCAGCCGGACTCTCTATTTGTTCAGCGATGCGCCGTCGCGTCTTCGGAGTTTGACACCCTCATCTCTGCGGGTCGAGGGCCTCGAATCTCGACGTCGTGTTGCTTCTGCACTATGCGTGGTATTACTCGACATAGGGTCTAGATGCGGCGGAAAGATTTTATGCAATCAAACGCCTCATCTGGGCAACAAGTATCGAGCGAGGAGTCGGAAGTCGGCACTCGATTGCTCATCGGCGTACCATCATGACATTCCTCACCGCAGCTCCATGATATGGCGAATGTCACCTCCCTATGTCATTCGGGCTCGAATGAACAGAAGATGATCGAAGTTCGAATCTTTTGACCCAAGAATGCTATCTCGAATTCATCCCTGCGTGTATCATCCGAACACCCCAAGTGGCAAGTGTGCAAAAAACCGGGATCTGCACTATTGGAAAGCAAGGAACTGAGCAGTCTCTTGATAAGTGCGCCTCCCTTGCTTCTATGCAGGTGGCTGAATGGCGCCGTTATTATTTACGTCTTATCCTGTCATTCCCCTGCTCTCTGCAGCCGATTTGTGTAACCTATTCAAGGGGTCACAGGAGGCCGCAATCTAGGCCCTTTGGGCCTTCATTCTTGTCTTTTCTTGGGACATTCGGACATGAGCGTCTGTTGAAGCTGTTCAGCAACTCCATTTTAGGCATCAATGAAATAATTGCAGTGCCACATTTGCTAACTGCGAGTCTGCACTGCAACTGTTGAGGGTCATGATGCAATTTCCCTTCTCACTCAGGCATTTACCTATATATTGGTCGACGAAACTGTTGGCAAACCCTTGACCTGGTATTATACCCGTCCCAATGACTATATTCCAATTTGCCATAGACTCGCTTTCTCTCCGTGACAGTCTTCCCAATGACGGACCTCGAGCAGGGCTGTGTTCATGCAAAACTCGATATCAAGACCGAGATCGTCGAGATTTCGGATCCCGCTAAGTCCACTTCTTCCTTTCAGAGATGGACCCTGAGGCTCTGTCGACTAGCAGGGGTAGAGACTCAAGGTATACAGCGAGTCGCAGTTGATTCGCGTCAACCTGCTGGTCCAGATGATTACACGCGAATCTTCCTACTCTGGCTGAACTCGTCCCTCACAGCCAACAACATCATCGTGGGCCTGTATGGGCCTTCATACTACGGCCTAGACCTAGCCACCGCATCCGTTTGTGGTGTCTTTGGGAGTATACTGGGAAGTATCGCGGTGGCCTACATGAGTACGTGGGGACCACGCAGCGGCCATCGCACATTGGTGGTAACGCGATACTTTCTCGGTTACTACCCAAGCAAGATCTGCTGCTTTCTCAACATTCTGACGATGCTGGGCTACGGCATGGTCAATTGCATTTTGGGCGGTCAGATCATCTTCACTATATCCAATGGCCAGACGCCCGTCACCGTCGGCATTGTCGTCGTCGCCGTCCTGACCTGGTGCATCGCCACCTTTGGCATGAACCTTTTCCATCTCTGGTCCCGTTACGCCTGGATCCTCTCGCTCTCCGTGCTCTGCATTATGATCGGCTGCGCAGGTCCAGCATTCGATTCCACGCATCGTCTCTCACCCGACCTCCCCAGGACACATCCGCGCACCGCCTCTCCTTCTTCTCCCTCTGCTTCGCCTCCGCCATCACCTGGGCCCCTCCAGCGCAGACTACTTCGTCTACTTCCCCACCAGCACCCGACCCATCCGCATGTTCCTCTCCGCTGCCGCAGGAATGGGCCTCGCAATGATCCTCACCACCATCCTCGGCATCGGCATGGCCACAGCCCTCTACTCCAATCCCGACTGGATGGCCGTCTTCGCCGACTCCCCCGGCGGCCTCCTGGCGCTCTCCTTCTCGGGCCTCTGCGGCTTCGGCAGCCTCTGCGCCGCCATCCTCGTCCTCACCGCCGTCTCGAACAATATCCCCGCCACGTACTCGGCCGGCCTGAACCTCCAAATGCTCGGCAAGTGGGGCCCGCGCATCCCCCAGCCCCTCCTGACAACCCTCGAGGTGGTCGCGTATACCGTCTGTGCCGTCGTGGCGCGCGCCTACCTGCGCGACATCATGGAGGATTTCCTCCCGCTTATGAGCTACTGGATCGTCGCGTGGTTCGGGATCGTACTGGAGGAGATTGTCCTGAGAGCGTACCGCGACAAGGGGGCATACGATTGGGAGGCGTGGGACGATGCGACCAGGTTACCCAATGGCTGGGCGGCGGGTGGAAGCTTGGTGGCAGGGTGCCTTGGGGCCTTTCTAGGGATGGTACGTACCGTCTTCATTCCTTGACCCTATGGCGATTTTTATTGATGTTTTCACAGGATCAATCATTCTTCAGGGGCCCTATCGCTCAGACACTTCCTGATGGCTGTGATCTGGGAATGTGGCTAGCGTTCATATTCGCTGTTAGCGTGTACCCTCTTCTTCGGATGATTGAGTTACGATTCCTGGGACGGTGATCTATACTCTTCTCATCATTGAAATGTACTGGACATAAGTGAATTGACTAACATAAGCGCACATCATAAACTATAACAATATCGTAGTCGATAAACACATCGAGGGCGATTTCGAGGGCGAGAAGGAGGGTCGCGCAGGGTATCATGGCAGGAACTAATGGCTACTAAGTAGGGGTGCATGGAAGAAATAATAAAATCACAGCTTGACTTGTCCGGAATGCAACCGGTTCCAGTCCTTCTGCTCAAACGGAACATAGGTGTTCCCCTGCAGCCAGTACAGCTTATCCTTGCCGCTGACGAGCGCAGGGTCCACGCCCTCGGTGCGCAGGACGTGTTTCTGCTGCTTGTTGTTGCCTGTCGCCTGCATCTCCGGCGTGATGCGGAGGAACAAGGGAGCCGCAAACCGGGGCAGGTTTTTGAGGACGTGGGCTGCGAGACTGTCGAGGACTTTCTGGGACGGCGCAGCGAGTTCGGACGGGTTGGCGGCTTGTAACTGCTGCTGGAACACGATGGCGGCGCAGCCAGCACGGCCGTCGTGGTTCGGCAATGCCACGCCGTAGACATTGGCTTCGTGCACGTCCGGATGCGTGCCCAGGACTTCGGCCACCTCGCTCGTGGAGACGTTCTCCGACTTCCAGCGGAAGGTGTCGCCGAGCCGGTCGGAGAAGTACCACCGTCCTTCCAGATCCCAGCGAACCATGTCGCCCGTGCGGAAAAATGCGTCGCCCTTGCGGAGGACGTCGCGAATGATTTTACCTTCCGTGGCCTTGGAGTTCTTGAAGTAGCCCTGGAATTTATCCGAAGGGTCGTTGGGGTCGATTGCGTACAGTAATTCGCCGGGCTGGCCGTAAGGAACTTTGCGGCAGAGGCCCGTTCTCGGGTCGCGCCAGGGCTCCTGAGACTCGTGGTCTACCTCGACGACGGCGAGACTGCCGCCCAAGATTAGTTTGGTCAGGGCGCCGTTTCGACCGATAGCCCCTGCAGTAAAGTCGTTGGAGGAAAGGTTCCATGATCCGGAGGTACCTTCGGTTGCGGCGTAGAACTCGGCAATCGTGGGAACGTTGAACCGCTCCTTGACCCGATTCCAGATGTCGGGTCGCAGGCCGTTACCGAAGATGACCCGGACGTTGTGTTTCTTGTCTAGGTCTTCGCCCGTGACTGGGTCGATCTGAGGCGGCACGGCCAAGAGGTATCGTAGCGTTTCACCCACATACTGGACAATCGTGGCGTTATTCTCACGGGCTTCTTTCCAAAAGCTCCTAGCCGAGAATTTATGGCCGATGACAAACGTCGATGCACTCATCAGACAGGACAAGAAACCAAGGACGGTAGCGGAAGAGTGATAGAGAGGCATGCACTGGTTTTTGTCAGCGTTGGTCACACATGATATGTGTAAGGCAGGTCAACATACTGTGAAGAAGCGGTCCGCTGACTTTAAGCCCAACCAGTTGGACACAAAAATGCTGCCCGTCCAGCATTTCCTCCAACTGACAATGGCGGGTTTGGGAAGTCCAGTAGTACCGCTGGTGTAGATCAACATGGCCATATCACGCAAGACTGGGCCGCTGCGCGCTTTGTCGTCCTCACGGACAGCCTCGGTCTGCATGACCTGAGCTTCCACATCCGGCGTGAAGAAAACCATCTCCACAGCACCCTTGTCCTCGCGGAAGTCGGCGGAAGCGAAGATCTCCAACTGCTCCGGCGGGAAACAGTTGCGCACTTCGTCATCGACTATTAGGAGCCTAGCAGTCGACGTGCGGACTGAATGTGTCAAGGGTTTTCCGGATAGATTGTAGTTGATGAATGCTGGCACGGCGCCGATGCTCCATAGGCCCAGCAAAAGGAAGATGAACGTCGATGAATTCATAAAGTCCACGGCAACGATCTCCTTGGGCTTGACGTTGTGCACTGTCTTGAACCAGTTCCCATAACGCAGAGCAAGCTCGTATGTTTCATGGAAGGACCAGGTACGACCATTGTAGACAATGAACGTCTGGTCTTTCGTTGCCGGGGAGAGAGCATGGCTCTCGAGGACGTAGAATAAGTTGAGGCGATCGCGGCGCTGTGCCAGGCTATTTTTTACAGCGATCTTCAACAGAGCCTTGATCAATTTCATGTCATAGAAGAGTGAGTACTTGGCGTTCAGGTAGGCCAGCGCCGTGGCGATGGCTGGCCCGGAAAGTGAGAGAGGGACATCTTGAAGAGGTAGAATCAGTATTATTTTTATGACAGAGTCTCTTGAATTTCAGATATGACTTGAGACTTCAAAGGACGATCGCTTAAATGAAGACATACCTGGAAGAGAAGGGATCGGAATGGGTAGCATCGTGAGGGCGGGGAGCAAGAACGACTGGATAGAACAACTGGTAGTACAACGGACAAGTCTAAACACAATACAAGACAATCACCATATAGAAGAAGAAACAGTCTAACGGCTAATGAGAATAGAAAAGAGGGGAAATATAAGAATGAGGCACGAGGATGTGCTGATGCCAAGTGCACGAGCTGGAGGCAACATGTTGATGCCTCGGTTTGGCGGTTTGGCTGGATCCGACCACACCAGGTCCGGAGTTATGCTGTGCTGCAATCATTAGTGAGCACTGAATAATGATGATCAGCGATGTCATTTAAAGCAGATGTGGATCCTGTCTAGATGTCTTAAGAGTTAAGTAGGCTTGACCTCTTGCTTTCTCTCATTCAGGACCGAAAACAAATGTGTTCCTGGAATGGAGGGAGTGGTTTCTTTTTTTCCTTTTTCCTTTTTCATGTAGAATCACATGTGCATAACTTTGCATATTTCGACAACTCCGTCCCATATCGGAGTTTAATGCACAGGTACACAGACCTCTATCTACAGCCACACCAGAAACCAGACTCCTAAGTGATTATGAGAATGAGAATTATTCCTTCTCAACGGCTGGCATCTCCCACCATAGGTACTGGTTATTTTTCCATGAACTCACTCAGTGGCAGCTGCAGCTGCCATCCAAGCAGAAGAATGTGGGGAAGATTCAACTTCCTTGCCTGATGACATGGTCTCGGCTTATAACTAATTGGTTACATCTGATTTCGTACAGCCACTAATATCTAGAAATGACCTACCGGAGCTACCTAGGTATGCATCCTGTTTAACTTCTTCGGCTTCTTTTCTATGCAATCGCTGCTTTTGACTTTACACCAGGTACAGGTCACGTGAATCGTCCCGTCTCCGCATGAGGAGTTGAAGTTGATAGAAGAGCAACCATCTGAGGAAGTATTGATAATTCTCTTGAAAGAGCAGATATAATAATAGAGAATAACTAAATCCACGAGAGTAATCCAATTGATGACATTAACTAGACAGCTGTGTATTCATGCACTGGTTCCTCTTCCCCTCTCCGTCGCTTCTCCGCCTTTTACCCGCCCGAGCCAAGGCTTCAAGGCACCGCCTTGTCGTCATCCGACACTGTTAAGTTACTAACTTACTGTTACTAGGGCGAAGGACCAGACAGATTGGCGTGTTCCAGGTTGCACTCCAACCTCCCCATCATCTCCTTACTCCATCTCAACGCCTCTCCATCTCTCTTCTATGTTCATCGTTGATACAGTTATTGACTCTAGCTTATTAGAACGACCTTGTCCTGGTCGTTATCATTTTGTTTCGACTCACCAAATGCTGGTTCTTCTTGCTTGATATACTCGGCGGTCGGCGATAACTGTTGGAGCTCCGCCTGGTACTCAGTCGCTCTCGGAGCGAAAGGAAAACATTGTTGATTGATCTTCGCGTACAAATAAGTCATCATGCGTTTGAGATCTACAGTACGGCTCTCCTTAGCCGCTCTCCTCTCATTAAGCGCATCAACTACATCAGCCCGCAGCAACTACTCCCAGTCCGAGCTACTCCCCCGCTCTTCTCCGCGCTCGATGACCGACCTCCCGAATGTCCTCCGTGCTTCAACTGCCAGCTCGATGCTTTTCAATGCGCCCAATTTGCGCCCTGCAACAAATTCAACGGCAAATGCGTATGTCCGCCTGGCTTTGGTGGTGATGACTGCTCGCAGCCGGTCTGTGGCTCTCTAGCCGACGGGGTGAATCGAGCGCCGCGAAAGGGCGGGTCCTGCGACTGCAAAGAGGGCTGGAGCGGTATTAATTGCAACGTTTGCGAGACCAACGATGCCTGCAATGCGATGATGCCGGAAGGTGAAGGAGGCGTCTGCTACAAGCAAGGCGTCACGGTCAAGGAGAATTACCAGATGTGCGATGTGACCAACCGCAAGATCTTGGACCAGCTCCAGGACAGAAAGCCCCAGGTGACGTTTTCGTGTGAGGCCGACGACCACACCTGCAACTTTCAGTTTTGGGTGGACCAGAAAGAGTCCTTCTACTGCGCCTTGGACACCTGCGACTGGAATCTGGAGACAGGCTACAACCAGAATAAGTCGACGTACAACTGCAAAAATATCAACTGCAAGTGCATTCCAGGACGCATGCTTTGTGGCGAGGAGGGTTCGATTGATATCGGAGAGTTTCTTGCGCAGGAGATCAAGGGCCCCGCCTCTTTCCGAACCTTGACCACTGAAGGTGGCAGTCCGGAGGATGGAAGCAAGTTCCAGGAGCCGGCAATGGATGACTTGATCAAGAGCGTCTTCGGGGACCCTAGTATCTTTTTGAAGTGTGATGCTGGTGAGTGCTTGTATCATACAGATGTCCCAGGATATGTGCGCCCGATCAAGCAAATCAATACCCCTCTGATTGCTGGTGTGATTGCGGGCTGCGCTCTCTTTGTCGTTGCCGTCATTCTGGGTGTGTGGTACCTCTCCCGCAGATCCTACCATGGACGAATCTATCTTCCTCTATCCGATGACTCGGACGATGAGGCCGCCAGACTTCTTGCAGACCACAAGCCCGCGGCATTGTACTGGGATAACGTGTCTTACTACCTTAACGGAAAGGAAATCCTATCTGGCATCCAAGGCGCCGCGCACCCTGGCGAAATTACAGCTATCATGGGAGCATCCGGTGCGGGAAAGACAACCTTCCTGGACATTCTGGCTCGCAAGAACAAGCGGGGCACGGTGCAGGGCGACTTCTACATCAACGGGGAAAAGCTCAGCGATCACGACTTCAAGAGCATGGTCGGCTTTGTCGACCAAGAGGACACTATGCTGCCAACGCTAACGGTGCATGAAACTATCCTGACCAGCGCATTGCTGAGACTCCCTCGGGACATGAGCCGAGCCGCTAAAGAACAGCGTGTATTTGAAGTCGAAAAGCAGCTTGGAATCCACCACATTAAAGACCAGTTGATTGGGTCCGAGGAAGGCAGAGGCCGGGGCATTTCTGGTGGAGAGAAACGCCGAGTCGGCATTGCCTGCGAACTCGTCACCAGCCCGAGCATGTGAGTGTGACAATCATGCGACAGCGTAATCTAAAGTTGTGACCTCAGTCAAATTACTGACCAGCGTTGCGTGGCAGACTCTTCTTGGACGAACCCACCAGTGGATTGGTACGAGATCCCCAAATCTTGTGTGACCGCAGTTTTTGGTTGTGCATTTGCTAATGGGTTTTAAATAGGACGCTTTCAACGCTTTCAACGTTGTTGAATGCCTGGTTACTTTGGCCAAAACCTACAATCGCACAGTTATTTTCACCATTCACCAACCGAGGTCGAACATTGTAGCGCTCTTCGATCGTCTTATTCTCCTAGCTCAAGGAAAGACCGTATACTCGGGCCAATTCTCAACATGTCAGCAGTATTTCGACGAATCAGGCTACTCCTGTCCTCCCGGCTTCAATATTGCGGACTACCTTGTGGACCTCACCATGCATGCTAGTGTTACCCGGTCACATGAAAATGGAAATGAGAGGCCCTTCTTGGACGTGCAGCCCCCGCGGACTGCCTCGAGTAGTTTGAGAGCGGTGAAGTCGGTTGCGAGCGCCTCCAACGCGAGCATCGAGGACAGCGTTGAGTCCAGTCGACGCCCCAAGAGTAAACGGCGGATCTCTCTCAAGCAGCGACAGGATAAACAGCTATACTCGCGTAAAAAGGACCACGAGACACCGCCGACACCGAAGACCGATGAAGAAGACGGTGGTGAAGTATCTGACAGCACTCAGCAGTGGCTTCGCCTCTCCCGCCAACAGGGCCATGTTCCACCCCAGGTCCTGGATGACCCTGATCACTTGCCACCCGCTGCCCCTGGCCCAACCGATCTTGACATCCTGGTCGCCAACTACGCCTCCTCTGATGTTGCTCGCTCGGTTCATGATGAGATCGTTTCGGCCGTCCAGAAAGCTCACGTCGCGAACGGTTCCACTAATGCGGAGATCATGTCAGGAGCTGCTACCGGTCATGCAAAGAGTTACCCAAGAGTCAGCCTTTTGCGCCAGTTTGTTATCCTCTCTCAGCGGACATGGCGCAACTTGTATCGGAACCCGATGCTGATGCTTACGCATTACGCGATCTCGATTCTCCTGGCAGTGCTATGTGGATATCTCTTCTATGGGCTGACGGACGACATCAAGGGCTTCCAGAACCGCTTGGGTCTTTTCTTCTTCATCTTGGCTCTATTCGGATTCAGCACGCTCACCAGTCTGACTGTCTTCTCCACCGAAAGGCTTCTGTTCGTCAGAGAGCGGGCCAATGGCTACTATCATCCCATTACCTACTTTGCTGCCAAGGTGGTCTTCGACGTTGTGCCCCTAAGATTGATACCTCCGATCATCATGGGAATCATTGTGTACCCCATGACCGGACTGATTCCTGCTTGGGGAGAATTTTTCCGCTTCATCCTGGTGCTTGTGCTCTTCAATTTGGCTGCGGCTAACATTTGCCTGTTCATCGGTATTGTCTTCCGCGACGGAGGCGTGGCCAACTTGATCGGCAGTCTCGTCATGCTCTTCAGTTTGTTGTTTGCGGGCCTCTTGCTCAACCATGATGCGATTCCGAAGTCCGCATTGTGGCTTCAGACTGTGAGTTTCCAGTCTATTTTACCCCCGAAAGTTTTTAAGAATGCTAACATAATACTAGCTGTCCATCTTCCACTACGGTTTCGAGGCACTGATTGTGAATGAAGTGACCTTCTTGACGTTGATTGACCACAAGTATGGACTAGACATTGAAGTTCCTGGAGCCTCCATATTAAGCGCATTTGGGTTTGATACCCTGGCGTTCTGGCCGGATGTCATCGGACTGGCGATCATCTCCGGAGCATTCATCGTGATTGCCTATGCAGCGATGCATTTCTTGCTCGTGGAGAAGCGGTAGAGAATTTGGCTACTTTACCCCTGTCGCACGGACGATGACCGGGCCATCCGAATTGCCTAGGATCGATATTTCTTCTTGCGATGCATAATCACACATCTGTTATTATTGCTTGTGATGTTTAGACGGACATATGGGTCTCTTCCTTCTATTTCAGGGGTGGGATTTGCGTCGGATGATACACTGGATGTACATATATGATTGCTGAACGATGCTCTTTTGCTTGACGTGGTCAATCGAAGACGCCAGATGCGGATAGAAGCACGTGTTTCAAACGTCATTGTTTGACAGCGGCAATTCAGCCTCAGCTATGTGCTATGCTGGTTGTAAGCGTTAGTAGAAGCAGTAGTAGTCTTAGTAGTTTATCTGAACACATAGATAGATAGTTATATCAGTATCTCATTCATATTCCACATTATTATTATCCCATCTCATGTGCGTGGGCGTCCTCCTACCTGTTCTTTTACTCCAACTGGTTAGATCACCACTCCGCACAAACCACCAGCACAGCTCCAACCTCCTGCGCCAGATTCATCTCTCCATTTGCTGAAGTCATTCTCAAGCTGTGAGATTTCAACACTGAACCCTTCGATCTACTATCACTCAGGTCATCTCTTCTTCTACTCTTTGCCCCTAATCATTTGTGCTATCATAGCTCCCAGTCTAAGCTTCTTTCGGCCTCACCGCCCGCTCGCTTCTCCATTCCGGCTTTTCTGAGCGGAAGAATCCACCCCCAACTCTGCTCTCTCTAGACCCCTCCACAGCCCACAGTCCACAGTGCACAGCTCCAGACCTTATTTCCACCAGCTTCCCCGTTCTGCCTGTGAGCTTCAAGCAACGGCTCATCCTCATCTTCTTCCTCTCCATCACCCTCTCTTAGAAGCAGTCCAATCAGCAACATGTCCGGTGAAGCGTGGCTCTACCTGTTGGCGGTGCTCATCAACGCTGTCAACCTGTTCCTGCAGGTCTTCTTTACTATCATGTACAGCGATCTGGAATGGTAAGTCTCCGTAGTTGCGACCTCTGAAATCAAATGTCACAAGCTAATTTGGTTACTTGCTGCAGTGACTACATCAACCCCATTGACCTTTGCAACCGTCTTAACGCCTACATCATCCCCGAAGCCGCTGTCCACGCTTTCCTCACTACCTTGTTCCTGATCAACGGCTACTGGGTCGCGCTCATTCTCAACCTGCCTCTGTTGGCGTTCAATGCCAAGAAGTATGTTTCGTCCGAATAGGGACCCCGTAGGAGTTTTTGAGATGGGCGGCGAGAATAGGGAGACCAGGCTAACCCGTCGTTCTGTTTCTAGGATCCTTGACAACCAGCACCTTCTGGATGCGACTGAGATTTTCCGCAAGCTGAACGTACACAAAAAGGTAGATAGGCACTTGTATCTCGCCACACGGGGAAGGTTCAGCTAACGAAAGTCAACAGGAATCCTTCATCAAGCTGGGCTTCCACCTCTTGATGTTCTTCTTCTACCTCTACAGCATGATTGTTGCTCTCATTCGCGACGAATCCCACTGACTTCGTGACAAGACGGAGTATGCGATGCGTTACGGCCGTTCCCCTTGAGGAGTCAATGATGCGTTCGCTGTCTTTTCTCGTACGGGGGACAAAGTTACATCCCTGGACCTCAGTGCCTGCCTGATAAGTGTCGATGCGTTTGCCTCGTCAAATACCTGTCCATGATCAGTGATGAAACTCTGACGGGCAGCGTTGAACGACTGGGCGACTGCCAAGATTCAAGCAGCGGGTATAAGATGCAATGTTGGGTGATGTCAATGATTGTACGAGGTGTGGTGATGATAGATGGTTCTTGATCCTGACTGACTGCTTTTGGTCATAGTCAGAAAGAGGACGTGTGGAGGAAGGTTTGGTAAGACGCCATGATGCTGTAATTGCTGCTTGTGATGTTCCTTTGCTATTTTCATGCTGTTGATGTCTGTAATGCTGTATATACCTCTTGAGCGGTTTGACAATAAAGAGCGTACGATACCCTTCGGGTGATGTAACTATTAATAGAATAATAAAAAGACCAAGGATATGCACGCCAATTATTTGATACCCAACACGAAGAACGGATGTCGAGTTGTGTATAGTTGCGTGGTTGATCTCATCCTGCGCTCTCCATCGGTCTTCGCTGGTGGTTGTCCCGTCGCCCGTAAAATTCCAGACTCGCCGACTCTGTAGCGGCTCACTTTTCCCAGGAACACCAACAACCATCAACCGTCCGACGTAGTTTGAGACGTTTATTTACTCTCATTCCATCGCCCGCAGGACATATCTCCAACATGGCATCATTATTAGGTGCCGACTACAACTCCAGCGACGATGACGCCACAACGCCCCAGATCGCAACGGCGATCCCAGCGACCAAGGTCGTCGCTGCGCCCGAAGTGAACACAGAGGTTTGGTCCCTTGAGCAGCCAGATTTTGTTTTCTTTCAAAAAATTTGGTTTCCTCTTGCATCAAGGCTATGGAACTAACGATCCCATAGAATCCAGTGCACATGCAGATGATGCTGGCTAACACCACGTCCAACGCCCTCACTTACAACGCAACATATGACGATCTCTCACGACCGTCGCAGGGGCCGGCGAACCCCTTCAAGCCAGCCGGCTCCGCCGGCGGCCTGAAACGCAAAAACGTCCCGACCGGATTCGCCGAAGAGGCCGCCATCAGCGAGGCAACGTTCGCCGCGCAGCACCGCACATTCCAGAGTCTGGGATACACGCGAAACCCCTCGGCGCCGGACCAGTTTGTGGGGAATTTGAACAGTGCGGCAGAACATGGAGGCCGGGACGTGATCCAGATGAAGCCGTCCAAGGAGGTGTCTGCGGCGCTGCGCGCCAAGAGGCAGAAGAAGGGCGACCCCAGCATCGTTGAGGGCGAGGGCGCGTATCTGGGACCCTGGGCCAAATATCGGGACGACGACCGTGTCTATGAGGAGGAAGCTGCCTTAGCGGATCAGGAGCTGGGAACGGATGAGGAGTTTGTGGAGGAGGACGAGGAGCTGGCGCCGGCACACATGCCAGCCATGAGCAAGGCGGCGACCGAATACCAGGACGACGCGTCCAAGGTGGAAACGACCGAGTTCCACGGCAGCGAGCAATTCGACTATCTCGGCCGGACGTACATGCACGTTCCGCGGGACCTGGACGTCGACCTGGAAAAGGAGGTCGGCAGCATCAAGAACTACGTGCCCAAGAAGCTCATCCACACCTGGAAGTCGCACACCAAGGCCATCACCTCGCTGCGTTTCTTCCCCAACTCTGGCCACCTGCTTCTCTCGTCTGCTGCTGACGGCAAAGCCAAGATCTGGGATGTGTATCACTCCCGGGAGCTCCTGCGGACCTTTTCGGGCCACTCCAAGGCTATAACAGACACGGACTTCCACCCGTCCGGCAAGACCTTCCTGACCGCCTCGTACGACCGCCAGATGAAACTCTGGGACACCGAGTACGGCAAGTGCATCGCGCGCTTCTCGACAGGCAAGACACCGCACGTCCTGCGCTTCAACCCGGGCGCCGATCACTCGCACGAGTTCCTGGCCGGCATGTCCGACAAGAAGATCGTGCAGTTCGACACGCGCTCCGGCGAGCTGGTCCAGGAATACGACCACCACCTGGCAGCAATCAACACCATCACCTTCGTCGACGAGAACCGCCGCTTCATCTCCACCTCGGACGACAAGTCCCTGCGCGCCTGGGAGTACGGCATCCCCGTGCCCATCAAGTTCATCGCCGAGCCGTACATGTTCGCCCTGACGCGCGCCGCGCCCCATCCAAACGGCAAGTACGTCGCCTTCCAGTCCGGCGACAATCAGATCGTCGTGTACGGCGCCACGGACAAATTCCGGCAGAACCGCAAGAAGAGCTTCCGCGGCCACAATAACGCCGGGTACGCTGTTGACGTGAAGATCTCGCCCGACGGCCAGTTCATCGCGTCCGGTGACAGTGGCGGCTACGTCTGTTTCTGGGACTGGAAGACGGGCAAGATGTACCATAAGATCATGGCGGGTGGGAAAGAGGGGGGTGCCACCACCTGTCTGGACTGGCATCCCCAGGAGACGAGTAAAGTGGTTACGGGTGGATTGGACGGCGTCATCAAATACTGGGATTAATTTTCGTCTGGTTGGTTGCTCGCATGGCAATGGCATGCTATCTGTGTATACTACAGGTTTACTCATCACTTGCATGGATGTCTTTGAATTACCAAAGAGGGTATTGATTTTATTCACCTAATCCACCTACAATACCGTAAGATGCAACCATTTGTAGCAATAGCGCCTGTTTTTCCTTCCTCATTATTATACAAGAGATACAGACTAAAAACTAGCCATCTCAATCCAGCTCGCCACAAACGCCAACCTGCGGCCCGGTCAGCCGCCATCCGGCGAGAAAACTCCTCAAAGTTGAGCTTGGCGCCAGTACCGCCGCGTTCCTTCGCCTCCCGCTCTATCTGGTTCAGGTATGCCCAGCGAGTAAGCGTCAGCGTGGACGGAGGAAGCGTGGGGCCATGACGTCGCGGGAGGGAGGATGAAGAAGATGCAGCTGGGGGAGAGGTTGAATGGGTGAAGGGGGCATCTTGGGTGCGGTGGCTTCAGCATCAGGTGAAGAGGATGGTGCAGGGAAGGCGGTGCTGCCCGGTTGAAGACGAAGCTCCGCTGGGAGATCCTGCTGCTGTTGCTGCAGGTCGGTTTGCGAGAGAGAAGTCATAGGGACGAAGAGTGAGTTGTCCAGGTCGGGAACCGGTAGGCCGGGCACTCCTCGTGGAGCTTCTAGTTCTTCGTTCGGTCGAAACTGTGGTAGTGTCGGATCGTAGTCCGGCATGTCACGGAGTGAGCTGGCTTCTGTCGCGGCCTGGAACTCGGGCGTCAAGGAGCGAGCGGGCTCATTCGCAGCCGCGGTTTCTTCGACCCTCTCCTCGGCTGGAGCAGAATCAACCAAATCGTCGTCTTCTTCAGGATCGGCGAGGTGCACAGGTTGTACACTCTCAGGGCTCCCCAGTGTTGGACGCACGGATAAATCTGGACTATGATGAAGAGGCTCCAACTGTGGGCTTCGCAAAGAATAACCGGACCGATTCAGGAGTTCCTGCACTTCTTCGTCGGTTGCCGTCCCACCCTCCTGGGCCATCCGTTTCTTAGGGTCCATCATCTCCGCGAGTTCGATCTCGCGAGCCCAGATTTTGCGCTCTGTGCGGGTCCGATAGGCTTCCATGAGCAGATCTTCCTTTGGCTTGAATAAGATGTCAAGGAGTTCGTTGAACCCCTGCTGCGTTACCTGATACAAGATCTCCTTCCCGACGTCTTTCTCGACCTCGGGGATCTCAAACCCGCCCCACCGCTCGCCTACAGGGATGCTGCGAGACGAAGTAGAGGGATTGGATCTGACATCGTAGTCATCAGTGAGGTCGTCCTGGAACCGTACCTTGGACGACGACCGAGAGCGGGGGGATGGAGGGTGGGAATCGAGAGCTGAAGGGTGGCCGGGAGCATGCTCATCCTCGGACAGATGGTCGACATCAGGATCGCTCACATAGCCTTCAGGAGCAGTGGCACCATCTTCTACATCCGTGTAGAAGGCCCTCCGTCTCCAGCGCTCATCAATGCCATCCCTGCGGACGTCGGTCAGGAGTCTGTGGTGGTCATCGCGCATTCTACGAAAGACAACATCAGCAACGCGTTCTCTGTCCTCAGGGTCAGTGACCTCTTGAAGAGGGACAGGAGTCCCGAGAGCGTTGACAATATCTTGCTCAAGAATGTTCTCCGTGCCGGGCCAGTCACTAGCCACTGAGGAGCTGGACCCGTCCTCATCGGAGCTGGCATCTTCGTCGTTCCCTTGTTGTGCATCGCTTGAACGAGGAACATTCGAATCTCCGCGCCTGGAATCTGCGGCAGTCGAGTTTGCCTGTGCTGTCAGTTGTGCGGGAAACAGAGGCCCTCTGGATCCCCATCTGGCCCGGACAGCTGCCTCCCCTACAACAGCGTGTCGGTCGCCTGTGTCGGTGCCATCTTGACGTAATATACCCTGGTTATCCACGATTTCAAGATCTCCTTCGGAATTCAAGCGCTTCCCTTCCCCAGTCCTTGATGGCTCCCCGGAAGGAATACTGCCAGGGAATGCCGAGCTGACGGGCTGACTTCCAAGCACGACATCTCGTGCGCCTCCCTCGAGAAAGTCATCTTCCATACCAGCAATCATGTCGCGAGTTAGCTCCCGGCTGAGAGCGTAGTATGCACGGAAAACCCGCAAGAAATCCTTGCGCTCCACGTAGCCATCTCCATCAATGTCGTAGCCACGGAACACTCGCCGCAACCTTTCGTCATTGCTCTTGTTATTTAAGCTGGCCAAACCCTTGAGGAATTCTTCAAACCCGATCAATCCATCATTGTTCGTGTCATAGAACGCAAACATGCGGTCGTAGATGAGGCTTGGGGGCGGAGGACGGATGGAAGTATGCGGCACAAAACAACGATCAAACGTTTTGCGATCGATAGCCATGCACAACTTGTTCGGGTCGTCTGGCCACTCATAGCTCGCTAAGCACCTAAACTGGTCCCAGAGAGCGTCCAATTCCGTGTTCTCAAAATTGGTCTCCTTCATCAAACGCTTCGCCAGCGCGCGTGGCAGGCTACGAGGCAGCATGGCTGGCTTTCCCGGGTACCACACCGGCTGCGACTGTCTAGGATTTCCTAGGAAGGGCGCCGGAATCCGAACCTTGTAGAAGAGATGAGTTTTGATGTGCACCTGCATCGCCTCACAGGTCTCGCACAGGTCATAGTCAATGCAATTTGCGCACCGATACCGTATGCCTTGAATGGGCATGGCACCGCAGCTATTACACGTCACCTGTCGGTGGATATAGCCATCTCGTCTAGACTGATCCTCCGCAATGTGGTATAGCAGGTTCAGGAGATTCTGGCCTTCCTGCGCCGGAGACGACTCGTTATTCCCTTCCCGCCAGGAAAAGACGCTCTGATCGTCGACCACCGTCTCCCCACCATCCAGGTTCTGCAAGGGCACCGACTCCTCGGGAAACGTAGACGTAGACAGCGTAACCCGCTCTCCATTCTGGCGCCGCCGTCGAAGCTCCTCGCCGTAGTTGTCGTCCTCATTGAACCGTGCCAGCGCCCTCTCGATCCCCGTACGCGAAATCCCCCGCCGCTGCAGCTGCTCGATGAGATAGTTCCTCTCCGCACTCCCTTCCTCGATTGTATGCGCCGACGGAAAATCCAGAGCGAGGAATGACTCCAGGAATGTCTCCTCCATCATCTCGCGCATGCGCTCGGCATGGGCCTGCGGGACGCCGACTTCCTCCATCAGTTGATCGCGCGTAGCCAAGAGGGATGGGAGGAGGCCGCTCTCCACGCGACGCCCGTCCTCGGTCTCAATGCGAAAGGTGCCGTACACGCCATTCTGACGTTCTAGTTGCTCTAGATGAGCAATCGCGCGGTGCGACGGTGTATTACTGACATCGCTTTCGTCGGTTCCTGTTCGTCTTCGGCGGACAGCTCGTCGGCGACGTAGAGGGGTTTGGGGCGATGAGGGGAAAAGGATATTATTGTGGATGTATACCAGAGCGTAGGCTGCGGCAACGCCTGTGAGAAGGTAAAGAGCAGGACGATACCGTGTCAGGGAAACTGGTCGTGATTGGGAATCGGACATGACGGAGCAGGGTGGTTTGCAACTGCTGCAGAGATTAGGAAGTTGATATCATTATCATCACTGTTCATCGAAATAAGAACATAGGAGTTTTAAATCGCGTGAAATTAATGCGTAAGGAGCGGATAATGAAAGGTGTCGCATAAATATATCTGGAGAGCTGTGTTTGTAGGGAAATAGTAGCGGCGGCTTTGATCGGTCACGGCCTCGACCGCCTACAAAGATTGGGCCCGATTCTTGTCACTCCGCGGAGGTAATCGATGGGAATGACGCATAGATCTGTCCCATCAAGAGCTTCTACGTTGAATGCCATGCTAAAGTGAACTGTATAGGACTAAAAATAAACAATACGCACTTTTTGCCCTGGATTCGTCACAGGGTTGGTGGGGTACGAGGTATCTATATATCATCATCCCATCTATCGACATCTACCGAAATCCCACTATACACAATCCCACGTTGCCATCGTGTGTGGGATAGGTGTCTCTCGATTATTCCATACCGCCAATTGATCCGCTCAAGGAACTACGACTGAGTTTCGATTACCGACTCAGCTTGCTCTCTCGAATGAAGAAGCTGCTCAGGAGAGCGAAGAAGACGATGGCAACCATAAAGGCAAACCCCTTATTGGTAGCCCACCCATAGCAACCTCGCACGATCCTGGCAACTGTAGGATCGAGCGTTTTGATGTAGTCCAGACTCTGTCTCACTCCTTCGACAATACGATCAATGTCTTTGCTATCACGCAAAGCGAATCTGAGCTGACTGCGCAGGAGTTGTTGAACCACGGTGGAGGATAACGACACACCAATGACCGAACCTAGGGAGCGGAAAAGGTACGAGCAGGCAGTAACAACTGCCTGGTCCTCCGGAGTCGCACTTGAAACTAAAACGGCAGTTTAACAGAGTTTCGAGGTAGCAAATAAGGTAGGAAACACTCACTCAAGGCGATTAAGGTGGTCGTGACACCGATCCCGTTCCCAAAGCCACAGAGCACCATTCCCAGGATCATAGGGATTAGGCTCTGAGTAACCCCACCTGTGAAAAGGTAGATGGTGGTCAGGCCCACTGTCAGGAGGCCGTAAGCGATGATGGTTAGCCAGTAGTACTTCCCTGTCCATTTCATGACATAGCCAGCGAACAGAGAGCCCGAAACACCGGCTATAATACTCGGAAGGAGGCGCAGGCCAGAGACCGTAGCAGACACGCCATCGACAGCTTGAAAGTACAGAGGAATAAAGAAAAGTCCCGCAAGCCAGCCGCCAAAGCTAAAAAAGTTGCAGCAGTAGCTGGCAAAGAAGGTTCGGTTGAAGATGATATGACCAGGGGCAAACGGCTCAGCGGCGAAGTAGATTTCAATCAACACAAAGACCACGAACATGGCGAAAGAGATACAAAGCGACGCAATGGTTAATGGCATCGTCCAGGAGATGTTACTGCCTCGATCAAGCCCAAGGAGAAGGCCGACTACGGCTCCAACGAGCGCAAACGCTCCTGGAAAGTCGATCCGGCGCAGCTTGGTCTTCCAATGGCTATCCCCCTGAACAGGAAGATCTAGCATGATCGACACAGCTAGGAACGCAAGAACACATAGAGGAACCTGAGCGAGAAAGGCCCTGGGAACATTGTTAGCATAACACGCAATGCTGAAGACGGATCTTATGAGGAACATGCCACCGCCAGCCAATATAGTCGGACAGTATTCCTCCTGGTCAAACGTCAGCAAAAGTAGCTTCAAGTCAAATCGAAGCAACTCGAACCTAGTGGAGCACCCGTCCCCGAGCCAGTTGCATAAATAATGTTGATGATCCCTTGCCAGACCCCTCGCTCTCGAAGGGGAATGATATCACTCATCAGGATGCTAACCACAGTGGTCATGCCGCCCCTCCAATGCCTTGAAAAACCTTGACAACTCATCAGCATCATTCCAGATTTCACAACCATTCTATGGGCCTTACACGAGCAGCGATCAACTCATGGATGTTTCGCGCCAGGCCGCAAAACAGACAGCCAAGACCGAACACAAAATACGAGAATAAGAGACATGCTCGTCTGCCAAAGATATCGGACAACTTGCCATACAATGGCTGAAAGCTCGCCAACGTGATGAAATAAGAGGTAGCCACCCAACTGGTTAGATTGAGGGCTTTCAGGTCGGAACCGATCTGCCCATAACTGGCCACAATGATCGTCTGATCGGCTGCAGACAGGAAGATCTATTTCCAGCGGCGTCAGCAACAGTAATATTGCTGTTATAGCTCATAAGACCTACACCGAGGGAAACAGCAGGTAGAATGTATCGAAGGTTGTGCCTCGGCGCCAGGTCATCCTTCGAAGGATCCGCCTCGGGATCCCGAAGGATATTGTTGGTAATTGCACCATTGGTGGGAGCATTCCCACTCTGCGGACCCAGCAAAGGGGAGGTCTCTGTCGGAGTTCTATCTGAAGACATCTCCTGAAGCCTGGTATGTACCACGACAAAGTAAAACGAGACACAACGCAGATCAAAAAGGGCGAGTCAATGATGAGTGAGTCGAACACGAAAAGTAAGTCACGTGATAATAAACGGCCCCACTGACTCGGGATGACAAATTTAAGCGTCGGATGGAGCAATTGATTTCAACATGATTGGTTCTTTCGGCAATCTCAGAGTCCGCCGCCTACCCACCTTCCTGATCAGGTAGTACTTCAGACTTCAGTTGCTTTGTTTGGTTTGTTCCATTATCAACAATAACAACGCCTTATCTGTTTCATCGGACTTGCACATTACAGGTAAACATTCACAAAAATTGCAGTCTATCAGAGGAATTTTATTATTGTTTTAGTTAATTTTCAGCACCAGCGGTCCGTGCATCGACGAAGACAATGCAGGCGAACTCCTACTGTGCCAATGACATGCTCTGGCCCAGGAATCACCCCTTCAACGAGATGACTCACTTGCTCGTTGAGTCAACTATCTGTCAGATGAAAGGACTACGTGTGTCGTACAGCAATTTCGTCCAATAGAGCGTATCACCTCTTACATAACCTATCAGGGTTGAGTTGGAATGATAAGCTCAAGTCGTGAATGTTTTTAGTCATGTAGAGTCTATGGGTCTATATAATGCACATCAATTCTCAGCCGTCTTCGCATCCTCCGTGACGGGCAGCGGAATGGGTCCACCGGGCGAATCAGGTAGACGAGCAGTCAGAACTTCCACACCATCCTCAGTGACAAGAAGCGTGTGCTCAAATTGCGCGGACAAGGAACCGTCCGCCGTAGTGCTGGTCCAGTCGTCAGGCCATGTCCGATCACGGTGAGTACCAATGTTGATCATGGGCTCGATGGTGAAGCACATGCCAGGCTTGGCCGTTCCGACAGCCTTGTTCTTCGCGTAGTGGGGAACGTTGGGGGCACAGTGGAATAGCTGGTTGATGCCATGGCCACAGTAGGACTTGACCACACTGCAGTTCCGGCTCTTTGCAAGTTTTTCAATGACGTTGCCTGGTTCTCTGAAGAGCATGCCGGGCTTGACCAATTCAATCGCTTTGTCCAGGCATTCTCGAGAGGTTTCCACAACGCGTACCGCGTCTGGGTTCGCACGAGCCTTATCGCCAACATAATACGTCTCGTTGAGATCGCCGTGGAAGCCGTTGTGATACAGGGTAACGTCAATGTTGACGATGTCTCCATCCTCGAGGGGGCGCTGGTCGGGGATGCCGTGACAGATTGTCTCGTTGACGGATGTACATACGGATTTAGGGAAATGCATGTAGTTGAGAGGCGAGGGATATGACTGCCGACGTATTAGACTGCGACCATTTCTTTTGCTCTTTCAAAACGACAAGGACGCCACTTACATTACGCTCCAAGCATGCCTTGTGCACAATCTCATCGATGTAGTCGGTCGTAACACCCGGTCTGATCTCCCGAGCGGCAATATCAAGCACCTCTCGCGCCAGACGGCAGACCTTCCTCATCCCTTCTTGTTGTTCCTTATTCAAGATGGTGATGTTGTGACGACCGACAAACTTCTGCTCTGACCGAGGGATACCATCCTTGGCGTAGTCGGGGTGAGGAATAGACTTGGGAACCGTTCGCATGGGAGACAGAGGATAGACGGGTCTCAGAGAGCCCGTGAATTGGAACGAAGGGAAAGGGTTGAAATGTCCCGTGGCTGGATCAGGTTCAGAAACTACCTTCGGAGGGAAGAGGTTGGACAGGATATTACTCTTCGATTTGTGGATAGCCTTATGTTCACTCTGATAGGACGAGTCAGCGCATAACAGAAAATAAGAATAGAGCAACACACGTGGACCTTATCGGTCACGCGAGGCAGCGTACCCAGCTCCGCTTGAAACAATCTTGAGAGCAGAAGAAGCTATCCGTGCCCATCTTCAAGCAGGTTGGACACTGCAAACTTCCAGCATTGTTCGCGCACTCCACACCTATACATTTCCGGATCGCAACTTCTACTGCCATATTGGCGCACAAAGGAAAATCAACGGAGAAGTAAGAAACGTATTTACTGAAGAAGGTAGAAGAGGGGAAGATGAAAGGGACTGGGGTATATTGTCCTCGGAAGGCGATAATTTGATATCAATGCGTCGCAGGCGGCAAAAGGAAAAATTACCGTTATCAAGGCCACTAAGCCATATCTGACTTAGCGCAACACCAACGCTAAGATATCTGAAAGGGGACTAGTGCTTTTGTGCGCCAAGAATTCACAAGCGCCAAGCCTTAATACTCCGAACAGTGGGGTTTAATTCCAGATCGGGTAAAGCCCAACCGACCTTTCCGACATCGCGGCATATCATTTCCCAGGTGAGAGGACATAAGGCGTCAGCCGTGTAAGCTCGCAGAGAAGCAGCAATACCTTCACAAAAAGTGCAAAGTTCAGATAGATCTTGAGCCGCGGTCTCGTTCATATGGCGGACACTGTACGGAAGAAGCAAAAACTTGTTGTCGTCGGAGCTGGTCCGGTTGGGTCGCTGGCAGCTCTGTATGCCGCAGCCAGAGGTGATGAGGTGGAAATCTATGAACTGCGTGGAGGTAGGCCATATCTTTTCATTGAAATTGGTAATGATTGTACAATGGCGACCCAGTTCTTAATACGACTGTGTGTACAATGTGCAATGTACTATATTGATTCTTGTGTTACATTCCTACTCATGGCCCCACCTTGCACCTTGCATCTGATGCATAACCGATGATGTTGCAGCTGGCTCCGATATCCACCAATCTATGCTGCAGCTGCTAATCAAGTGATAGATCTTCGTGATCCCTCGACAGTCCCACTGAATTTCACAAAGTCCATCAACTTGGCATTGTCGGAGCGTGGAATTACCGCCATGAGGCACTCTAACCGGGAGGACCTCATCAACAACGTCCTCCAAGGCACGATTCCAATGCATGGACGGATGATCCACGGCAGAGACCGTGGGCAACTATGGGAAGCTGCGCAAGCATACGATGTCCATGGACGAGTAAGTAGTTTCCATCCTCGGATCATGTGAGTCATTACCAACGCAGCCAATAGGCCATCAATGCTGTCGACAGAAGCACCTTGAACAACGCACTACTCGATGAGCTGGAACGCACGCCTAATGTGAAGCTTTTCTTTAATCATAAACTGACCGGGGCCGATTTCACTGCGCGCAAAGCGTGGTTCGAACGCCGGGTGCCCGGCGAGGCTCCTCTTCCAAACTCTGCGAACCGCGTACCGGAGATCGAAGTTGAGTTTGACTTCATGATCGGCGCGGATGGAGCTCATTCTGCGGCAAGATACCACTTGATGAAGTTTGCCCGGGTGGATTATCAGCAGGAGTACATCGATACATTGTGGTGCGAGTTCCGCATTCCTCCAACTGAGGATGGCGATTTTCGCATCTCCCCAAACCACCTGCATATCTGGCCTGGAGGGGAATTCATGTTCATCGCCCTCCCATCCGCAGACAGGTCTTTTACATGCACCTTATTTGCGCCCGCCGCGCACTACAAATTTCTAGGAAGCTCGCCGCAGAACCTGGTCGAGTCTTTCAAGGACCACTTCCCCGGGGTTTGTCCAGAACTCATCTCTCCGGAAGATCTACAGGAGCAGTTCGCGGCCAACCCTCACCTTCCTTTGATCAGCCTCAAATGCAAGCCGCACCATTACAACTCAAGTATCGTCATTGTGGGCGATGCTGCCCACGCTGTCCTACCCTTCTACGGCCAAGGCCTCAACGCCGGACTTGAGGACATTCGTGTATTGTTCGAATTCCTGGACAAGCATGGCAGTTACGATTTAGATGCGAGCCCTGAAGCTCGTAGAGAAGCGCGCGCTAAAGCATTCCAAGAGTACACCGACCAGCGCTGTGCGGACACGCACGCTATCAACGACCTGTCCAAGCAAAACTACCTCGAGATGCGGTGGGGAGTCAAGACTCCTCTATACAAACTTCGCAAGTCAATTGAAGAGGCACTCGACCGCTACGTGCCCAGCCTAGGCTGGCAAACACAGTATTCGCGAGTGAGTTTCAGCAACCAACGGTACTCCGAAGTGATCCGATCTGCTCGATGGCAGGGCAGCATCCTCGGTTTGGGACTCGCGACTACCCTCATTTCCACGGTAGGAGTGATCGCGTACGTGGTGTGGAAGAAACCAAGGCAGCATTCGCCGCTTGGGCTCTTGCGCTACTCCTGGCGGCGCCTGAGTAGCATCTGGGTGAGGATGTTCCGCACAATTGCCTATGCTTGATCACGATATATCTCACGTCTTTCCCCTCTTCACCTGTTCTGAGTAGCGTTTGATGATGTATGTCTGTACATCTATGTCCTTTGCAAACCTGGCGTTACAATTTCACCTGCTGTAAGCTATCCGACGTCCAAAAACTTGCATACCAGACGGAAATAGAACCATGCTATCGTCAACACTCAATAATCCCCTAGCCGCCAAATGTGTCATAACTAGTACGTACTCCTGGAGAACTTCAAAATATGCTGGTCTGTCGATATAGCAGAGTCACATCTCATTTACAGTCAATGGCTGCACCGAGAAGGCAGTGGTGCGACCCCAGACTGGTCATTTTGGGGAGTGTCATGATTTCTACATTCTTCTTCGACCTTTTCGTCCTTTGGATTCCCCTCCGAAACATGGAGGCGGAAAATGGCGTGTGTGACAGACCTCTGAAGACCGTGAACCGAGCCATGATCGAGAAGATAATATGGTCAGACCAAGTAAACCAGAAAACACCACATAGATTCAGACAATGGCAGTCATCCCTCAACGACAAGGGTACATGGACAAAAACAATAACAACGACTCAAAAACGACAAGTTCCCGCCAGTCAATAGACTCACATAGCAACAACAGACCGCTGCCGGTTATCCGGTCTCGTAGTGTACAGGGAACACGGGCCATGGTTGAGGGGGAGGACACATGAATTCAGTAGAGTTCCTCGGCCATTAGACAGGTAGAGTGCCCTCCTGACGAAAAGAGATTGGGCCACCCAGTAGAACGGTACAAACAGATCGTATATTCATTAGACCCTCTCATCGGTCCATCGCCATTGATAGGAGAAGGAAAAGTTGGAACACAACCAAACCTGGAGCGCTGAGCTTCATCTTGTCCATCGGGATCAAGCGAGAAATCCTTTAGGCCGTCCACGCGGTAAATAAGGTACGAAATAGAGTCCATCCACGGAAATTGAAGGGCATCTCCAAGGGCGCCGGGCATTAAATAAGGAGGATTCCACGGGACCGGAGGGACATCATGGCTTCCAACGGATACTCCTTTGGGATGAAGAAAAATAGGCCATATCGTGGCGAGATCCGTAAAATAAGAAAAATGGCAAAATCCAGGACTAATTCAAGGACTGGCGAATTTCACGCGCCGGCTGCGCCGCTCATGGATACGTTTCTCGGTATCAATATAAAGTTTGTCCAGATAGTCCATGGCACTGGCATCTTTGAGCATTTTGGCAACCTGAGTGCCGGCTGAGATGAGCTGGAGCACATTGCGATCATCCTTGATGGGTCTAGACTGATGTTTGGCAGCATGTCTCATTTCCAGGGAATTTTCCAATACTGTCACTAGTTGTTTGATTTGGCCATTGTAAAGAACGCGGGCAGGTATGCGGCGCTTGGTGGCCAGCCTTTTCAGGAGATATACCCACTCGGTCCATTCGCGGTCCGAGGGAATTCTCACCTCTCTCTTGTCTGCTTCCAAGGGGATGGGGAACTGGTACTTGGCAACAAAGTCAAATGCACACTGGGACAAGCGGTCATTAACTGCGTTCAAGATTCGATCTTGCTCTGAAACATCAAGATTAGTAGGAAGATGAGGAAGCTCTTTGGCCTGCTCCTCAATGATGCGCAGGGATGGTGGCTTTAGCAACTGATGGGGTCCGTCAAACTCGTCACGGTTCGAGGGACGTCTCTGAGACTGGTACCGTGTAGTGGCCTTCACCTTTTCGGCATTACGCCGGCTATTTCTCTCGAAGAGGCATTCCGGTGTCTCCATAGGCTTGGCTAATTCGTAATCCTGCCTCAGTGATTCCGCGGGGAGACGCGCAGGATGGTCCCAATCACGATGCAGCGTACCTGGGCGCTGTAGCGAGGCAACTGGCGAGAAATGCATACCCCCTTGGCTGTGCGGAATTCCGGGGGCACACCGTACGCCATACGAAAGTCATAGTCCGGCGACGGTTGCTGCGGACAGCTCGAGATGCCAATCTGAGTATCAACCGGAGCATATTCACGAGTAGGCGGAAAGCATCTTTTGGCACTGAGCCGAGAAAACAAAACAGTCTCAGCACAACCGGAACATCAGTGAAGTATGGTATGTGGACGATCGTTTCGAGGGATTTTGGTTACCTTTGCTGATAAATTATCGGTGCCTCAGACGAAGTCCCGTAAAGGTGTGGCCTCGGAGGCACCATACCACTAGAGGGTGTGAGTTACCTTTTGCAAGTTTCATAACTGGCAAAGAGGAACATAGACAGATAGGTGGTTGACAGTGTATATCGGAAATTACCTATGATGAGGCCAGGATTCAGAGTCGCTGCCGATGGAGAACGACCGAGAACCGTTGCTCGACGTTGGTCCAGAAAAGGAGCTGAGCCCCGACGAAGACATGGGCATCAGAAGAGGAGGGAGGACCGGCGACATGAGGCCGACTATGGAAGAGTCACAGAGCTGAGATAAAGGATTGGCTTTGAAGAATGTTGAAGAGCCGTCACTCAATGGTCGAAACTGTCTATCAACGTGTCTGAAGAGAGGGAGAACAGTCGCGGTTTAATAGGATGAAGGAGACAGTAAAAAGCTGGCCGAGAAGCCAATCGACAGCACGACAAATAAGATCCGAGATCTCTTTGATATCTCAAGTCACTGAAGACAGGCAAGACAAGAAGGACCCCACAACTGTGGCAACAAACGAACGGAAGAGTCGAGGAAGGTTACGGTCTCTGTCCAGAGGAATAGAAAGTAGACTATACCTGATTACCTGTGGTCGATAAGCGCGGAGAAGTACTAGGATCGAAGTCCAGAAGATGGCCCGCCTGAGCTAGTCCACGGAATCAGGAGCTGATGAGTGCTCCGCACTGTGCCTTTTCTACAAGGATCAATCGGATAGCGAGCGCCACTGACAGCAATTGGCAGTCATTATCGCCAGCCGAAGAAGCAGCTAAAGTGCATCATTATTGGATCCGGCACAGATTGTCTCACAGATGGATCAGGTGGATACGGTGCCATAAGCCGGAGAGTACGGCCATGGGTAGACTTTTTTGGAGATATCTGGCCCAAGACCAAAGCCCGTCGCCTCCGGGTGATGATCCATGCTCATTCGAGGTTGATTCTGAGGAAAAGGGAAGTGGGGAGAAGAGCAAAAGGATCCGTGCCGCATAGAGTTTTGGACATTTGGGCAGCAATCTCAGGGCATTTGTCCTCTTGGAAGCGGGAGGCTTGAGCCTATGGGGGCTAATTCAATAACTAAAGCACTGGATCCCGCGAATGAGTTGTGCTGAGTTGGCCCTATTGAACAGCCCCGATGAAGTCGATGGCTTGATGGATGGAGGACTGATGGACGGAGATGGAAGCGTGGTTTGTCCCGATTAGGTAACGCTGCCCTTTGTGCCCTCTACCTCGATCCCAGTTGGCCTCGTCTTCCTCTTGGTCATGCTTCAGTCCCGTCCTTTCCCCAATAGACCTTGCTTTTCCGCATGATATTTGCCTCTGTTATACACTCTGGCATGTTGATCGAACTACCACCTGTTGCTTTTGACTAAGAGGCCCAATGGATACCTTGGGCTTCACTCGTTTTGGACAAATACTAACGGGAACCATTTAGGCAATCGTTCATTATCAAGCGCAATAAGCGGTACCTATGATAGAGAGTCCAGTCCTAGCTGACTGTCGGCCTGAAGTCGAAATTGGGCTCGAATAAAACATGGATCTCCATTCATTGCCTTACGATGATTGATTGATACAAGGAGACATTGGGCATATAGTTTGCTGCATGCCTGACCGCCCGAGCCCCAGGCCAACGCATCAGCAGTTCTCATTCATACTACTGATTGTATATCTACATGTACCCGAGATCGCTAGCGGGCCTGAGCGTGTGTGAGGATGTGATAATGATAATCTTGTTGAGAATAAATGCGAGATATTCGGCGTTTAGCATAATGGGACCGGATGATTCCGATATGCCTTTACCGTTGCATTAACACCTGGAGCAACTGCCAATATTAGATATGGAGAAGTGGCCCTGGAATTAGTTCGTTAAGGTAATAACGACGGAAATATACCTGACGGAGGGACGATTGCGAGAGTGCTGCCAACCATCTGCGGTCCAACAATACCCAGACGAACAGCAACGAGATGCAGTCCACGAGTCCCATAACTTGAAATTTTTGCATGAATGATCTAAGCGCCATGCACTACCGCCCGTAAATGGTATGATGTGAATTGATCTTACGCAAAGGCGAAGTCTGTTGCAAATTTGCCCTGCGTTGTGTAGTCCAATTCCAAGACAACGCGCGATAACCCTAGCAGACTGCGCAATCAGAATCTGCGAGCTGGGGAGAGCAAAGAGAGTATTTCTGCTGGGTGCGAATAACATTGTGCACTTACCTTGCTGCTCAGTTCTATATCGTCTTTGATTCCAATACGAGCCTTCATCCCTTAGATCAGCTTGGTTGAGCACGCAGTTTCACATTTTCACGGGCATTGTATGGCTCGACTCAAAGCATAGAGCTAATGTGGCCTAATATTACAAACAGACCATGCTCAATGCTATAGACAGGTGACCAATGGTTAAGGCAATTGAAACGGTAAGCAGTGTTCTGTAGACAGCTTTGAAACTTCTGTTTCTATTAACATAGGTCTGCCTTAACACGTTGAGATGGATTCGGTGCTCTTCCCAAAGGCTCGATTTAAATCTGAAACTTGCTCATTAGTTAAAAAAGCAGACAAGGTGGCCAAGTGGTAAAAGGCGGTTGATTTGAGAGGAAATCTTAAATATCTTAATCCCACTTCCGATGCTGGTCCCCAGCCTTGTCTACTTTATTTTTTTTTTATCGCTTCTTAGTCCGCCAATCTCTGTAATTACCTTCAGCATGACTATTGCATACTCTCTCATTCTATATCAATCATGATGCGATTATATACGGCTGCTCATACTATGCATTCAGTCAGGGGAATCCAAGTCCATCAATAAAAGTGCCGGAGAAGAACCGAGGACACAATGTTGGCTGGATTTAGATTCTGGTTAGATCATGGATGGGAATAGGTAGTACATGAAGAGTATAAGAAAATTACTATACAAAGCCCTGCAAGGCATCCATCCCAACAATCGCGGTATAATCAAGCATGGGAGGAATCATTGCGACCAACCAAACTCCGGATTCAATGCAAACCACACAACGTACAGAAAATGTGCATGAAGGCGAGAGAGCGCTGCCTTCTCTTGTCCTTTTAGCGGACCCTGCAGAGAACCAATCCTCCAATCTTCTTTTCGACACACTCCCTCGACTCCAGGATGCCTCGATCGGTCGAGAGGTACAAGCTTTCGCCGGGTGTCCGTAACCCTTCCACGTAATCGCTCTTCTCTCCGCGGATCACACGTCGGAGTCCAGCAACATCGATTGTGATTCTTCTCGTGGGCTTGCTGACCATGCTCAATTTTCCCAGCACCGGCTCACTCTGCCAGTACTTCAATCCCAGCCACAGTCGTCTCGAGGCAATGTTAGCCTGTGTCAATGGCTCGATGCCTTCAACTTCATCATTCGGCGCAGGATGGCCAAGAAGGGTATGAGGCGGAGGAGGTGTCGGCCCTCCGCGGACGACGGAGGAAAGGTAACCGGAGTTTTGAAGAGCGAGGCATAATTTCAGGTGTAGGTTGCTGTGAGGGATCGATGTGAGACCGAGACGGGCCTTGGAGGCATTGTTCAAATGCGAGCAGACGTGAGCGAGATTGACGAGAGACATGTTGAGGTCGTGAAATAAGACAAATGGCCCAGCAGGGGCCGTGTGTATCGTCAAAAGTACTAGTAATTGGACAACTCTGCTGTCGGCGATGATTGTCAACACGTGCGTTGTTCTGGGCAAACTCGGGAATGAGAATTTACCTGAATCGGCTCCGGCTAGTTTGGTTATCAAACACAACGTAGTTGTTCGGTCAATGACAATGTCGCTAAAAGATTAATGACTGCGCTGGCGTGGAGTATCTCCAAAAGATGCGGAAGCTCAGATGAAATTTTCGGAGAAACCTTGTAGCCGACTCCGCTCCCAGCAGATGATATATTGATGCCTGAGGCAACGGGAGGATGTATACATACTACTACTGATAACGCTCCCGGCTAATCATCTTCCTCCATTCGCCGTGTCGAAGCGCCGTCGTGCTGCTCGGCGCCAAAACGATGCATCTTAGAGGTCAAGTAGGTCGTCCCCTCCTTTGTGTAGAGAGCTATATAGCCAGTGTTTGCTCGGTCATAATTTTTTGTCCCTCATGCGTTTCTCATCTTCTATCCCAGTCCCCGTTCCCTTGGTTCTACTATACCTAGAACATAATGCCTCCTTTACCAGGTGAAGAGCGTGTGCTGACCGTGTAAGTACTAGTCAACTATTTACCCCGCAGAAGATGATATTCAGCTGCGGGAATATACAAATATCTGATTTGAGGAATTGGCAGCTTCGCCGATATCCACTCTTATTTTACAGCTCCTACTCCCAAACCTCAATATCATCGTTTCGATAAGGGCTCATATTTATATCTCTATAAAAATGCATCCCAGCAGAAGTTAAGAATCGAAGTTGCCAACAATCCTGGGAGTTCAGATCAGGACGCATTCAACGGATGTCAGTTCTCTCATTGTATTCGCCAGTCAAAGTGCTAACCTCTCCCTAGCGTTGGATCATGTTCATCTGCGCCATGCCTCTAGATTCCCAACCCTGTGCACCCTGACTGTAGATGGGAACAATCAGCAGACCTCAGAGGTCTTCCCACCTCCGCCGGTGAACAATCCGTACGAATGGCAATTACCTCTAAGTGGCCCGCAAGTCGGAAGCACAGACCTGCACCGACTCCATACAATAGACGTCTACTTCTGGACTCTGGACGACGCAAATGAGTTCTTAAACTTGGTGGAACGATATTTGTCGCAGTCCCAGGTTGAGACGGACCGGCATCCCTATCCAGCTCCAGCAGGCTCTACAGTCAGTTCTGTTGTTGAACAGCTGGAGAACGTGGCAATCACGGATCCTGCATATCAGAATGGACAGACTCGCAACTCTCGATCGGAAGCGGTCTCTCCTCCTGCGTCCCAACATGTCGCCGCTCCAGCAGCTCTTCCTCCTCCTCCTCCTCCGGTCGGTGCACAACCAACACCTCCGCTGACCCAACCCGCGCCTGAGAAGCAGCCAGACACCACCCAATTCGCACCCTTGCCATACAATCCGGCCGCCCCGCCGCCCAGAACCCATCCAGCACCGCGAGAAGACACCACCCCCGGTAGACGCCACGGACGGCACAGGACTTGCAGCAGCGGCAGCAGCAGATCACGGCACTCCAATGACACCTCCCTCCCAGCTCTCAGGAGGGGGAGGAGGCTACGGACCTCCGCCGAGTCACGCACTGCCCTACTCTCCCCCCGGGAGCTACGCCTCACCTCCCCCAAGCGCTGGACTCACGCACTCAGGCTCCTTTTCCTCCCAATCGTCCGTGCACAGCCCGCCTGGTGTCCCGTCATACACCCCAGCCTTCCTCGCAGGTGGTGGTGCAGTTCCACCAGGAACCCAGCCAGGAGCAATGTCCTTCGCCCCGCCCCCCGTGGATCCAAACGCACATCTGCACGCGCACGGGCAAAGTCTCTACGGCTCCAATCCCCAGCTCCCGCCTCCAGTTCAATCTCAACCCCAAATCCAGCCTACGTCGCCCCCGCCGCCGATCGGCGGCTATTCCAACTACTCCTACGAACCAACCCCGCAGTCCGCAGCACCGAACTATGACTATGCCGTGCATAAACAACTGTACCGACCCACTGAGGCAGAGGCCAATTCCCATTCTCAGAAGCATGCGCAGAAAGCCATGCAGAACCCGGGACAGCGCTCGCGAAAGTTCGAGGATGGTGCATCTCGGGTGGAAAGTAGTGTGAACAGGTTCCTAAAGAAACTTGAGAAGAGACTCTAGACTGGATGGATATGGTTGAGTATTGAGTGTGTTTCCCAGACGGGGTTGCCAGGGGTAGCAGTTGTCATGCAAGCATGGCGATCAATATTGACCTCAATAAATCTATCTACATTGCGAGAGTATGCAATACTGTCATCCAGCAATCTATAGCATGCATGACCGTTGTGTAGCAAAGGCCTCAAGAATTACCTGCATCTAAATCAGGAAGATTAAGGATTGAACGTTTGAATTTGAAAAATATCTCCAACGCCTGAGGTGTCTGCCAATCAGAGACCAATGTAAGAGACAATGATCAGTATGCACACGAAGAGAAAAATCTGAGCCCTTGAAGATAGAAGAAAAAAAACATCAAGAAATAAAGTTGAAATGCACAAGATATGAACCTAGTAATACTCCTACTCAGTACAAATGCCAAGATGGGATGCAATGACGCTAGCCTGAACATAAACCTGAAAGCAACTCCACCAACTGTATGCTCCAACAAGCACCGTCGATCCTGATCAAGAGAAACCAGAAAAAAAAGAATAATGCCTTTCCCCGTAACCAAAGACAACCACAAGGTAAGGCCAGAATGTAACACACCGCGAGCTCACCGCACGAAGGGAATATGTTGCAAACAACAATCACGGGTGAGCAAGTATGTCAGAAAAAGATTAGAAGAATAGAATGACAAGATTAGGTTGAGATAGCCCAAGTTCCCATGCAAGGCTTGAGTCAGGTTTGCCCTCGCCTTGCTTAACTGATAGTCAGACTCTCCATCTCAGCGACAACGTCATCCGTCTTTGATTTCGTCTCAGTTGGGATGGTTTCGGAGGGCTCGACCAGCTTTTCCATTTCAGGTTCCGCTGGAAGTTCGCTCGCCGATTGTTCCTTTGCCTCAACGGGCGCAGGTTCACTGATATGCTCCGCTGAAGTTTCGACTGTCTCCGGCACGTCTGTAACAGAGACAGGAGCAGCCACATCCTCAGTCTTCGATTGATCCACATCTGCGGATTGCTCGGCGATTGTTTCCAAGGGCTGTTCAGCTGGTTCATCAACCTCGGCTGACGCGGTCTCTTCGCGCGGCGCATCTGGAGTGGGAGCGATGACAGGCTCAATGGAGGCATCCCTGGACTCCATCCCAATATCAGCGGTGGCTGTGGAGGGTTCCTCAACAGGCTTCTCAACATCTTCCGACACTTGCTTGGGCGCTTGGTCATAGACATTAGTCTCAGGCTTTACTTCTTGCTCTTCCGAGGCCTCTTTCAATACTGCAGCAGCTTGTAATTTCTTTTTGGAACCTGGCTGGACTGAAGAAGCAGGTTGCGCCTTGTCTCTCTTATTCTTCTCTGACTCGGTCTTCTCCGTTGACGGGCGAGCTGCTCGGAGATCGGTCTTGGAGGCCACTGTTCTCGGGGCTCTGGCAGGCTTGGAAGTTCGAGGAGGACTTTTGACTTCGACTTTGTCATGTACCTTGCTGGCAGAACTTGCGGTAGGACGCATCATTCTAGCAAGGAAGCTATCATCGACAGGCTTGGCGCTTGCGTTGCTAACCCGAGAATGTGGGCGGTCGGTACCTGAATTGGCAGGGAGAGACGGGCGAGATGCTTGCTTGCGAACACTGGCAGCAGAGGGTGTCGTTGCCCGCGATTGATTCGCATTGACCGCGCTCTTCAGGGTGGATGGCTTCCGGGTCAGGCCGGGGCCGGCCCCTCCTTTGGCTGCAGAGGACAGAGAAGACGTCGTCTTCGATGGTGGTAGGCGAGATGGCCTGGCCGGTGATTTGGGGCGGGTATTCCTGTCATCGGTCGTAGCTGGCTTGCTGGAGTCACGCGCTGGCGTAGAAGCACGGACAGGGCGAGTGGCAGTCTTGGCTGTAGTATTCAAAGATGCCCGACTCGGCTTGTGGGTTGCAGTACGAGTAGCTGCAGCGTGGTCATCCTTCGTCGCGGCTGCCTTGGTAGAGTGCGCAGGTCTAGAGGTCCTTTCGGTGCTCGGTTTAGCTGGAGATGCTGGTGCGCGTGAATTGGCTGTCGATCTTGGGGCAGCCGTGGATGGTGATATGGTAGCAGAGTTAGTCTTGCCAAGGTGGACGTTCGAAGGTCGCTTGCTAACTGCTTTCGTCGGCTTCTGCGCTGTCTTAGCTGGGGGTGTCTCCGTCGCTGTATGCGGTGCCGATGCTGTCTTCTCCGTCTGGGAGACATCACCAGTGCTGGTTTGGGTTACTGTTTGCGCCTTAATCAGGGGTTCGGTCGGCGCATTCTTTGGAGGCTGATCGACAGGAGGTCTTTCCGCTGCATTGGAACCGTTGCTCGGAGAAGACGAGGAGGCTGAGCTCTTTAGAACCGCTTCCAAGTCTTCCGAGTTGAGGCTTCTCTCTCTAGATGGAGGCACCGCACCGTCGATAGGACTGTTTGGGCTCCTGAGCCCCGATACTGGACTTCCTTGAGACGTTCTGTCCACAGATATGAAACTTGCGCGAACCTTTGAAAGCGGTCGTGAGGTTCCTGTGTGATCCGACCCTATCGGCGATCGACCACGCGGGGGTGGAGAGGCGGTGCTGTTTTGATTATTGTTCTCGAATTTGGCCAGCAAGCTTCGCACACCAGGGTGCGCCCCTTTGTCCGACATGGTGTTGTAGAGCGACGAGGAGTCGAAGTGCGGAGACCTAAATCAGAGAGACATAGACCAGACAACGCGACGGTAGGAACTGAAACTCGATGCCTTAAGCTAGGTCACAACAATGTTGGGATATTGGCAAGAGGGTTCGATGAGTTATGAATTTCAGCCTTGTAGGGCTTTGCGAAAAGGCCAGATGGCAACGAGACCTGAAACGGAGGTTGGAGGAGGAGGGGCGGGTGGACGTGATATAAACAGACTTCACGGGAGCCAGATTTGAGGGGAGAGGACTCTGTGAGGAACGGCTGGCGGGTCAATGACTTGGAGACTGATCCAGAGGTCCAAGTTCTAACATGGTAATGATAGTTGATAGATGATGCAAGCTAAGAATGAGATCAATCATGAATGGTAATAAAAGAAAAGGAGAGTCAGAGTCAGAGGAGGTCGCCGGGGAAGAGGATGCGGGCATGGGAAGCCTGAGGCAGCAGTTTCAGGGGGCGGATCCGCGGCTTCAACTTAAGTAATTGCGGTCCTTTCCTGTGACATTTTATTATTAATTCAGGATTAAGGACAGATTGAGCACTACTTTTCAGTGTCAAAGAAAAATAAGTCAATGGTCATGACCATGACTCCATGAAGGCATCAACAAGGGACGATAGTTCCAGCCACTATTGAATCGGCCGCTATGTTGTTTACTCCCTGCCTTAAAGAGCGACCCGATCTATGGTTGAATGCGGCCAAATGGCGTCATTATCCGTCCCTGTCAGGTTTTATTTTGAGACATTCGAGAGGTACCTCTCTAGATATTGTTACAACGAGTTGTACCTGAGCAGATGCAGCTGCTCTACGAACGGCGAAACCGGAACTGACATTCTAATGTCTTTGCTTTCTACAGAAGGATGGGGCAATTGACTCAGGTCTCAGTAGCAGAACTTCAGCAGCTTGTCGCGAGTGTCAGATGATCTGATGATCTACTCAGTAAGGGCACTACATATATATGTCCTGAACATTATCCAACCTCTGTCTACTCAAGCCTCGCCATATCCTTTCCCCAAAAGGCTCGCATGAAAAATAACAACCACAGCGTTGAGTCTTAGGACAATGGCAGGAAGATGGCAAATTACTGAATCAATGATGGCAATCACTGTATTCAGAAACAGGGAGATCACACGGATTGTCTGCAGCGCAGTAGTTTTCAGTTGCCCAACTTGCATATGAGAAGCCATACCTCCAGGGAAATTCTGCGAGCTGTTAGTATTATTTCCGGTAAGTATCATACTGGTGTAGACAACGTAGACAAGAACTGCTTCCTTTGGACGAAGGTCAACTTGGATCCTTCTGCGCTCTGACGGTGTTATGTCGCCTGCCAGCTTCTGAAAGCCACGTTGCGGTCAGATCTTCAGCAAGTCTGTCACAAATGAGCCTTTGCTACCGTTCTACGTCTTATCATAGAATTGAGGTCTTAGCTCCGAAGAAAACGATGCTGTGTTTGAATAGCTGTCATGGTATCCATTTCCCCGGTTATAGTCCGCGGGTCAACATTCTTCCCGCGGTCGCATACTAGTCATACCAATCCCAGCATTCCGCTCCGACTACGGGCTCCGTTAAACGGAACTCTTTTTCTACTGGGAAAAAGAGCAGTAAGAAAAAGAGCAGCCACACAACACCAGAATCTCACAATGGCAGCTGCTAGGACTCTTCGCATAGGTCAATTGAATCCTCATTGAGCTTCAAAATGTCCTCTATGCAACAACTGACACTTCGCTTCATTTAGGTCTCATCCCCGGAGACGGTATCGGACGGGAGGTCATTCCGGTATGTCGCATCTGCGGTATAGCAGGGGAAATTCTGACTCACTCAATCTGAACAGGCCGGTAGACGGGTGTTGGAGTCGCTTCCAGCTTCTCTGAACCTCAAGTTTAGCTTCGTCGACCTTGATGCTGGTTTCGACACCTTCAAGCGGACAGGTACGGCTCTGCCCGACAAGACCGTCGACACGCTGAAGAAGGAGTGTGACGGTGCTCTGTTCGGAGCTGTCAGGTCGGTTGTCCTTATGGCAGGAAACTTCAGATCTTCAGCCTGATAGTCTTTCAATAGCTCCCCCAGCACCAAGGTCGCCGGCTACTCCTCCCCCATTGTCGCTCTCCGCAAGAAGCTGGACCTCTACGCCAATGTTCGTCCTGTCAAGACTACCGCCGGCAGCGGCGGCAAGCCCATTGACCTGGTCATTGTGCGTGAAAATACCGAGGATCTCTACGTGAAGGAAGAGACAACCAAGGATACCCCAACGGCAAGGTCGCCGAGGCGATCAAGCGGATCTCCGAGCGTGCCTCGTCCCGGATCTCCACCATTGCGGGAGAAATCGCCCTCCGCCGTCAGAAGATCCGTGATGCCGCTGGCAACTCTGCTCTCCGCACCAAGCCCATGGTGACCATCACCCACAAGTCCAACGTCCTGTCGCAGACAGACGGTCTCTTCCGGGAGACCGCCCGGAAGGCTCTTGCCGCGGAGCGCTTTTCCTCCGTTGAGGTGGAGGAGCAGATTGTCGACTCCATGGTCTACAAGCTCTTCCGTCAGCCCGAGTACTACGATGTGATTGTTGCCCCTAACCTGTACGGCGACATTTTGTCCGACGGTGCTGCTGCTCTGGTTGGCAGCCTGGGTCTCGTGCCTAGCGCCAACGTTGGTGACGGTTTCGCTATTGGTGAGCCCTGCCACGGCAGTGCTCCCGACATCGAGGGCAAGGGCATCGCCAACCCCATCGCTACTCTGCGCAGTGTCGCTCTGATGCTCGAGTTTCTGGGTGAGGAGCAGGCCGCTGCCAAGATTTACGGTGCCGTTGACGCCAACCTCGACGAGGGCAAGTTCCTCTCTCCTGACATGGGTGGAAAGGCCACTACCCAGGAGGTTCTGGACGATGTGCTCAAGAGACTGTAAATGGCAGACGCTTTGACCGGAAAAAATGTATGTATAGGATTATAGTCGATAACCACCAAAAGTTCTATTCTTTAGCGGTTTAATATATATGACTTTTGGCCAGCACCAGAACAGAAGACATGCTATTAGTACAGATCATCACTCAACATCCCCCGCCGACGGCTCCGGCTCCCATTCAAACTTCCCTAGTTTGCCTTCATTCTCCTCATGCTCCTCCATGCTCTCCTGGATCTCCCGCTTAGAGCGCTCCTTGACCTCCGGCTCTTTCTCCTTATCGAGCAAGATGAGCGTGAACATCACAACAAAATAAACCTCCCCCGTCTCCCTATTCTTCAAAACATACCGCAGGTCATGGTTCTTCTCGTCAATGAATTTGGTCGCATGGACTGTCAACCCCGGAAGCCGCAGCGAGAAATCTAAACCCATCGTCAGCCAGCCAGACCACCAACCTAACTCCCATCTGCAACCCAAGATAACCAGGGTCAACCAACCGTTAAAGACCAGATACGGATTCCCAAAATCCGCCGAATACACCCTCCCTGGCTCGAACACAAACTTCTTCCTCTCCTCCTCATTCTGGAACATCTTGCGCCGCTCCGCTACACCCTCGGGAATGCCGCGCTGCGCGCGCTCCTCCACGCCCGACCCATCAGCCCCCTCCTCAACAACCACATCATGCACCGTCGGCACCTCATCATTCTTCGCGATCGTCTCCCCAATCCGGAACTGGTTCAGTGCGGCCACGGCTGGGCTATACAGGTGTGGTTTATCCGCGTACGCGTCGCCGTCCATGGCCGGGTCGATGGTCCATTTGACGAGTTTCAGCGCGGCGTTGAAGCCAGGCGGGAGGCGGTCACGGATGGGTCTGTCGAAGTCATTGCCGAAGATCAGGTCGTTGCCGTTGACGGGTTTTTTGAAGACGATGGCGAAGGAGATGGAGTATTGGTCGTTTTGGTGCAGGGGGTGTGAGAAGTAGGGGTGTGTCTCGGGAGAGTCGTCGGGGTAGCCTTGTTTCCTGGTAGTGAGCTTTTTACTCTCAGGCGTTGCGGAGACATTGGTGGGTGCTCACCGGTGTAGTTCTGGATCCGAACGCAGAGACTCACTGTCGCAAGGTCGTTCTCGATTCGTAATGTCTGGTCTCTGTTGACAGGTACGATCTTGTGAGCATCTGGGTTGTACTCCGCTCCTGCTGTGACCTTGAGTCGGTACTTGTGAGCCTGGGTCCCGCCAAACATCTTGATGTCAATTGCTTCTTCCGTATCAACCCAGCTATTATACCCCAATTAATCACTGCGTATTATGCAAAAGAAAAGATGCACTGGTATTAGAACTCGAAGCGCTTTATATGGCTCTACAAGTCCCACGTGCATGATCGTCCTTGATATTCGTGGTTCTATCACAGCTGGTTGTTCTTGATGAACGCCTACCGACGTCATCCGCTGAACCAAATTCCGCGATAAGCTGGATCTCCCTTATCTATTTCTTTTACCTACAAGCTACTAGGTGCACAGTTTAATATGAACAACACTGACCAGGTGTTACAATTATACTGCAAGACCCAGTCTCCAATCGAACCAATATCTCAATGATAGCCACATTTAGCGTACACAAAGCTATTCCAAAATCAGTCTAGAACTGTGATTTAACCAAGATAGCAAGAACCAGCCAGCCAACATATGATGATACAAACGAAATCCCAACGCTCATAGTTCTGCTGGATCGGACGGCAGATGATTAACGCCCATGGGGAGATCAGCGTCGTCCTCGCCTTCATTCACAATATCTTCTTCGGTCAAAATGCCAATGCCGCTGTCAAGTCGCCTTCTATTCTTACCCCTCCCGACCTCCACATCGACGAACCTGGTCATACTGACTGGAGTAATCGGCTCGCTTGGAAGAGGAATACCGTCTGATTGAAGATCATCTGACTTTATTTCCCAATTCGCGGCACGGATTTTCGCCTTTCGTCGCTCTGAATTGACGGTTTCTTTCATAAAAGCAAATGACCGGGCTTGATCCGCAGCCCATCTGTCCAGCAGGTTGTCCCTGGCCTCCATTTCTTGTTGCAGCTGCTCCTGCAGCCCTATGTTGCTTCGAAGCAGCTTTTCTGCTTCTGACTTGGCAGCCTCAAGCGCGGTGGTGAGCTCCGAGACCCGAACATTCAAAAGACCGACCTCATTTTCATGATGTTCGACCTGCTCGGCTATCTTTTGTTCTAAACTTTCGATAGCTTCCCGCCGCTCTTTTTCAATCGACTCTACCTTCGCAGTAAGGTCGCACACGCGGATCTGATTCGTCTCCACTGTCCCCTCGAGTTGACGAATCCGTTCTTCCCTCTCAGCAACAGCAGACTCGGCTGCAGAACGTGACTCTTTCTCACGAGCCAATCTCTCCTCAAGTTGGGACACATGCTGGCTGTGCTGCTCTTGGGAAACGGTCTTATCCGCCTCAAGTTGACTCACAAGGATCTCGAGCCCTTTGACCTCCTCACAATACTTGCTAAGTGCTGCATTCAACCTGTCAATGCTAACGAGTTGCTCTTCTCCTTCGCGTTCGAGCTCCTGCAATCGCATTCTCGTATGCAGCATATCGCTGGCGGAAGCTGCCCTCGACTCTTCCAGATCCTGAATCTTCTTTGTTGCGACCTCGTACCGAGTCAAAAGGGTGTCGAATTGGCCACGCAGGGCTTTTTCACGACCTAACGAGCCCTGGTGGGAATGACGCTCCTCGTCCAGGTCCTTTACCAACAGCTCTACCCGGTTGACCAGCGCGGCCAATGTGGCACTTCCATCATCCAGACCCGCATTGGCTGTTTCTCCAGGTACTGCGCGCTCCAGACCGAGACGCGCCGAACGGAAGCGATGGCGCATCTCGGAGATGATGTCGTTTATAGTAGTACCGGAAAACCCAATACTTGAGAGTTCTTCCGCAGCTGAATTCAGAGCGCCGACAGCGTCTGAGGCACGACTGACAGCCTCGGTGAGCGCAGGCACAAGTTGAGCTAGGAAATCCGGAGGCGGAGAGGATCGGCGCAGGTGCTGACCAAGAGAGGTGCCATTGAATGCAGAAGGGTGAGCACGAATTGCATTGAATAGGTCCCTTTTCTCTTTCCTGGCAGTCTCCAGGTCGAGTGAGAGAGTGCGTATCTCGGCTTCTTGTTCGTAATCAGGCAAATGAGCTTGGGTACCGACGTCGGTTGCTGTATTATGATTATGCAAGATTGAAATATTGTCCGGGGATGGGAAATGACTTCCATCTAAGCCACGGATGACAGGCGAGTTGGACATAAGAATAGTATCCCCCTCAAATGCACTGTCATTGATGATGATTGTGTCAGTCGTGCTGAAAGAATCCTGATCATCTCCATTTTGGATCGAGGAGAATGAGATCTCCTCCCTAAGACGACCGTTTTCGGCCTCCAGACGTTCGATTCTGCTGCGTGGCGACATGGCCACGGGTTCATCATCCATGTGCCTGAATTGATTCTCATTTTGGGTATACTTCGCCGACTCCAGCTCCTGCTTCAACGCATCCCTTTCGCGCAGCAAGGACTGGATGGTCTTTTCGTAGTAAGCGGTCTCACGTTTCTCGCGCTCTATGTGATTGATCTCATCACTTAGACCTACACGGCAAAGCCGTCGCTTCGTGCGAGGATCCAGGATCTGCCGCAAGGGCGCAAACTGCACCACTTGCTCCGAAGATGTCGGGTAGCGGGACCGTGCTAGAGGAGCAGAGCGCCGCCGCATCCGTCGGCTCGGGCTGCGGGTAATACGGTTTGCATCCCCTTGATTCTCAAACGAGGTACGAAGCAGCGCGGGTGTCAAACCCGTAGAATAGTCATGTTCCTGGACCCGAGGGCCAGGATCAGAGAAGCGGACCCTTTTGTTTGGTCTTTGCGGTGTCTTGCAGGTTGAGGCAGGTATCCCCCGGGGACCTTGTCAGAGGATATAGAATCCTCAGGCTCACTTTTCCTCTTGCACAAAGAGGGAGGGCGAGTCTCAGAGTTGGGAGTGGAGGTCTTCCGACTCTGGCTTCGAGTCACTCTGGCAGCCATTCTGCACGTGCAGGTCCAATAGTAAACTTATGTGAAGTAACCAGGACGTATATCTGAAATATTGACGGATCTCTTCGAAAACAACGGAAGTGATGATAAAAATGGTCAAAAGTGATGATACAACTCCGACGACCGCAGAAGGATGACTCCGGCAGTATCTTATCTCCCAATAGATAAACAAACAAACAAACAACGCCTTCGTCTGAGACAGCACTTGGAGAGAAGTATGAGACAAGTCAGCGAGGGGTTATATGTACTCATCCAACGAAGGAAGTCACAGGCAGCAACCCTCACTGGTGCCTTCCCTACGCGTCGGTATGGATCCATACTTCCCAATGTAGAAGAAGTAAACAACCCGTCAGGTGACTTGGAGCCTAGAATTTGCCTCCTTATATCCAATCCGAGTCATGTCTTAGCCGATCACCATGAGCACCCCTTTACCTTTAGGTGGAGTGATCGTGTCATGATCACCTCTAGTACTGTAGATTCGAGGCAACCATGGGTCACGAGTCGGAGCTGACTAGAAATCAGGAGAGTCCACGGTCCAGCATTGCTTATCGCCTTATCGAGATCTCCTTATCTTATCGGTGACACCAACTGGCCAACAGCGCAGTGATCAACACCAGCGTCTCCCCGCACCAGTCCCGGTACAGGGAAAAATGAGAGCAGGATATCGCATGCATCACGGTATTCCGAGAAGGGGAGCTGTCCCTTGCTGATCTACCCCGGTAACGGCAGCTGTATATTGAAGCAATTTCGTCTTGATCCCATCAATTACTCTCCCATCTCCTGCACGAAATGATGTCATTCGTCGGTTCCCTGGAAGCTGAAATGCCATACCTGCAGTATTGCTAGTTTATTACCCCTCATTTATCTTTATCTCGGCACCATACTTGAACCTATCATTTGTCTATACTTTCATACGGACACGTGAATACATCCGCCACAGAGCAGCCGGAAAGCATCGCAGCTATGGATGGCGATCTGAATACTTCCCCGGACTCGCCGCAGTTGGCGGCCGAGCTGCATGAACAGCAGCAGCAACACCACGATCCAGAAAGCTTAGCTACGGACTCTAAAATTGATGAATATCCGAAATCACCTATAGTACAGCTTCCAGCCGAACTGCTTCACCAAATTCTGTCGTACCTGTCGGCGACGGATCTGGCCCAAGTGTCACAAACCTGCCATTCCCTCGCCGAACATGCAGCCAACGAGCTCCTGTGGGCGGATCTGGTCAATGCCTATCTGCCATTCAAGGTCCATGACCCGAGCCCTTTCGAGTCGTTTCGCGACCTCTACGCGGCTTACCACCCGTGCTGGTTCATCCCACAGCATAAAATCTGGTTTTCGGATACGGAGCATACAGGCAACCTAATTCTGGCGCGATATGATCCAAGGAGAGGAGTCATTGAGGCATATCGCGTTATTGCCGAGAGACGTAGTCGTCCTTTTCAAGTGTGGGAGTCGAATCCGGATGTCATGGTCCAACCCTTCGATCCCAAGGTTAGTCTTTGGTTGGATGACCCAGTTCTCCTTTTGAAGAACAACCATGGCCGTCTGCCGCGCTATTTGCACGGGGAGACTCGCATGCCAATGGCGATAGAAACACAACATGTCTTCAATGCTTTCTCTTTGTGTTCTTCAGAATCACCCCCGAACCTGCCAGTAGACCCGGACAAGCAGTGGCCCCCACCGACCATTCCTAGCGAACATCGTGTCTACCGGGATATGGAAGCACAGTGGTCGGATTGGGATCAGCATCCGCGACGTCTAGCAAATATGTCCGAACACGCGTTTCGCATTCGACGCTGGGCACATTTTCGGCTAGGGATGCCTATGTTTACCGCCGGCCGGAGCGAGACACTGTCGACTTATGCTACACTGGATCCCCGCTTGTATACGCCGACTAAGGAAAAGCCGTATCAGGGCATCTGGGTCGGTGACTACTCAGCTCACGGGTGCGAGTTCCTGCTTTTCCTACAACGGGACCGGGACGACGAAGCGTCCAGCCCCTCTGATGAGCCAGAAACCGGTCCCGACGAAATCGTTCAGAAGGGTAGTCTGGAGGCGATCAAGCTCACAGGAGACCCGAATGTTCCTCGGGGCCAGATATCTTTTACTGCACCTGACATTGGCCCAGGAGGTGTGGTTCGTGTCGCAGAAGAGGCCTTGTTCCGAGGATGCAGGATTGTCCGTAGCAGAGGCCATGTGGCAGGTCTCGGGTTCAGAGATGGTAAGCTATCAATCAATATGCTTTCTCGTAATAACATGCATTGACCCTTCGACTCCCATCAGACACCTTTATTCCAGCGCAGCTGATATTGATATCACCCGATTGCGTCGCTCTTTATTGGGAGGCTATGGGCCACATGTCATATTTCCACAGGCTTGACATTGATGCGCTTATTCAGACATGATTCGCGCTCTTGATTTGGCAATGATACTCCAGGGCGGAGTACAACAGAGACAGCGCAATGGACGAGGGAGCAATCAACATACATGCACGAATTGACGGACCTTAAATGTAGTATGTATTCACTTGCCCTTCTCCGACTAGTGGCATGACTCGCTGACAGACATGGTGCTCAGCTGAAGTGGACATTGGTCTGAGTCACAAATTTGAACAGACCATACTATTCATCGCCCGGTGCGAGAGTGGTACAAACGTCCCATGACTTGTTGTGAGAATGTTGAAGCCATGGTCAACCGGCAGAGCTATGAACACTGGCCATAACACCGGAATTGATCTGCTGTGCGGTTTGAAATCCCCTGTGGTTTGAGTCATGTCACTAGTGGCGAGCATCTGTTCATGGTTCGAAGTGCAAGTGAGTACGGTTATTCAGCTTCTGAAATGTGGAAGAAAAGATTCGACGATGTAGAGATATGTATGCAGGAGTCAAGAGACACGAAAAAGAAAAAAAAAAGGCATCCCTAACGCCGTAGTCTGATTCAATCAAATGGAAATGCAAACCAAAATTCGTCAATCATGAATCAACTGCCACGCAGCTGGCTAACCGGGGTCAAACCGCGCCCGATTGTCCCCTCTTGCTACATGTTTAATCCAGCGTAACAAATCTGAGTTGGGTATGGTATGTCCGACGCATCAACTCCAACAACAAGCATGCAAACAGGCCGCAGTGAAAACCATCCAAAGTCGTGGACCGCCCGTCGTCCCTCCAATCGTACGCCTGCGACTCCAAGCCCCTTCATATCAACCACAAATCGAAACCCCGTCACCGCTTGCGTTCGAAGTAACTCGTGGACGACAGCACAGCAACCGACTGATCCATAACCCACTCGCCAACGCCGAGATAGTTATCGATCCATTTCTTAAAGTCTTTGTTATCGGTAATCTTGTCAGTGTCGAGACTAGGGCTGTGAGGACCCCACGCGACCCGGACCAGGGCGCGGGGAAACAGATTAGCTTCAGTCCATGATACCCCCTCCACAAACGGGTCCATTCGAATCGTCAAGAGTGCAGGGCATATTTACGTTAAACCAGTCGAGCGCTTGATGCCGGCCAGAAAGGCAGAGACTATAAAAAGCATCCGTCAGCCGTCATTCCCCTCTGTTTCACTGCAAAATGGATAGATAAATACTTACAGAGCACAGCGTCAAAAGCGTAGTGAGTCAGGCGTCCCAGCTACCGGATCCCAAATCAGCATATCGTCCACAGAGTGGTGGGCAGGATAGCTACCCATCTACATAGATAGTAGGCACCCAACGCCGGCAAACAAAAACATACCATGATGAGTAGAGCCGAGCAAAACACAGCTCCTCAAATATTCTCCAGAGCTTATCTGTAAGAGTAATAGACAGGAGAAGAGCTGTACAAACTTCAGCGACGTTTATACTAGCAGCCAAAAAGCAGAGCAGGACTTTATATGAAAGATCGGTGGAAGTCGGGGAAGGTGGTGAATGTGATAGCCTCAGACACGTGAGGGGGACAATCGGTCTGGTCTGTCTTAGTGGCCTTTGCCGCTCCACTACCACATGACAAGAAACTGTTTTGCCGGCAATATTTGTTGGCACCCAGGAGGCGGTGAGTGAGGTGGCTGGGTGAGGCTGGGAGCTGGGGCATAGGTAAGCAAGTGAGCATTAGTTAGTTAGTTAGCTGTTATTATGCATGCTTACTCATTATGCTAACGGCTGCACACGCAAACGGAAAGAGGACTAGTGATTTGGTCGGTGTACGCATTGGTCATGTTGCTACGGCTGTTCGCTAGCCAGAGTACGGACTACAAAGTACAGAGTACCTTAGCTTCGCTTCGGACTTTGGCTGCCGATATTTGACCAGCAAAATGCTGGAGCTCTTTACTCCGTAAAGCAAACAGCCTGCCAATCAGACTCTGAATCTGCTCGGTCAGTTCGGTACTTGACTCTGTCCAGCAGCCAGAAGCACCAAGTCCTATCAATACCTTATTTTATGTGCCTGCTATCAACAGAAGCTGATGCCAATAGTCCTCTGTGCTAGTAGCCCCTGAACCTTTTCTTTTTCTTTTTTCTTTTCTTGGTTCAGATGGTCATTTGCTCGTCCAGGTAGATCGTGCGCGGAGTTTTACATGGGTGCAGGGCTATTTCTTTTTATGCTGCGACCTGATAACAGCATTCTGAAAGTTAGATAAGACTAGTAACCAAGATTCAAGGATGTTATTAATATTACCTCACAGTGAACTAATTATCCATCTACTAGTAGATACTACCTAGACTACAGTTAACAGACTGTAAACTACCGCGTAGATAATTTTCCCTGCCCGCGGGGGGCACCGAACGGCCAACAGTATTTTCCCTCCCGCGCACGACGGAACCTGACTGGAGCCCCTCCTCCCTCCCTCACCGGAGCAACTCTGGTCTTGGTCCCTCTTTTTTTATCGACACTGCTGCTCTGCTTTCACCTCAGTCCAACTTTCTACTATCTTCTCCTCTCTCCCCTCACCACATCATCCATCTCAAGCAATTCCTTCTTTTCATCCTCTCTTTCAATTCCATCAGAGGAGTCGTTCAAAATGGCCGCCAGCAGTTCTCTTGACCACCTGAGCAACCGTATGAAGCTGGAATGGCACGCCAAGCTGAACACGGATATGGTTCCTGCGAAGAACTTCCGTCGCACCTCCATCATTTGCACCATCGGTATGTCGGAGCTTCTCAATCTTATCCTGGAATATTCACACTCCTATGAATTGTTTGGCATCGCATGATACTGACGTTGGCTATCTCCGCAGGCCCCAAGACAAACTCCGTCGAGAAGATCAATGCTCTCCGCAGAGGTACGAGCGGGGAATATCTCCTCAAAGACTCCCTCCGTCAACTGTATGAGCTGACAATTTTCAATAGCTGGTCTCAACGTCGTTCGTATGAACTTCTCTCACGGCTCGTATGAGGTTAGCCTGAATCTAGCGCCCTAATAGCTTGATAGGAGAGGCTGCGAGCAGAATTCTGACTTTTCTAGTACCACCAATCTGTCATCGACAACGCCCGAGAGGCCGAGAGAGTGCAGTCCGGACGTCCTGTTGCCATTGCTCTTGACACCGTGAGTTTCATGACATCCGGTGCTTCCCGACACCATATAGCTCTGACTCCCACATTAGAAAGGACCTGAAATTCGTACCGGAAACACCGTCGGCGACAAGGACATTCCTATCCAAGCCGGCCACGAACTCAACATCACCACTGACGAGAAGTATGCTACCGCCTGCGACGACAAGAACATGTAAGTATACCCGAATATCCGAGCGTTGTTGGGTCTCATATTGTCCCCGGAAAACGCAAGCTTTCCATTCTAGGAATAGGTGAGCTGACGATAAACTTGGCAGGTACCTCGACTACAAGAACATCACCAAGGTCATCGAACCCGGCAAGCTGATCTATGTGGACGACGGTATTCTCTCGTTTGAGGTGCTCGAGATTGTTGACGATCAGACCCTTCGTGTCAAGTGCCTGAACAATGGCAACATCTCTTCCAGAAAGGGTGTCAACCTGCCCGGCACTGACGTTGACCTTCCCGCTCTTTCTGAAAAGGATATTAGCGATCTCAAGTTCGGTGTCAAGAACAGGGTTGACATGATCTTCGCCTCGTTTATCCGTCGCGGAAGCGACATTCGTCACATTCGTGAAGTCCTTGGCGAGCAGGGCAAGGAGATCCAAATTATCGCCAAGATCGAGAACCAGCAGGGTGTCAACAACTTCGATGAGATTCTCGAGGAGACTGACGGTGTCATGGTCGCCCGTGGTGACTTGGGTATCGAGATCCCTGCCCCCAAGGTCTTCCTGGCCCAGAAGATGATGATCGCCAAGTGTAACATGAAGGGCAAGCCCGTCATCTGTGCCACTCAGATGCTCGAGTCCATGACATACAACCCCCGCCCCACCCGTGCGGAGGTGTCAGACGTTGCCAACGCTGTTCTCGACGGGGCTGACTGTGTCATGTTGTCCGGAGAGACTGCCAAGGGCAATTACCCCACCGAGGCTGTCAAGATGATGTCGGAAACCTGCTTGCTTGCAGAGGTCGCTATTCCTCACTTCCAGGTCTTTGACGAATTGCGTAACCTTGCTCCCCGCCCCACTGACACCGTTGAGTCTATCGCCATGGCTGCCGTCAGCGCCAGTCTTGAGCTCAACGCTGGTGCCATTGTTGTCTTGACCACTAGGTATGTAATATGGTTGTCGTCTGCGATCGATCGAAATCCGCTAACAGTTGGGTTCTTAGCGGTAAAACTGCTCGTCTTCTTTCCAAGTACCGCCCTGTCTGCCCTATCATCATGGTCACTCGCAACCCCATGGCTGCCCGGGTAAGTTCAATCTCATCGTCATCGTTGGACAAGTGAGCGTCGCTAACTGTGCAATCAAGTACTCCCATCTGTATCGTGGTGTTTGGCCCTTCACCTTCCCTGAGAAGAAGCCCGACTTCAATGTCAAGATCTGGCAGGAGGATGTTGACCGTCGCCTCAAGTGGGGTATTTCTCACGCTCTCAAGCTCGGCCTCATCAACAAGGGCGACAACATCGTCTGTGTCCAGGGCTGGCGCGGTGGCATGGGACACACCAACACTGTCCGTGTGGTCCCTGCTGAGGAGAACCTTGGCCTTGCTGAAGAGTAAATCTGATCCTGACTGCCATTTCTGGTGGATAACACGGTAATGACCGCGGTCGGATCATGTGCGACAAGGGGTTGTCTTGTCTTGGACTTTGTAGATATGTCTCGACGACCGATGAAATCGCGCGCACTCCAGACAGTCACCCATCTTTCTCACTGCGAGGTTTCGCCAGTGGATATGATCAGACATGGAGTAGTGATGAAACCTAGCAGCCCGAAGAGCTTGCTATTTTTCACCATTAAAGTTGGATGCGCAAAAGTGGACGCTTACCCTGGGGAACATAAATTCGCTGTGGATCTTGTTTTGAAGCGTTGATCAGCCATCATCAGGGGAAGTCTCCTAATGCTGGATTAATGAATTGCTCATGTATATGATGAGAACGAAATCAATCACTGTTCAGTGTAAGACGTTAGTAGGCCCTTTCTATGTTAGTTAAATGTGGCGGCGCTTGTCCGTGTTGATGTTAACCGGTCACGCCTTGCTGGAGAATCACGTAGACCAACTGGACGTAGCAATCTCAAATGCCGCATCAAATGCCCAGAATACTCATCACTGAGGGCAGACGAAGAGATATTCTTTCACAGTATGAGAGAACGGAGAAAGAAAGAGAATCAAGGGAGCGATGCGGGGAAAAGACCCTCGCACGCGGGTCAGGAACAGGAAGGAAGGAGCAGCTGAAGCCGAGGCTCGGCCGGCGTCCTGAGGCATGTATGTTTACCTCTGTCAGATGCGCGACCGCATAACACCATCTCACAATAAGAATCAAAAGAAAGATGTACAGGAAAAAGAGAGATTTGCTGTAGGATTAAAATTCTGGAGAAATTAAGATACTATGACTGATCCTAATTGAAAAATCGAGCTGCTGAACAGCAAGGGCAAATCATATGCCCCGAGTCTCCCCACGGTCGTCCCGAAATCCGCCGATTGTTCGGTCACATTTGGCCCGGTGAAAAGGAAGCCGAAGCAGATAGGACTCTGGGATGTAAACACTACATCACTACATTTGATAGCCAGTTCCAATCCTGGATTAATATTTATGGGCGCTTGATTGTTTGTCTGCCAGATGCCATTTATATAAAAAATATTCTCAGGAGTAAACAGAAGGGAAAGTCATGTGAGAGTAGAGTCACCTGTCGCTGGGTGCTCTATGGGTTATGTGCTCATGTCGTACCTATGCATATTATGCATATCTCGATAAAACAAATCAGAAAGGAATGTACAATGCTCTGAGAGCATGCTAAAAGTAAATGACTCAAATGTCCTCTGTGTATGTGCACGGCCGCCAACGCCTCCATTGGATGCAAGTCATAACTTCTGATAGCGTGCCAGTTATACATCAAGTGTCGTAAGCTCGTAAGGTTGTCGTGGTCACTACATCCGTCAAATTTGGCTCTGAGAACCGCCGGAATCGGCATTAGCATCTGCATCGTCACCATCGGTGCTCTGAGGAAGCTGAGGAGCCTGAGGAGCCTGAGGTAGGTGATGGACATGGGCTTCCGCAGGCTGATTTCGATATGGCTGGGTTGGTTGAAGTTGATGCCAGCAACTGGGAATGATATTAGCGATTGCTGCCAATCAAATCCCTGGAACTACATACCTTGGTGCTTGAAGCACATATCGAGCCATTGCCTCTCTGAATCGACTCTTATACTCCTTGGGACTCGTGACAGTAGGCCGATTCTTCCCTCCGCCAGCAAATCCGCGGTCCTTGATCCATGATTCCAACTTCTTGTCC